ACTGTGCATCTCCAAGGGCACTCCGAATCGGGTGAATACCTCGTTTACCAACTTCGTGGCTACAGTTACTGCCTCTTGATTCGGTATGGCAAAGACCTCCGGCCATTTTGTAAAATAATCCATAACCACTAAAACGTAGCGATTGCCCGAATCAGTGATTGGAAATGGTCCAGCGATGTCTAAGGCTATTCTCTCCCAAGGCATACCAACATTGTAGATTTTCATCGCCCCTCTGCTTCTTGTTTGTGGACCCTTGACAGCTGCACAACTAGTGCATTTCCGGCACCAATCTTCGACGTCATATTTGCAATGCAACCAATAAAACCTCTCCTTGATCTTCACCAAAGTCCTCCTAATTCCCAAATGTCCTCCAGAAGATCCATCATGGAACGCTTTTAATACATCCCTTATTTTTGAACGAGGCACCACCAATTGCAAATGCTCGTCCTTGCCGTTTGTTGATTCCCATTTCCTGCACAGAAGTCCGTTATGCAGCGTAAGGCTTTTCCACTGTGCCCATAAACCTTTCGTTACCGCGCTATATTAGGCGACGTCACTCCAACTTGGCTTGTTACCACTTCGTAGCCACTCCAGTATTGGTTTGATATCTGCATCTCTTTCCTGTTCTAATTTCATCGCATCATCTCCCCATGCCTCGTCAACAGTATCAGTCCTTATCACCTTAAGAAAAGCAGTTTCCTTCTTGGCACAATGCTTGCAATCTTCCACGCATGGGCGTCTCGATAATGCATCTGCGTTGCCATGAATTCTTCCGCCGCGATGTTCGATTTCAAAGTCAAATTCCTGAAGTTGTTCCAACCATCTGGCTACTTGGCCTTCGGGATCCTTAAACTGAAGCAGCCATTTCAAAGCAGCGTGATCAGTTCTGATCAAAAATTTCCGTCCCAGTAAATACTTCTTGAAATGGTGCAGAGTTTTGACTACGGCCAGCAATTCCCTCCTGGTCACGCAATAATTCTTCTCCGGCTTGGATAGTGACTTGCTGAAGCAAGCAATAACCTTCTCCTGCTCACCATCGCGTTGTGAAAGGACACCTCCTATTCCAATATTGCTGGCATCCGTATCAACTACGAATATTCCTTTCGCGCTGGGGTATCCGAGAATTGGTGTGTTACAAAGCCGTTCTTTTAGTTCTCGAAAGGCTTGCTCACAATCCTCGTCCCAGATAAAGGCACGTTTCTCCTCTGTCAATCGATGCAAAGGCTTGGCAATGTCCGAGAATCCTTTCACAAACCGCCGATAATACGAGCACAATCCAAGAAACGCCCGAACTTGCGTCTTGTCTTTAGGTGTTGGCCATTCCTTAACAGCGGCAGTCTTGGCTGGATCAGTCTCAATTCCTCTCTCAGAAATAACATGTCCTAGATAATTCACTTCGCGCTTGAAGAAAGAGCATTTCTTTGGACTCAACTTTAAATTTGCTCCACGCAGCTTATCGAGTACCTTTTCCAATTTCCTTAGATGATCGTCAAAATCCCGTCCAACAATGATGATGTCATCGAGGTAAACTAGGCAGGTTTCGCCCAGCAGTCCCGCCAGCACCTGTTCCATCAAACGCTCAAAGGTTGCCGGTGCATTGCATAATCCAAATGGCATCACCTTAAATTGCCAGAGTCCCTTCCCAGTTGAGAATGCGGTCTTTTCCTTGTCCTTGGGATCCAAATCCACCTGCCAATAGCCGCTTTTCAGATCGAGCGTTGAAAACCATTTCATGCCACTCAGTGTGTCAAGTGTGTCATCGATTCTTGGTAACGGGTAGCTATCCTTCTTGGTTACATCATTCAATCGTCGATAGTCTACGCAAAACCTCGTTGAACCATCTTTCTTCTTGACAAGCACGACAGGTGAACACCAAGGGCTAGAAGAGGGCTCTATCACGTCATTTTTCCTCATATCGTCAATCATTTCTTCAACCTCTTTCTCACGAGCGAATGGTATGCGTCTGGGCCTTTGACGAATTGGCATTGTATCACCTGTGTTTATTTTATGCTTCACCAAACCAGTTCGGCCAATATCACCATCGCTTCTTGAAAACACATCAGAGAATCGAAGAAGTAAATTTCTAGCTTTCATAGTCTCCACTTTTGTCAGACTTTTGTTTTCGTCTAAGATTTTCGTTACAAAGTCTATTCCTGTACTGTCCTTCTTCACAAGATTCTCCGAGCATTTTCTTATCCAGGCCACTTCTTCCAATACGCCCACAGGCTCTCCTTCTTCAATCGTAATTTTTGAATCACTGAAGTTGAATACCGGAATGCGGTTGACATCAGATGACCCCACGACAGTTCTCGCCGGTAGCCATGAGTTTACGTGTTCCGATTTATCAATCACAGCGCACCTTAGAGGTAAACTTCCTTCCCTCCTCCTAGGTAATGCGATTGGTACGAGAGTCTGTGATTTTGGTTCAAGAACAGTTCTTCTTAAACAGCAAACTTTTCCCAGGGTTCCACCCTTCATCGGAATTTCCTCAGTTCCACATAGTAATACTCCAGATTTTAAGTCGATGTTACACTGGTGCCCTTGCAGGAAGTCAAGTCCCAGGATGCAGTCATCCAGAATTTTGGCCACAATAACCTCATGTCGATAAACACGTTCCCCAATTTTGATTGTTACATGCAGTTTTCCACTTATCGGTATGCACTGGCCGGTAGCTGATTTCATTCGTAGGCCAACAATTGGTTTAACGTGTTTCCTGATGTTTTGCCCGAGCAGCCGAACATTTATCACCGTCCTTGAAGCTCCAGTATCTAATGTTAGCTGACTGTTTTTCCCATTTACTTGACCGTCTATCACCAGAGTATTTCCATCGTTAGTTTGCTTGATGTAGATTGTTGGGGTTATTCCACTACCGGCCAGCGCCCACCCCGCAGCCCTGGCTGGATTTAGTTTCCCTGCTGGTCAGAAGTTGAGACCGCCGCGTCCTGGCGGTTCACCTTCTTCGGGCAGTCGCTCCGCATGTGCCCACGCTCTCCGCATCCATAGCACATGAAGTTCCGACGGCGTGGAGGTACCTGCTCCGTTGTCGTCATTTCCCGCAGACGTAAGGTACGGGAGTTACCACGCACGGCTTCCACTTCCAATGCATGGGCCAGAGCTTCTTTCATGTTCTTGTGATGGCCCAGATGAACAGCAGCTCGTACTTCGGGATCCCGAACACCGTCAATGAATGCTTGGAGAAGCGTGCCTTCAATCATTGATGGAGTCGACCGAAAAGCTCGACGCACAAGTTTCTCGATTTCCACGGACCATTGCTGTAGACTCTCATTAGCACGCTGAGTACGCTCTTTTAATTGCGCTCTGTACACGTGCTCGAGGTGGCTGTCTCCAAAACGTGCCTCAAGTGCGTCGAGGAGGGTACTAAAGCTGAGATCCCCACTTGCGCCGATAGCTTCCAGCACTGAGAGCGCTTGATCACGGAGGGCCAGGGTGAGGGCTGACTGTGCTTCCTTCTGAGTCCAACCATAAGCCTCCATAAGTGTCTCAAACTGTAGCTTGAACGCGGTCCAGGATGTTGTTCCGTCGTAATGGGGAATCTTCAGCCCTTTCGTTGCGCTTGAGGCCGCATTTGGGGCGTCAAAAACGGCTGCAAGACGGCTTCGGCTCTTCAAAGGGCTTGGGCTTGTCACTTCCTGCTTGATTTTGGAGATCTCTTCTTCCACTCTCTCCTCTATCGCCATGACGCGATGTTCCAACTTGCCTAAACCTTCCTCCACTTCTTGTACCCGTTCGACAGCCTTTTGCAGTCCCTTCGTGAAATCTTTATGCATGTCCTCCAAGCGACGCGCTTGCTCCTCTTGGCGACGAGCTTGATCTTCTTTCAGCTCCCGCAGCTGTTCTGACTGACAGCGTGCTTGCTCTTCTTGGCGGCGCGCTTGCTCTTCTTGGCGGCGCGCTTGCTCTTCTTGGCGGCGCGCTTGATCTTCTTTCAGCTCCCGCAGCTGTTCTGCCTGACAGCGTGCTTGCTCTTCTTGGCGGCGCGCTTGATCTTCTTTCAGCTCACGCAGCTGTTCTGCCATCATTTGCCGCAGCTGTAGCAGAAGATCCATCTGCACAGGCTTGGCTTCTGCATCGCTGGTCTGAGCTGCAGCACCCTCTTCCCTCACACGCTGCGCTTCTGACATAGCACGGGTACTCACTCCTCTTACGTCCTGCGGCACTAGCGGCATTTTTCTCCAATCCCACTTCTGACACCAAATGTTACGTGCCTGACGTCACGTTCCTGACTATGCGGGCTTGGGTTACGGGATTGGATGAAATGAAACACTAATACCGGTTTTCAGACTTTCTATTGCGCTTAAGTTACAGCGTCCACGGAGTTAAGTTATCGGCGTTCCTCTCCAGCAGAGTCCGGCCGACTGACACAACTTTGCCGTTCACGCTAACTTCACTTAACTGACTGCACTTCACTATTTCACTGCACTTCACTATTTCACTCACTTTTCTTCTTTTTCACTTCTTCCTTTTCTTCCGAATCGCTTTAGACTTAGAACTCAACTGCCAGCGGTGAGCCGCAGTTCCGCTATATACCCCCGGTCAGGTTCTAGAACATTCAATTTCGTTATTCTTTTTTGATCGTCATGCCTCCAGAACCTTCCAATAATTTCGTTATTCATTTTTATTTATTCTCCTTCTCGCTCCTTAATTTTTCATTACTTTCACTCAAATATTCCAGAAAGTTCGACAAAACTTCCATCAACTAAAAAACTTCATGTTTACGGCGGGACTCGAACTCGGGGTCTCTGTGGTGTAATCCACACGCCTTACCGATTACACCAACTCGTGTTGACAATTCACGACGAAATTTACAATCTCTAGGCAACGTTTGACAACCATCCATTGACGTCATGATGTCAAAGAGTTTTCTGTCACACTATTCTATTTTAAGCAGATAAAACAGTACTAATATTTGATTCATAGTTGATTATATTACTAATACTTAATCTATGGTTGATAATATATTTCCTTTTTTGTTATTCCAGCAATATATTTCCCTGGTACTTGCGGCTTGCAGTCATGCGGCAAGGAAGCGGCGTGCATGCCGTACAACAGTACGATGCACTTCTGCCGCTGCACTTCCAACGGTTTGCCCGTCACCGAAGACTTCAAATGCCCCAGAAGCACAGGTGATATTACCGTCTTAAGTTTATTAATAACTCCCACACTCCACAATGCTTGATTGATCGTAATTTGTTTTACTCAGAGTTTATTGAACTTTTGTTTTGTTGTTTTGATTACTACGTGTTTGTAATCAATCAAACAAAATTTTGACGATATCGGTCATATGAAAGTGTTTCATCGCTCAAAGTTATTGCAGTCAAACTTTTTTCTTTTAGAATCATTTAGGCAAATAGAAAAGTTTAAATTTTCCAGACCATTGAACACTTTGGATTCAACTTGCAAATATGTACTTCTATATGTGTGTTAGTGAACGTCTAAGTGTAACAGTAAACTGTATCCATTAATTCCAGTTCCTGTGACTCTGAAGCCCATATACAATGTGATCCCACCGAGAACGTCGAACGCCTCAGACAGCCGGTACCTCTCGTCGGCGCCCACCGCACAAGTGAGAACATTCATCTTAATTAAAACCCCTTTTATCGCCTTATCGCACTGTCCAGCGGCACAGATTGCAAGCCTGAATAACAATATTAGTCTGGAGATAAAATGTTTGTGAAAACTACTAAAACCTGATTACAAAAAGTTGTTTCCTAAACTTTTAAATCGGGACTTATGAAAACGGATGACGGATGAAAACACTCTTTACTCTTGAATGGAATGCCCAAAGATAAATAATATCTATGTGTAGGGGAAGTAATGTCTGTCCTTTAGGTACGTGGAGAATATTGTTGGTCAAAATGATAATATTTATCAAGCATTTATTTTTCTTGTATCTTGATAAGTACAAAAATACAATAACAAACATATAAAACACAGCAAACCATAGAAAATAAACATATCACTGTAAATGAATAACAAGCCGTGAACTTTATCAATAAAAGTATTGATTTTGATCAAGCCAGCTAAAATATAGTAGGTACCTACATAGGATGGAAAATGAAATCAGTGTTTTTCCATAGTTACCTACTGATAAATGGACGTATTTATGCAAACAGGAACCAATCCACACCTATACCAAAATCGAGATAAGGACATAGAACGTTTCAAAAATAAGTCTTCTATCGACCCTGTAAAGATCAAAATGATGTGACAACTTTGACAGATCAAAACAATTCTATGACAAAGTTATCAACCAACATAACCGCAGTTATTCAATAAACTAACAAGAACCATACCCCATGGTTACCCAATGATTTTAAAAAATAGTTAAAATTGTTTTTTTCAATAAGACTCATACCACATGATTCCTTTCATTTCTAATTTTTTAGTCAAATTAGTAGAACCATGCGGATTGGTTCTTGTTTGCGTATTAAAATAGGCGTATTTCTGCACGTTTACAAAGACTCAGATTATTTGGTTCCTTGTTGATATAAGTTTATTTACAACATCTGAAAAATCATGTTGTTTTAAACTTCTTGTAAAATAAATTTTAAAGTTACTCATAACGATTGTAAGCCGATCGTAGGTATACATTATTGTAATTCACTTAGTTTTCTAAATATAATAATACTTATATTAATGTTTATTCTGGTAAATTTTCAAGTGAATATAGCAACTATTTTTAAACTGAATAGTAGGTCAGTATATTGATTGACAGTGGCAACACTGTACCAAAAAACAGGAGATCTCGGTACGTCTACGTCTCACGTCGTGTAATGCATAAATAATCAATTTCATTTTCTATTAGTAAATTGATTTACTGTTTCCAACAATGAAGAGAGTAAACACCAGGATTCAAAATATGATTTCTAGCTGCCTCAACTATTCAGATGACAAAGAGAATGATAATCAAGGTACGTAAATAATAAATAATTTTGAGGTTGTAAAAGTTTTGGTTTGGTTGTTTCTTAAAACTTTTTTATTAGTAATGTTTGTAATATATTGTACCGTTGTAACTAAATAATAATGTTTTAACCAAATTGATTTTTTAAAAGTTCAGCTCCTTGCACAGATATGTCAAACGGGTTTCTTGATACATAATAATAGTAAATTATAATAATGGTAGTTATGTTTGTAGTCCCTTACTCAGTTTAATATATATTATTCCTTTTTCAGATTTTTATGATAACTCCAGACCAAGCAGCCCAATCCAGGTTCCTTCAGGTAGGTACTGTTTATGTTACATATCATAATTTTAAACGCCTTTTTTGCTAATTATTGTTGTTTCATAGGCATGTTCAAATGAGCAATTTGTGATTAAACGCGGGCTATTATTCTAGGTTTGCTGCAAAAACGAGGAAAATTGGGTACGCATGGTGAATTTAACAGTTTGCATGAAAAAACGGCTTGCGGTGATGGAGCTATATCCAATCCTAATTTGCCTGCTAAATTACTTACAGTCTCTGCTGATGTTTCCCAGAGTCCTCTGTCTCCTGTTCCGTCTTCAGCTACAAATTTTGTGAAGGAAAATAAAACATCACATAGCCCTGTTGACACTTATGAAATTGAGACTGCTGAAAAAAGCATAGAACCACCTCCATACTCACCGCTGACCCCACGCCCAGTCATCGCTAAAAATAACGCAACTTATGAAATAGAAACTGCTGAAAAAAGCATAGAACCACCTCCGTACTCACCGCTGACCCCATGCCCAGTCACTGCTAGAAATAATGCAACTTCTGCAGAAACATTTACTTCGGAAAAACTTATTGGAACTCTTGCTGATAAAACTGTATCACCGCTTCCTTCTATGTCTCCAGAAACGGCGTCTTTGTTTAATATTTTAGCTGATTCAAGAGAAATTAATAGTTATTATCTGAATATTGAAGGCGTATCTGACACCTCATCGATAACAAGCTTGAAAAGTGGCGATGCTCCATTATTTATTGATAGCGATGATTCGGTTAAAGATCCCGATTATTGTGCTTTTGAGAATTATGGCTCGAGTGGTGATAGTTCTAATAATTCAATTTCATTGATAACTGGTACTGCACATGCAGAAATCAACCAAACAGATCACAGGATTAACGAGATCGCTAATTGTCAAATAGAATTAATTAATTTAGGTCCTCTAAATGCTCAACAGGAAAATATGCATGACGATAGTGAGATGGCATTTGTTTTAGAGTCTGACAATGGTAATGGTAATAATGATAGTTTACGCGTAATACAGCCTACGGGACGGCCAAAAAGAGGTAGAAAGCCAAAATATGGTGGTATATCGCGGGAAGAAAGGAAGAAACGTAAGTATACAAATTTGTCCTATGTCAACTCTAAGAAAAAGATTGTCAGTCCTAAAGAATTTATAGATTATGAATGCAATTGCCTAAAAAAGTGCCATGAAAATATTTCAGTAGAAAAGAGATTGGCTCAATTTAAAAAGTTTTATTCCCTAGGATCTTATAATGCTCAAAATATGTTTTTAACTGCTTTAATAAACGAACAGCCTGTGAAGCGGCATTACGTTGCAACTGACAATAAAACCCAAGTTTCGAAGAAAAAGTCTTATTCACGCCAATATTTTCTAGATGGCGTATCAGTTTGTAGAGATATGTTTGTCAAAACATTGCAGACATCGGCAAAACGAATTAATACGTCGCTTTGTAAGATGCGATCAGACAGTTGCATTACTGATAATCGTGGTTTACATGGGGGTTTCAATAGAACGCCTCCTGAAAGCGAGGAGTTCGTGATTAACCTGATAAAAAAGTTGCCGACATATATATCTCACTATCGTCGACAAGAAACAGAAGGGGCTAAGTTTCTGAGACCTGACATGACTTTATCAAAAATATACGAGTTGTACAGCAATGAAGCGAAATCCACCGACATTAAATTATTGTCTGCTGCAAAAGTCAATAAATTATTTTATACAAAATTTAACCTGCGCACCAAGCCTCTCAAGAAAGATACGTGCAATAAGTGTGACTTTTTTGAAAGTCAAATTCTTGTGTTGTCGGAAGAAAATAGAGGTGACATTATACTAAAACGAGCAGCGCATCAGGAAATGGCAAAAAGCTTACAAAATCAGTTGAGAACTGACATGGAACTAGCTAAAAATAATCCCACCGTCGAAACTCTTACTTTCGATCTACAAAAAACTTTACCGTTACCGCGCATACCCACTAATATCGTATTTTACAAAAGACAACTGTGGGTATACAATTTAGGTATACATACAGGAAGCAAAGACGAAGCTCACTGTAATGTATGGGTAGAAGGAGAAGCTGGAAGAGGTGCTCAAGAGGTGGGGTCTTGTCTAATCAAACACATTACCGAAAGGCTTGATGACAATGTGAAATTTTTGATTTTATGGAGTGATTCGTGTGGAGGTCAGAATCGCAATATAAAATTGATATTAATGCTGAAAGCTATGTTGAATGAACACCCATCTTTAGACCAAATAAATATAAAATTCTTAGAATCAGGACATAGCTTCCTCCCAAATGATACAGATTTTGGAAAAATAGAATGTGCCTTAAAACGTCAACAGAGGCTCTATACACCGGATGATTATATTCATGTTATGAAAACTTGTAAAAAAACCAATCCAATGCATGTGCACAGGATGAAAAATGAAGACTTCTTGTCCTCATTAAAATTAGAAAAGAATATAATCAACAGAAAGAAAACGGTAGATGGAGAGAAAGTTTCATGGCTTCATACGAAAGAGATAATGATTAAAAAGGATGAAATGTTCAAAATTTACATGAAAACTGATTTGAATGAAGAATTTAAGGTAGTGGACATAAAAAAAAATGTTCGCGGAAGACAATATTTTATAACAAAAGCGTTGATGGCGCCACTTTGGCCAACAGGCAAACCTGTCCCTGACGCTAAATTAAAAGATTTAAAAAGTATGCTACACCTTATTCCGCAAGACTCACATGATTTTTATGTAAAACTTACTGGAAATGAGGATACAGAAGACGATATTGACGGTTTTTCAGGTCAACCGGATTTTGAACTAGAAACGGATTTAGATTAAGTTACTTTTGAGCAGTTTGGTATATAGTTCTAAGCATTTTCACATTTCATATAATTCTAGACATTTAAGATTGATTTTTATTTTACAAATATAAATGGATACGTTAAAAAAATGGTGTTTTAATTTTTTTTTTTCTTACATAATTATGGCAGTATAATAAGTTAATAAAGAACCAATCCACACAAAGATAGTTTTGTAAAAAGGAACCAACGAGTTTTTATTGAATTATTATTAAAAATATTAAATATTTTCATCAATATTAGGTTTGTATACACAGAACAAACTATTTTTTACAATAATATAAAGAAACTTTAATTAAAATTACTGATAATTTTACTCTATACAAAATTTAGACAAAAACTGCTTTTACTCAAAACTGTCATTGTGTGGGTTGATTCTGTGTTGCATAAATACGTCCAAATATTCATGATAGGTCAGCCATGATAAAACCGATGTCACCCAAATTCTGAGAGTACTTTGATTACGTACAAACTTTAATGTTGTTTTTCACCCTTTATGTCAACGAAAATATATTGTAACATTTTTGTTTTATAACTTTCGTTAGATGTATTAAATTAATTAATTACGCTTAACGATTTTCTCACGTAACTGTTTAGCGAGATATTAACTCGACTAGTTTCAAGCCATGCAAGGGACTTATGTTTATGAGCAAGTATATTTTTTGGGTAAAAAGAGGTAAAATATTTTTTTTTTCTTTAGATGAGAGCTGGTTTATTTGTCCGTGTAAATACATAGGTTCATTGTTTTGAGCAACTTTAATTGTAACTAACCTGCCAAAAAACTCTTAACTTCTAGTTTTGAACTAAATAATAGGTGAGTGTAGCGATACCATACCACTTTTCGCCCAGAGTGGGACCGAAGAAGTGTCTGATCTTTACTGACTAACAACCATTCGGTTTTTTCTTGCGTTTGATCCTCAACCTCGGCTGAATTTTAACCTAAGTTTATGGACTAGCAACTAAACTTTACGTTTTTGCTTCAGGTGTCCAAATCTTCAAGCAGCGGAGAAATATTCGCAGAATCTACAACTGGGAACGGCTCACTAATAGATACCGGTATGAGTGCCGGCGTGGGCACTTTAATAGCTGTCACCGTTTCAGGGGCCGTGACTTTAATACTACTCGTTTCGATTATCCTGCTGTACCTCAAAAGGAGGATATGTCGTGTCGATGGGAAAACACAACCTGTGAGTACATTTTGTTAGAAGATACTAAAATCCTGACAGCGTGAATGATTTATAGCCTTTAATTTGCAACCGCACACTTGCATGATGGCCATTCTACCTACACATAACTTAATATTAAAAATATTTACAAGAGGATGCCGCTTACTGATTGCTTTATTTCTCCTCATTTCCTGTTGCACACAATATTTAAAATTAATGCAAGTCGAAGTGTACAAGCTTGGTTTTTTATAGCGTGTGCGACCGGGAGAGCCTCTGCTTGCTGAAAGGTATATAACGAACCCGCAGTACGGAGTCTACGGAGCTGGCAACCTGCCGATACCAGGCACCCCCGGAGTTATGGATACTGACGACACCAACAAGTCCCAGGTCCAACTTCTAGACAGAAACGCCCTTACATTCCTCGAAGAGGTTGGAGAAGGATGCTTTGGCAAAGTCCATAAAGGTAAGTTTCGTTACAAATGTGGCTTGTTTAAACGATTTCACTGAGTGTAGGTACCTAAATACTCAGAATATTTAACAAGTAAAATTTGTTGCAGGACTTCTTAGAACTACAACTGATGAACAAGTAGTAGCCATCAAAGTGTTAAAAGAAAGTGCAGGTCGCAATGCTGAAGAAGACTTTGTAAGGGAAGTTTCTATAATGTCTGCGTTTAGGCATCCCAATATTCTCGCTCTAGTTGGAGTGGCATATAGAGGTATAATAAACAAGTCTAACAATTTTAAATGATTCTTAAATAACTATTATTTGTTGGGGTAGGTAATTCATTACTATAATTTCGATTTTCAGATGATATCAACGCGAGCCCTTGGATGGTATTCGAATACATGGAGTGGGGCGACCTGGCCGGCGTCCTCAGGGGATCCCGAGGAGGGGGTAGGCCGGGGCCACTACTAGATGAACATGCTTTATTACACGTGGCACTGCAAATAGCACGGGGTATGCAGTACCTAGCTTCACGAAGATTCGTACATCGAGATCTTGCTGCCAGGAATTGTCTTGTTGGTGCAAATCTCACAGTGAAAATAGCAGACTTTGGCATGTCACGGGATGTGTACACTTGTGATTATTATAAGATGGGTGGGGAACGACCCATGCCTGTACGATGGATGTCACCGGAAAGTATTGTGTACGCCAGGTTTACGCACGAGTCTGACGTGTGGTCGTACGGCGTAGTGCTGTGGGAGATATACAGTAGAGGCAAGCAACCGTTCTACGGTCAAAACAACGACGGCGCTACCAAGTTAATTTTACGAGGTATAGTGCTAGTGCCACCGGAGGACTGTCCCCGCTTCGCTGGAGATTTGATGCGCGCATGTTGGAAGGCGGATCCTCGAGATAGAATAGGTTTCGATGAAATTTGTAGAAAATTGGAGGATGCAGCGGCGGGTGGCCAAGCCATGCAGGTGCGACTACCGCGACCTCCACCTCCACCACAAGACTCCACAGGATACTTGATTCCAAAGGAGCAGCTGCCAGTAGACTACCTGAAGCTGTCGCTGCCGACGCCTGAGGATCACGCCGAGATGGAGGCGGCATTCGAGTCGAGCGAGGAGGAGGACGAGGACGAGGAGTACACCTGACAGACGGCCTCGCGGTACGTGGCGCGCCCCTCGCCCTCGGCTCTCTCCTGCACATTCCGTTCACAGACTAGCAACTTTTCACAGTTTCAATGTTAACTTTGACGTTGGCACGTTGGACAGTGACTTCGATGAAGCCAGGAATGTAACTTCGACAGAGTCAAATACTCAATTACCTACCTAAGTGTGATATTTTTCATAATAATAATACCTTTTGTACATCTTTGAACTTTGATCTGCTAGAGAGGTTGATTGTACGTCTCTATGATATTTAAATTGTGTTGTGTATTTAATGGATACCTTAGTTAATAAGTTAAAAATCTGTGTGCCATATGCCAAAAATAAAAGTACCTACGTACCTACCTAATCGTAAGATGATAGAACAATTTATGTCTACCATAGTAATTTTATGTATTTAATAAACAATCTAAATACTTGACACTTTTTGTATTGATATATGTTTCACAAAAAAACCTACGATGTTACGAGTGCATAGATAGTAAACAAAGGTTATATTGCTAAAATGTATCTACCTAAAGTAAATAGGTGTTGACTGAATGTATCTGTCGATAAGCTGTAGGTATGTGTACAACGATCTTTATAAATTAAGTCTTTAGTAATATCTACACATATGGTAGTTAGACATTTATCCTAGTCCTAGACTATGTTTTTTATAATTTCTGAACATTTGAGTACAGATCAAGTTTTAGAGATAGATAGACTAAGTTCAAAAGTCTGAAATATCTCTTTTATGGTTTGAATGTTGTTTATTAAAGTGAGTCAAATTTCACAAAAAATAAGGTCCGTTACAAATAAATATAAATAATATAAAGGTTTTAAAAGCCTAGGACCACATTACTAAATTCTAGATAACATTTAAGAAGGTACTACATAGGTACAATAATGAAATGCATCTGTAGCGTAAATTCAAAATATACCTATAATTTTCCCGCGGCAGGACTAATTGTCTCTTTTTTATAACTTTCGAAATAGTTATGTAGATCATGACGAAGATTTTTTTACCATGTTTAATTACCATGTTCGCTAACATTGACATTAATTGGGTATAGTAACAAATTATTATTAAACAATTTCTAAATGGTTTTGAATGCAATAAATGATTTAAATGAATTGCGATGCGATGTCTAAGTATAGCTAATATGAGTAGTTAGTTACTTCTATATGAAATTTCAAAGTTTTTCAAAGTCAAAAATCATTTATTCCAATTAGACCCTTACAGACACTTTTGAATGTCAAACAAAATTTTGAAGATTTAGTGTCAGTCTGTCGGTCAGTACTCTTAGTGAAGCTTTTAAGCAATTAGTATGCTATTTGGCACATAATCACTAATCCATAAATTAAATATTAGTACCTACATTCTAAAACAGTGTTTAATTTGACTCTAAACTATAATGTCAAATACACAATTTGGAAGTTTTTGGAACGAACGAAGTTCCTTAATGCGCGCTACGAAAGGTGCTAGTTGGAAAAAAGTTGTAACGACACTTTTTGCGATATATATACATATCTCTCCCCTATATATCCCCTCTTTCATGAAAAGCAAGTCAGTTATTTCCGTTCGTCTTCCTGTTTCGTGCACAGGTACAGTTATTATAAAATAAATAAATAAACATAATTAATCGAAAAACACTTCGTTCCATCTATGAAGCATGGTTCCATACCTTGACACCTCCCAAATTTTTGAATAATTGTAATACCTAATTTTAGTAATTTTCATCTCTATTTTTTTAAGAATAATTAAGTAATAGGTACGTTACCATAACTTTTGTATCCTAACGCACCTAAAGTACAGTCTGAATGACGATTTAGCCGCGGGAAAATTAACATTGTAGATATATTGGTAATTGATGCATTCTTGTATGTATTTGTTTGAATGAAAATTAAAAAGGTACCTACAAAACCATTCTGGATGCAAGATAATTATACATACTTAGATAGAAAGAAAATAAAAGTTGTATAAAAATAAAGTGTTAAAATAAAGACTATGTGTGTTTTTTGTTTTTTTTATTTTATTTTATATAAGGAAAATTATTACTTACTTAGCTTACAAACGTAGCTACGAAAAAGATACAAGTTTTTATGTGAGTATTTTAAGTATTTATTATGGAATACGTAGGCTTACAAGCAGGCCAATAATCTGATGGTAAGCAATATCTAGGGGCCGCCTTTAGACACCTGTAACCTCAGAGGAGTTACAAGTGTGTTGAGGAACTTGGGGACGTAAAGGAGTATTTTGTGAGTGAGGACACCAGGGACCCAACCCCCGGTTAAACAAGAGGCAAGTGTTATTTTACACCGTTTATAACACAATAAAATTCACACATATTAGGTAAGTACAAATTTAATAAAACAAAAAAATTATAAAGTAGGCTAGGTACATATATGAATTTCCCTTTATTTTATACACAATTTGACAGTTTATTAAATAACCTATCTTTTGAAATAAAAATATTTCATAGACTTTAAGAACGAGTGCGTCAGTGTTTTCAAAACTAGCGTTAGCGTACGGCGCGTAGTGTTCCGCGCGCGCCTCAAAGAGCCAATAGACCACCACAGACGGGGCCCAATAGGGCTGATGTTCAGCCGAGGTAGCGGGGTAAGCGCATTGAGGCACCGCGACCTCAGCACAGAGCCGGAGAAGGAACAGGTGGGTTTTTAGTCAGTAAGAGTCTGTCTGACACTCCCTCCCGCCGCCCGTCCCTGGGGAGAAGTCATTTGATGATTTTCCCCGCACAAAAAAACCATTGAACACAGCACATGCTACCAGTTAGCAGATGCCACTTACTTAGTAGTTGCAGATAAGGACCCACAAAGTGTAATAAAGTTGTGCCACGATTCTGGATGGTTCTGATGTATTCTGATGGATGGTACTCATCAATGCTAATAAAACCAAAAAATCGCCTTGCCTTTAAAATGCTAATATCCCAAAAATATAACTGCTTATGACCATAAACGTTTTCTTCATATTCGTACGGAGACATGTAGGTAACTGTCCTCACGAAAACTATAGTACATACAGTCCAAATATACAAATAAATTTTAAAAAACAAATTCAGGAACAATTGAGAAGTGTGGGAGAAAATAGGTCGGCTCAACCAGAGTGATACCTCACAGAAAACCGGCGTGAAACAACAGCTTACCGGAGGCCCAATCCTTTCCCTCCCCAATCCCTAATAATAAATATAAATAAAAAATCCTAAGTAAAAAAAAATCCTTTGTAGAAATTAATACATGTTTTCATTTAGTTAAATAGAAAATAATATTAGTAACCATTTTATAATCTTGATGAAGTCGTCGCCAAGTGAATCATCAATCATACCAAAAGAACAACAGTTTTAGAAAAATATATTGATCGGTACAATAGGTATTCTTGTTGTGTGTTATAGGCACCGAATTCAAGATAGCTTGCTATTTGCTTTTTAGTTTACTTTTTGAAGTCGGAATATTTTTGTTAAAAATTATTTATTTCACCATTTTAAGTGAAGTAGGCAGAGCAAGCAAGTATTAAGGTTTTCGAATGAGAAGACGATGGCTACTTGAGACCGAAAATCACGGTGATAGTAGTAGGTAGTCCTGAGTTAGTCAGTGTTCAGTTAGTTGCTGTAAATCGTTGAGGAATTTCCTCGACTGTCAATGGTCTCCATCATCATGTATACTGCAGATGACCATGACCTTCAAATTACTTACATAATCCATATAGGTGCAAAGTTCTCATTAACATAAATGAATTAAGTCCAAGCACAACATAATTACTCCAAATAGTCAAAAAGATCCCACGACAGTCTTCCTGCTACATCATCAGATTTACTCCATAACTTTTTAGGAGTGAGAGCAGGGTTTCTTCTTGTTATTAACTCGAGGCTGTCGTGGTTTGGAATGATTTATTCGGCACAATGTCTCTACTAATATTTACATGTCTTATGGCTATCTTACACGCTATCACACATAGGTATATGTCATCTACCAATAGCAGCGCGCGTTCGTCGCAAGGCTCGACAGAGCGGCTGCGCGCATGCGCCGTCGCGGTCGCCGTTCGTCGTGATGTCGCGAGCACAGCGCGAGGCTATAATAGGGCGCGTGCCGCGAGACGCGTCCTTTCGCTCCGGTGCCGCCGACGACGACAGACGTGTCCGTGCCGTGGACCGCAACTTCGTGTCTTCGTGTTCTTCGAGCTTCGCTTCTGCTTGCTTGCCTGCTTATTTGCTTGCTCACTATATCTCGTTTCTGAGCAGAAGTCGAAAACGTTTTAAAACGTCTTTTTCAAGACGAGTTTCTGTCAGCAGAAGTCAAAAACGTTTGCAACGCCTTTTTCAAGGCGGCCTGTTTCACTGTTTCTGATCACAGAAAGTCATAAACGTTGGTATTGGTTTGTTGTTCACGGAGGTATGGTAACGGTAATCTGGTTCTTCAAGGAGGTACGGTAAAGGTTATCTGGTAATAGGTATGAGGTGTGATGGTTATGCCATAGAATGTACGTAGGTATGTATGTATGCCGCTATATCACTCCCCCCTAAGCGAAGCGTACGTTTGGTTTCACTGTACGGCCGGTGCGGGTGACGTAGGCGTCGCGGGGTGGGGTGAATGACATTGTCCGTGCGTCGTTACTTGTAGTTGTAGGTAGATAGGTCGATGTTTGTTCGCGCGTAGTTGCAGTAGGCACATAGTCTTGCTGTTGGCGCGAAGTCGTAGTAGGTATCTTGTCTTGCTGTTGGCGCGTATCTGATGTTGATAGGGTGTCGTCTTCATTGAGTAAGTATGCTGGTTTGAGTCTGTCTATTGAAATAACTGCAGTACGTGGATACATTTGAATGGTGAAATGTTTGCTTTCGCGCCGAAGTACTTTGTAGGGGCCGTCGTAGGGAGGTACTAGTGGGCTGCGCACGGTGTCATTGCGCACGAAAACATGTGTACACGTAGCAAGGTCTTTGTGTACAAATGACCTCGTGGAGTTTGAGTGTGGCTTGCTGTTCGGCGATAATGTAGACATCGTTTCGGTCAGCTGGCGGACGAATTCGGCGTCATCGATGTTCGGCTGAGTAGGCACGAAGAAATCAGATGGTATGCGGAGTGTTGAACCGTAGGTCATGAGTGCCGGGCTGACTTCATTGTCTTGTCGTAATGCTGTACGTAGGCCGAGTAGCACAGTTGACAACTCGTCGCTCCAGTTTGTGCGCGCGCATCTCGCCATGAGTGCTGACTTTAGAGTTCGGTGCCAGCGCTCGACTTGTCCGTTTGCTTGAGGGTGGAAAGCAGTAGTGCGTATTCTGGTTATGCCGCACTTCTTCATAAGCGCCTTAAACAGTGACGACTCGAATTGTCTTCCCTGGTCGGTTGTAAGTCGTAGCGGGCAACCAAATCTCGAAATCCAACCGTCGTAGATAGCCTTGGCGATCGTGTCCGCGGTGATATCGCGTACTGGTATAGCTTCGGGCCATTTTGTGCAGCGGTCAATCATGGTGACTAGATATCGGTAGTCATTTGACGGCGGCAGTGGTCCCACGATGTCGACGTGAATATGTTCGAAACGCTGGGATTTTCCGAACTCGCCGAGCGGGCTGATAGTGTGCCGCTGTACCTTTGCTCGCTGACAACCGATGCATGTTCGTGCCCATGTTCCGACTTCTTTATTCATATTCGGCCAGAAGAATTTCGACGATATTATTTTTCTCGAAGTGCGCACGCCTGGGTGACTTAAATCGTGTTGCGCTTTGAATGCGACAAAACGATATTTCGCGGGTAAATATGGACGAATGTTGCCTGTCGATGTTTCACAGACAAGCGGACGTTGACCTCCGGGTAGTGAAATACTGGTGAACTGTAGGTTTGGATGTGACATGTATCTCTGTAGTTCTGAATCGTTTTCCTGGTCTTGAGCGAGTTGATTGTAGTCGATGGATGTTTCTGTTAGGTCGATCTCTTCTATGCGTGATAAGGCGTCGGCCGCTTCGTTGTTATCACCGTGCACGTACTTAATATTTGAACAAAACTGACTAATGAAATGAAGTTGTCGTTCTCTTCGTGATGTGTCGCTGGTACTCGGTGATCTTGTTAGTGCATAGGTGAGAGGTTTGTGGTCGGTATATATCGTAAGGTCGTTGCCTTCTATTAACCTACGAAGGTGTTTGACAGAAATGTACATCGCTAATAATTCGCGATCGTACACACTGTAACGTCGCTGCGTCTCGCTCATTGTTTTTGAGAAAAATGCTAGTGGTTTCCACACGTTGTCTACTTGTTGTTGCAGTACTGCGCCGATGCTTGAGTTTGAGGCGTCGGTATATAAGCGTAGCGGCGCGCTATGTATCGGGTGCGTGAGAGTAGTAGCGTCGAGGATGCTTTGTCGACATTTCTCGAAGGCTAGCTCTGCTTCTGGTGTCCACGTTATCGGAGTCTTGTCTTTTTTCTTGGTGTTATGTAGATATTTATTTAGTTCATGTTGGTATTCGGCTTGATGGGGTAAACAGCTGCGATAAAAGTTAATCATGCCGAGGAATCTTCTTAAATCTTGAATTGTTTGTGGTTTTGGGTAGTTAACTATTGCTTGTATTCGGTCTTGAGTGGGTTTAATTCCTTCTGATGAGACTTCGTACCCAAGAAATTCGATGTTTTGTTTGTCGAACTCGCACTTATCGATGTTTAGACTGACGCCGTAGGTATTTAGGCGTTCGAGTACTATTTCAATGTGACGTCGATGTTCATCTTGATTTCTCGAGTGCACAAGTAGATCGTCGACGAAACAAAACACTATGTCGTCGAGTCCTCGTAGTACTTCGTGCATAAATCGTTGGAAGGTCTGTCCTGAGTTTCTTAGGCCGAATGTCATGCAGTTGAATTCAAAGAGGCCAAACGGAGTTATGATTGCTGTTTTCTGTGCGTCTTCTTTAGCAATCGGAATCCAGAAGTATGCCATCTTGAGGTCTAGTTTCGAGAATATTTTCTTGCCGTGAAGTTGGTATGTAAAATCTTGTATACGTGGTATAGGGTAGCGATCGGGTACTGTAACAGCGTTTAGTCGTCTGTAGTCGCCGCAAACTCGGAGTGAACCGTCTTTCTTCTTGACGACGTGCAGTGGACTCGCCCAAGGACTGTTAGAGGGTCGGCAGATACCCATCTCGATCATGCGCTCGAATTCAAGTTTTGCTGCCTTGTATCTGTCGGGCGGTAGGGGTCGCGCTCGTGAGTATATAGGCGGTCCGGTTGTCTCGATATGATGTGTGACGTCATGTTTCACAGGAGTCTTCAATGACATAGGTCGCAGAACATCGGGATATTTTTTTAGTAGGTCGTGATAAGCGTGATCGCGGTTGACCATGTAGACGGTGTCTTGCTCGGTGCCGTTGATCTTGATCGCGTTTACGCTTAGTTCGGTGATGCGGTCTATGAGTTTTCTTTGATGAAGGTCGACTAGTAGTTGGTGATGTACTAGGAAGTCTGCGCCTAGTATAGATGTGTTCACGTCGGCCACGACGAATGTCCACCTGAATCGTCTTCGTAAGCCTAGGTTGAGCTCGAGTGTGCGCTCTCCGTAGGTACGAATTTCGGTGCCGTTGGCCGCGAACAGTTTGTATGAGGTCTTCGCCGGCTTGATGTGTTTTTTATTTCTTGCAGATAGGACTGATATGTCTGCTCCCGTGTCGACAAGAAATTTCTCTCGCAGGTTGATGTCGATGATACATAGGCGGCGGCTGGTTTGGTTTACATCGACGCCCGCCAACGTCGATGTACTTTCTAGTTTTCCCGCTTTTTTGAACACGGCGATTCGCATTTGCGTGCTTGGTCGCCGAATCGGTAATGATAGCGACACACCCAATCTGGGTCGCCAGGCTTGATGTTATTATGCGCGTGCTGTCTGGATCTTGAATGGGAGCGGGAACGGTTGCGGTGTGGAAAGCGCGGGGAATGTCGGTGGTTTTGCTGGTTGGTGCGGAGTTCGGCGATTTCAAGAGACAGCTTTTCTATTTGTTTCAACAGTAAGGCGATGTGTAAGTTGTCTTGACATGCTGTTGCTGTGGAGACTGCGTTGACGGATGCTGGCTCGAAATGCTCCATCATTTTGTCAGCCATTGCGGCTAGCATCTCGAGTGATGACTCTGTGTTGACGGAGAGTACGGCGCGTATTTGGGCTGGCAGTTGGTTCAGCCACATCACTTTAAGTGCTTCGTCGGACAGGAGTTTGCCGCTGAGGTCGCGCATCTTGCGGAGTAGCTGGCTCGGTTTTTGGTCGCCGAGCTCGAGACCACTCAGCAGTTTCTGTAGCTGGCGATGGTCAGACTCTTGATATGTGGAGATCAGCCGTTCTTTCAGTGTGCTGTACTTGCCGGACGCTGGGGGGTTCAAGATGATGTCGGCGATCTGTTCAAGGTCGTTGTTGCCGAGCAATGGTACGACGAGGTTAAACTTCTGCTCTTCTCCTATTTTACTGGCGGCGACAGCTGCCTCGAATTGCGCAAACCATAGGCGAGGATTTTGGCGCCAAAATGGTGGCAATCTTGCGGGCAGGGATATTGTCGCCACGTCGCTCTTCACTGTGGTTACGCCGTGGGCGTGGCTGAATTCTTCGCTTGTCATATTTCTTCTAACTTGCAGGGATTTTTCCGTCTTGATATTTATTTGTGTTCTTTTTTCTTCTTAGGAGGGTCACCAATTTAGGAGTGAGAGCAGGGTTTCTTCTTGTTATTAACTCGAGGCTGTCGTGGTTTGGAATGATTTATTCGGCACAATGTCTCTACTAATATTTACATGTCTTATGGCTATCTTACACGCTATCACACATAGGTATATGTCATCTACCAATAGCAGCGCGCGTTCGTCGCAAGGCTCGACAGAGCGGCTGCGCGCATGCGCCGTCGCGGTCGCCGTTCGTCGTGATGTCGCGAGCACAGCGCGAGGCTATAATAGGGCGCGTGCCGCGAGACGCGTCCTTTCGCTCCGGTGCCGCCGACGACGACAGACGTGTCCGTGCCGTGGACCGCAACTTTGTGTCTTCGTGTTCTTCGAGCTTCGCTTCTGCTTGCTTGCCTGCTTATTTGCTTGCTCACTATATCTCGTTTCTGAGCAGAAGTCGAAAACGTTTTAAAACGTCTTTTTCAAGACGAGTTTCTGTCAGCAGAAGTCAAAAACGTTTGCAACGCCTTTTTCAAGGCGGCCTGTTTCACTGTTTCTGATCACAGAAAGTCATAAACGTTGGTATTGGTTTGTTGTTCACGGAGGTATGGTAACGGTAATCTGGTTCTTCAAGGAGGTACGGTAAAGGTTATCTGGTAATAGGTATGAGGTGTGATGGTTATGCCATAGAATGTACGTAGGTATGTATGTATGCCGCTATAACTTCATTGTAACCCATATAGGTGCGTGCGTATAAGTCCAAACACGATGTAGTTACTGTAAACCGTTCAGGAGTTCCCTGAGCTATCTTTCGTTCTCATCACCAGACCCCTAATGACAGTCACGATCAATCTTGGTGCAAAGTGCTCACCAATACGAATCATTCAAGCTCAAACACAAGGTAACTACTCCAAATAATCAAGGAGATCCCTCGACTGTTTTCTGGTTCCATCATCAGGTCGAGTTCGACCATCGGCAAATTATAGCTTTGTAAAAAGCCTACTGAAAAAACATGCAAAAGCACTACTCGCCCCCTACAATTTTCGAAAGTTCCCCTCGGTTTCCCTAGGATTCCATCATCAGATCCTGACCTCATGGAAATGGGACCCTCTTGGGAGTAATTAATAATTAATATTGCATAATAATTTTATATTAACAAACAAAATTGATTGTGGTGTAGTGCCATCTGTTGGTAATTTAAGGTATCTTTTTGATAGTAAACAGTTTCGGGGACAATTTCAAGGTGGCGACTCTTTAATCTATGGCTGTCAAAATCATTGAGATAGAAAATATTTCCTATGTCAGTGGTCAAAATATACGGAGTGTCCCCCCCCCCCCCCTGTTAGAAATCTAGCAAAACATTGCCTTTGTATTGTGACGAAAGTACCAAAACACTGACTACTAGAGTAAAGTAAAAGAATGTCGCCATTAAAAAAAGAAGATAATATAAGAAAAGTGAGATGGAAAGCATGGTCTACTAAACAACGAATTTTGATAAATGAAGTAAAAAAAAATTACTCATATGCTGGTTCTAAAGGTGCAGATGTATTTTCATTATTTGCAAAACAACAAAAAATATGTGACTGGAAGATAATTTCTCAAAAAACATCCATACCAAGTAAGTAACTTTGCAATTCACAGTTTACTGCCAACGCTAATTCCTAAAACTGTTCCCCAACAGTTCTGTTGATAATTAAAAACCACTATTATCATATATTAGACAAAAATCACGGTGCACACTGCAATAAAATTGCATGATTTAATTGAATATAGCTTGTAGTACCTACATTAATAACACCAAATTCAATAAAAAATTGATTTTGGCATTGAACGAACTGATTTCATCTATCTAATATTTTTTAATAAAATAAAACACCTACTGTGATAAATAGATTGAATAGTAAAACCTCACACTGTCATCATAAGTCACAACTTTTAAGTCTATGCAGAATTGTATTTTAATATTGTAACACCCACTTTGTATCAGTTGAATAATATCAAAGTGTGTGGCCCTATGGTCAAATACAATAAAACAATTTGCACCAAACATTTTTTATAGCCAAATAAAAGTTGGCCTGACATGAAAAAACTCATTTTGATTTCAAATTTAGCCTGGTAGCACACAAACATTAAAATGGTTCATTTATTGCTAAATTATTGTTGATGAATACATGTCCTTATCTCTTTTTCAGGACATACATGCAGTACTATGTGGTGCAAGATAAAAAATAGGTACGCAAAGTTATTGCTCTTACTACAATCTGGAAAATTAACATTATCTGAAATAAAATCGGACCCAAATGTGAACATGTATTTTGATGGATCTCTTACATTTTTAGACCCTTATTGTAAAACATTTACTGAAACTGATTTGCCTCCATCTGTAAATAAGTGGGGTAGCAATTTAGTTCTTCATTTAAAAAATAAACATGGGTCTAAAGTAAAAGATATAATCTCACATTTTGACATTATTGAGATGTTAATAGAACGGCAAAAAGAAAATAACAATGAATTGGATATTGAAGATGATGATATTTATTACCTACAGAAAACAATAAAAAAATTGATAAACTATAAGCTAAACAAAGTAATCAATAACCAATCTAATACAGTAGATAAGAAAATAAAATTATTACAATGTAAAGTGAAAGATGCTGTTAATGAAGATACTAGTTCAAACAAAATTATAGAAGTTGAAAGCACAATAAATAAAGATGATTCTTGGGATGAAAATATATCATTACTAGATTTAAAGAAAGTTATTCAAATAAAATTACATGGTGGATCTATGATGAGAGGCAATAGTAAGGAAGAAAATATAAAAAATGCTACCATAAATAAAAGTTTGGAGCATGAACACATAATAAATGAAAATGGTACTTATGAAGAAAATAAAACATTGTCAAATTTGAAGAATGTTATGAATTTACATAGTGAAGTTATACTGAAAGATGAATTTGAGGTAGAAAGCATAAAAGAAAACACTGTAATGGAAATAAATGATGATGCATGTAAAAAAAATAGATCATTAGAAATTATGAACAAAAATATAAATTTACACAGTGAAGTAATGCTGATAGATGACATAAAGGAAGAAATTGTTGAAAATGACACTGAATGTGATACTATGGTAGCTGAAAGCACAATTGATGATGTCTGGGATGAAAAAACGTTTTTAGAATATAAGAAGAAAGCAATGAAATTATTACATAGTGAACTTATGCTGGAAGATGACATAAAGGAAGAAAGTAAAAACAGTAGAGATGAAAGAATGGAGGTTGAAAGTACAATAAGTGAAGATGAGGCTTGTGAAGAGCATATAACATTGGAGAATGCTGTTCAGACTAACAGAAAAGAGCTAGAAAATATTGAAGAAATGAGTGATGATAAAGTTAAAAAGTTCTTTAAAGATCTAGGTACGACTATGAGTTTATTATTACCTTTAGAAAAACAAGAAGAGTTAAAATCAAGAATCACTAACATAGTAATAGAAAGGTTACAATCATGCAACAGGCAGAAATTTAAATTGTGCAACATATAAGCAATTGATGTGCCTTAAATTTAAAAAACTCATTAATTAAGCAAAATTAAATAAAAGGATTTCAGAATCACTACTTAAACTCTAGCCTTCAGTAAATAAATAAAACATAACATAACAGGTGAGTAACACATAACTATATTTCATGGAGGGAGGAATAATATAACTTTATGCTGATGTTTAAATATTATATTTGAGACCCAGTTTGATGACACACAGCCATACAGCTCAATACACTTACTACAATTTTATGTAAAGGACAAACTGAAGTGTAGTTGGCAGTTTGAGATCATGTCTAGGCAGACATTATATAGGTCTCCTGCTAGGTAAACTGTCTATAGGCATCAGGTGTCTGGCAGTAGTTAGGTAAGAAGAGCTGAATATCAGGCTTAGTGACATGCCTTTGGAAACACCTATGTCCAGCAGTGGACAGAAATGGGTTGAGAATTGAAATTTTAATTGGGAGAAAGCCATGCTTTGACTTTGCCTGCTCAACTGAAGAACAGAAACATTGATAATATTGTTTTTATTTCTTTTTCAGTTACAACTTGTATCCATCTTGGAGTTTTCTCGATTCTCATCCCAGTCCCTACTCTACCAAGTAAAGCAGCAAATATTGTGGAAAATGCTGTAAAGAAACTGCCTATGTAATTACTCATTGAAATTTGTTACCTAAGTGTTGATTTATTTGTTGATTACATAGATGTATGCTCTGTTCAATATAATATTAACTTTAATATGCAGATGGTTTATTATTAAAGACAAAATAATAATAGTGGTCAAAGTATTTTATTTTTTAATTAATTTGTCTACATTGCAATGTGCAATGCGTTTTTTAATGGTATAGGTAGTAACGAGCAGCTTAATGTGACACCTGCCTGATGATAAGCAATCGGCGCCGCCCATGCGTGCAATATCTGCGAATTACAAGCGTCGCCGGAATGTTATTGTTATGATTTTATTATGATGGCCAAAAGCCTCACATCTTGTGAGGCTTTTGGCGATGGGAGGGTTGAGAAAGATTGGGACTCCGATAAGACATCTCACTTTCTCTTAGTCGAGGCCATGGCGAAGCAGTGATGCTCGCAAAGGAGGAGGCTGGGTGCAGAAAGGAACTATCCTCACGCACCAGTCGTCGCAGTAGACGACATTCTAGGTGTCGGGGGTCAAGCGACGAGTCCGGCTACCGTAAGTGGTTGTGGATTTGCGGTCGGCGAGCATGGGTAGCTCGCTGCCCGACTAGAATCACACTCGAGCGTGCGTGCGTTGAGTCTGACAGGGAGTCGGAGTGTCTCGGTCCCTGGTCGCGGGAAGTTACTAGATGATATTCAAACCTCAAAAAAAAATCTCATGTTCGATTTGATTAAAACAAGCCTTTGTCAGTGCTCAGAGCACCACTGGTATGGTAATCCTGAAATCGAGTGATCGTTTGCGGTAACAAAACGAAACAATTATAGTACAAAAATGGGAAAAACAGTTTGACAAAACACCGCACCACGGTTATATTATTCAGTATTCCAACTTCATACAAACAGACGAAACGTCGAAACGCGTCGATGTTGGGGTGCGTCGGATGTACCGCGCAGTGACGAACTGCGCGACTTGGTGGTTTTTGAAATATAAACCGCTCGTTTTTTTCTTAAAATCAGTTCAAGTAAGTACATATTTAATATGTATGTCAAGTAACAAATATTTAGCTGTTTTTGATTATATGAATTCGTAAAATTTTTATCTCGATATTAATAACAACAATAATTCCACAAAGCAGCATGTGGCGAGCTGTTGGGCAGTCAGGGCAGTGACGACCCCACGGACCTAACACCCGGGAGGTGTCTTATTCTTCACCTCCAGTTAGTCCTCGTGACTAGTGAAGTGAACACTGATCAGGAACAAGCCCTCCTACCTCATTCTCGCCTTAATTGCCTGGCTTGAGTGGAGATTCGCAAGAGTAGGAGTTTAAGGAGACTCGGGCGAAGGATGCATCTCAGTGAGATGCTGGTGGGTTCTTGACCGTACTTCCGGGATTGTTCTGATAGGCGTGGGATGCCTCTGCCCCAAGCAGCTCACCGTATGTTTATCCCCGTGTTGCTAATATGCTAGCGGCCGTTTCCGGGGCCCATTACTTGAGTTTGCCAGTCACCCCCTGCCTGTTTATCCGTATGTATCAATATTGGTCAGGGCAGGGGCCATAGTATTTCCATACTTATCATCTACCAGTCCATAGCCACCCACACCCATAACGATATAATTTTCTACCATATTGCACAATAGTCCTACATCAACTGAGGATTGTTCTTTGGTGCATTTCCGTAGTGCATAGGTACGGGGATAGTCGCCGGTTTGTGTCTCATTTCATTTAGATTAAAACTGTTCAACGGCCCTCTATACGCCTTCCAAAGGCCAGAGATCCTGTGAACCCATGGAAGGAAAGAACAACAATAATAAAAAGTCGTTCGGTAAAATTTGAGAGCTTCCTGATTTTAAAAATTCGTAGTCAGCTGTTAACCATGCATGTTTCATCCGAATAATCCGCGGATATCGCACGATCTCCGAGGAGGCGGCGAACCTCCTTGCCGGATCACCGCCGTGGGATCTGGAAGCGAAGGAGCTCGCGCGCGTCTACAGTTTGCGCTCAGACGCGCGTCGCCGGGGTGATGATCCTCTGCCGCGCCAAATTAGTGCGGGGCGGAATGAGCTCCGGCGAGATCTCATGGCAGAGTGGAAACAAAGACTGTCTGACTGACTATAAGCAACCGAGGGCCGGGCACGCTATTATAGCAGCGGTAAGACCCCTCTTTAAGGAGTGGCAGTAAGAGTCTGACACTCCCTCCCGCCCGGCCCTGGGCGGGAGAAGTCATTTGATGATTTTCCCCTCACAAAAAAAAAACCCTACATGTTTACGTATCGCACGGCAGTTGGCATTTATTTTTAATAGCGGCTGACTTACAATACTGTATAAGTAGATATTATTACCGTGACCATACGTTGCAGGAAAAAAATTAAATCTATTGTTTGCCACATTCAAAATAATCATTTTAATTCATTCATAAATGATATATATTAACTTGCCGAGTTGGCAACACCAGTCGACTGTTTGCGGCTGTCACATACTGTCACTTTTGTTCGTATTTCGGTGTGTCGCTTCTCCTTCTTCGTTCGTATTGCGGTTTTCGGCATTTCGTAAATGAAAAATGATTGATTTTTCGAAAAATATAAATACGTGTGGTACTCTGAGTGTATACGTGTGATTGTTTTTAGATATTGTGTTTTATAAGTTTATTCACCATGCCTCCAGTAAATTCTAAGGTGAAAAAGAACGGCGCAGAATATGAGGTAAATAATACTAGTAACATGCATTGTAAGAAGTATTTTCAGTTAGCGGAATGTATGTAAGTAAGATAAAATTATCCGAGCGCTTGTCAATATAAAAAGCGCTTCTAATTTTCCATTATACAGGTGTATTTATTCTGATTGGGAAATTGTCTTTACTTTCTATTTGCATTATGTAGAAATTTCTAATTACATGAAAGTGCATTAGTCTATTCCATGCCTGTACTGTTTGAGTGCCATCAGCATGTAATTGCAGGATAGTCATTGTTAGTTAAATATTTAATTGGTCTGTTCTGAATATTTCCAATATATTTATCTTATTACCTTGTCAGTCTATGCCGGATATTGTAAACATTGAAGTAATGACTTGAGTCCATATACATATAATACTAGGTAAACATAATATTAGAAAGGTTCTTAAGTTTTTGAATTCTTATAAGACAAGAAAAATAATGCAACCATTGTTTACAAGGATGAATGCCTTAAATAGTTATTTATTTAAGATTGTACAAATAATGGAATGCAATATCATTTTCTCTAAGCCCCTGTTACATGTTTAGTTGAGTCTATATTGTTGTAATTATTGAATAGTATGTATTTCCCTGATGAATTGTATCATCACACTGTATTTGTTTCAGAATATCATTGCCAAAAAATGTACAGCACTGGATTTTGAACAGTACATCCAAGATAATAAAACTCTTCTCATGAATGATCCGCTCCGGGACATACTCCTGTATCCAACTGATGATGTGTCTGTAAGTTGCTTATAAATTCCTACAATCAAAATTATTGACTTTGTATTTATTCTCTTTTAATTAATAAGTTTATTGCATTTGAATTTGTGTTAATTTTTCACCTGTATTCAAAATAAACTATGTTGGTATCTTTACAACTGTTCAACATTATTTATAAAATAGATTTCAAAGGATCTAGTTCTTTTATATACCTTTACACTTTGTTAATAGTCTGAAAAGTCTCTTTTCATCTGGAATCATCATCTCTATGAGACCTAATAATAAACAAACATGTTTTAATACCTAAAGAATAATTTATGATGCACAAAAGTAATATTAGTAAATATCAGGTATATGATGCAGTAATAAGAACAGGAAAAATTCAACCAGTATGTATGCCATCATATAAATATTCAAGGAATTCCCTTTACAATAGTGTTATTTCATTAAGAACTGAAATACCATTTAGTTGTAATCTTCTTCTAAGAATGGTATAGACTCAGAAATTAGAACTTAAGTCATTAATGGTTGTCACTAAATTATATAAACGCTAGCAGCCCCTGCTTCAAATGGATACCCAACTACCATGCTGACAACAAAAAGGACACTATGTCGCAATTTCTCTTTTATCCCTTTTTGAAATATTCTTCCATAAGAACCTTCTTCTGACCATAACAAACATAACAAAAAAAGAACGGCCTAAATTGATCCACACATTGTTGAGTTATGTGCTTACCAACACATTTTTCTTTATTTTACTTGTCTCAACATTCTAAAACATGTATTTTGGAAGTGTACTTAAATAGCTACTGTTTTAAACATATATATTTGTGGTAAAGAATGGAGATAATAACTAATAATTATTCAAAAATTAAGGAGATATTAAAACAGACCTTGCACATGATGTCCCAAAAATCATTGTCAAGCCTGAAACGGGCTGTAGGAAAATATGTGAGTTGTGTACTTTACAAGTTACCAGGATTAAAATAAAATACATAGTTATTTCACACTCGTATTTTACTTATCAACTGTAATTGATTGATTAAGAACAAACTGAAGATAAGTTGATATTTGTAGCTACAGGACTTGAAAGATCATCACAGGGTGTCGGTTTTTAAGATGTATTTTTGAATTTAATTTGTCCTTGTCTCTTCGAAAGTAGGCACTATGACTTGCACTAATGCCCGTTTCAATTTTGACATAAATTTTTGGACACTATAGATATTTATGTAATATTTAAGTTATACTATACTAGTAATATGTGATACTGTAATATTTAAGAAAATAATAAAGTAACTGATTTTTCGAAAAGTTTTTATCCATTTTGCTTTCCAGAGTGTTGTTCTGCCGCGTCGTTGGAGAACTGTCACGACCGCCGTGCCTGATGTGAGGACGGCGGCATCTTGCCCTTTACTAACGAGACAGGCACTCCTCAGCTATGCCTCTAGTTGGAATCTCATACATTACAAGTTCAGCAATTATTCAGGCAGCTACCTCAATTTACCACGGTGAGTTTAATGATCTAGAAGTGAAGTGGCAGCCCCTGCCAGTTTTATGAAGGTTAAATTCAGGAAGACTTTTTCTGGCCTAAGTCAAATTGTAGAACACTCCATCTAGATGGAAGATTTCCGCAAGAAACTTTCAATTGGTTGTTGGAAATGAACCTTTGTAGCTTGTCCCTCATAATTAATCAATGAATAGTCTCAGAAACAAACACATAAAGTTTTATATGTTTGTTTCTGAGTCTAGTTTCGTAGTTTAGTTATTATATTACAGATTGTAATTTGTAAATAGAGAAATGAGTTTTCGGTGCAATAACAATAAGGAAATAGATATTTACCTAATGTGTTGTATGCACATTTGTCATTATACTCTTATCTAAATACTTTCCAAGTTTTAAATTTATGTAAACAACATTAAAAAAGTATAAATACGAAATAAGCTATGCGGATAATTGGTTTTCTCTATTTAAATTACTATTTACAACTCAATATTAGAAAGCAATTTTGCATCCTGACTGCATGCATTATAAAAACGGTAATAATATTCATGGCGAACACTTCACTAGAATAATATTATTGTTAAAAAATGCATTCATTGTCATTGGTCGATCTAGAACAAATGAAAGCTGATTGCATGTGATGTGTTAAAACTGTAACAAACAGTGTTGTACTCATTAGTATTGATAATTAACATACTTTACATGGCAATGAACATTGTATGGCCAACAAAAACTTACGTGCTCCACTCCCAAGGCCAGAGCATTATGCTCATATCTGATGCATGAGTCACATCCTATGATTGCACAACATAGGATGAAAGGATTTGATACCAAATATAGCATTTTAATAATCCAAATAATATGGTAATGAGTAGCCGCGACGACAGACGCTTTCGCTGATTCTATCTTGCATCTACAAATTGATTAAATTTAAGTATATTATTATCTAATATCAAAGGTTACATTTCTAAAAGCACATTCACTTTATAATTTATTGATGTTTACGATTACGATAAAGTCATAATAGTATCATACATTCGATTTATTGCATGATATCATTGTAGGCATGGCAAGGAAACCCAAATGCGTTTCAAAGAAACATTTACAAGTATTTTACAACATACCCATATGAGTAAATCAAATATTACTTGGTACTGTTATCAGGTCCATTAACGCTATCATTCTTTACACAGGCCCATTGAAAATAAATTTCCGGAAGAGGTATACGATATTGACGCCGAAACAGAGAGTGACAATGAGGGTCAGGCGGCTAAATTAGACCTTGGTACCAAAGAGGGACACCTGCTCAAGGGACCTGAAATTGGCTCAGATAGAATATTCAGTAACCTTGCTTCAAAGTCATTTAAGAAACGTTATTGCTCAATGGTTAGAGAGGCCGATGGCACGTATATACTTGAAGTGTATAAGGACGAAAAGAAGACGGATACAAAGCTCACTATTGTTATGGATTTTTGTTCTGATGTTGTTAGGGTAAGGTTTCCTATAATATCTCTCGCATTTAAAAATGAAATTTGTTTTTGTAATTATAAGTACCTTTTTCCTTCTTGCTTTCCTAAAGTTTGTAATTGAATAGCCAGTTTCTACCATGAATACTGTCTAAAGTGCGTGTTGTACCTCAACAGAATCCTAAAAAGGGACGGTTTTGTTTCGAATTGCGCATGGCAGGCGGTAAAGGCTATACGTTTGCAGCTGAGAATGAGGAAGATGTTAATGATTGGATCAACGCTTTCAAAGCAGCATTGAAAAAAAACCAGGATAACCAAGAAACTCACCAAAGTGATGAAGCTTTGGACAAAGGTAGGGCTAAGTTAATCGGCAATGTGTTCTAAAAACTTTATTGAACCCCAGTAGCATTTGTCTGATATTTGATGTCGTATGTTCAGATGCAGACGTATCCCTAACAGCGGAACCTCCTCCTCCTACTTACGGTACTCTGAAGGGCTTGGAGCACAGTATGAACCCGTTACTGATGCGGTATTCCCGTGAGACGGACATGTCCATCGCAGCCGCGCGCAATGAGTGTCGCTACAACATCTTCAGCATGCCATACAAACGCGCGCCCTCGCCTGAACCTCAGCTCGAACCATTCAAGTACGTGCATCATTTTTTTCTTATTTCTATAATTTCTTACCAGTGTATCATGCCAGTGAAAGCGACTGTACGTAAACCTCAAATTTATGTCACCTTTTTGCACGACAATAAAACTATTTCAACTTGAAATTGCTCCTACCATAAAAAGTGTCTCTGGTTGTTTTTTTTTTTACATAGCTTACCGTCACGAACGTGCTTGTTTTGAAGATTTAGGTTGAATGGCATTTTATTGTTTCAGAGAACACTTTGGCCAAAGAATTTTGCTCAAATGCGAAAGCTTAAAGTTTAGGTTGCAAGCGCCGATAGACGGCGATAAAGAACTGTTGTGTCAAGTTGAACCTTATTACACGTACTTAGCGCTGTACGACGCGAGGAGTGGGAAGAAACTCTCGGAGAACTTCCACTTCGACCTGAACCATGATGCCGTGAAAGATCTAGTCAAGGATAACGAGGACACGAAGTCATTAGTTGAGAATTTTAGTTACGATGTTAAGTTAGACGTTAATCAGATACCGGAAGAGTGGTTTAGATCGAAGAGACAGGTAATTATTAGCATTCATTTGCATATGAGATAAACAATGAAAATAGAAATCAAGGATGAAATGCATTTATGATAATTTGGTATTATACAACGTCAAACACTTTCACAGGTAATGCTGTCTGTAAACAATCCGCACTCAGACTTGTTTCTCGTAGTTAAGATTGATAAAATCTTACAAGGCCACGTGAGTCAGGTGCTGGAGCCTTACCTCAAGGCCACCAAGGATCCGAGACTTGGCCTCAAAGTACACAAAAACGTCCAGGCGTATGCAAACCGCGTGGGAACTTACCGTATGCCCTTCGCTTGGGCAGCGAAACCTTTGTACAAGTAAGTTTCGAGATGATATCAATCGTCATAGTTGCCTCAGAAATTAACGACGTTTATGCTAAATTAGTAACCAAAACCGTGACCTTATTGAGAGTTATCGATGGACGAGTTGGTGTCGATATAACAATTATATATAATAGACTGCACAGATAGCTCGATGGTTTGGTAACCGGCTACCGTGCAATTTGGTGTGGGTTCAAATCCCGCACGGAACAATTCTTTGTGTGATCCGCAATCCGCTTCTCTGTACCGTATGACATTAAACTCTTACTTACTAATATTATAAATGCGAAAGTTACGATGTTTGGATGTTTGATACTCAATCACGCCAAAACAGCTGGACGAATCTCGTTGAAATTTGGCACAGCCATAGGATACACTCCGGAATAGAACATAGGCTACTTTTTATCAACATACCACGCGGGCGAAGCTAGTTATTTTACAACTGTCAGAAAGTAGCATTTCTAAAATAAAATACACGATGCTATTAAGTTCCAATATATTTTTCAGAATGTACAGCAACGATTTAGACTTGACGCCGGAGTTCCCGGCTATATACCGACAGGAACCGAACAAGATGTCTGATGATGACCTGTTGAAGATATTGTCAGACTATCGCAAGTCCGAGAAGATGTCCAAACTGACTGTGATACCGGGGTGGCTCAGCATCAATATACATCAGAGCAACGAACAAGTACCAAGTAAGAATAATAATTATATTATTGGTAAAGTGATCCGACAGAGAACTAAAGTTATCGACATTGCCAAAAGGATTAGCAAACTGAAGTGGCAGTGGACAGGTCACATCTGTCGAAGAACGGATGACCGCTGGAGTAAACGTGTTCTAGAGTGGAGACCACGTCCAGGCAAACGTAGTGTAGGGCGCCCTCCAGCTAGGTGGACTGATGACATCTGCAAGGTGGATCAGTGGCGTGCAATTGGGGAGGCCTATGTCCTGCAGTGGACGACAACAGGCTGATGATGATGAATGATGTCTAGTCTCGTATTTCATTCTCGAGTCGAGCAAATATTGGAGAACTTTTCGATCTTCAAAAAGTTTTAGTAGGTAATGGGCCCTGAGACTAAAACCGTGCGTAGTTCATATTCATATTAATTGGCATAGGTACCATAATGTTACAAGGGACTTAAAGCTAGGTACATATTATGTACCATGTCAGGTCACAAGAAGGCATAACTAAGTTTAATTATATAATTAGGTACATTAGTAGATATATAAAATATTATTTTATATTCTTATTACAGTAGCATTTGTTTCTAAAAGTTTTTTTCAATTTGCAAATATGTATATGTGTCTTTTTTATTTTTTAGTGTTTTCGGCAGGTTATCTTTAGTAGATTCAATAGTTAGTTCGCCCCATTTTTCAAATCTTTGTTTACTACAATATTTTGTAGTACGTTAACTATGAGACACGATAAACAAGCAAAACACTATCTGGCTTAGATTTGCGTTTTGACAAGCCAGTTTTAAACTTGGTAAATTGCCTTGCCTGAACAGCTTAAAAAAAATCTAATATCGATAAATTATTTACAGATTGTATGTCAACATCGTATGCAGCATTGAAACCTTTTCCACTTCCGCCTACATTGCCGCTTACATTAGAGTTGGCTACATTAAACGTGGAACCGGAGCAGCCGTATGCAGCTTACATACATCATTTGTACGTGCGCCCCCTTGCCTTGAACTTTGAATCTCAAAAGATGTTTGCCAGAGCTAGGAATATTGCGTGCTCCATAGAGTTGAGAGACAGTGATACGGGTGAAAATAAACCAATGCAGGTAAGAATATAATACGGTGGTTTCCAACTAGTCTAATTCAATACTTTTATCCAAATGTCAAAAACTATACTTTTCTATATAATTTGTATGAAACACTGAGTTATAACGTCATAATATTTTTACGTCAAATAGCTTACTTATTTCTTAAGAATTAGTTGAAAAATATCTAAAACTTAGTGTATCGATCGATCGATGAATGAAAGTATAGTTATATTTCAATATTTTATTTTATTAAAACGTCGAATTAATTTATTTTTGACCTAGGAAACTACCCAATTCTTCTCTTCTATTTCTCCTCCGTATAGTGTAATGCTATTATCGTCTTCACACGTGTTAAACAAGAGCCGACAATAAGATACCATGCCTTAGGCCCAAAGCAGGAGAAGGAATGGGAGGTTTTTAGTCAGTAAGAGTTTGACACTCCCTCTCGCTCTACCCTGGGAGAGAGAAGTCATTTAATGATTTTCCCCTAACATTATAGGGCCTACGCATATATCCTTGATAAATGAACTAACAAAAAAAAAACAGAAGTTCGGGAGATTAGTGCAAGCAAATTTAGCTAGCTTTAGCTTTATAATACTATCGGTATAATATGCATTTTTTTACTAAGGTTATCGCAACCGTTCTAACATTTCCTCAATTTGCCTGAAAAGGTTACATTCGTTATATAATGTTTGATAAAATATCAGAAGTGGCATTTCCTCTTTGATTACGTATGATGCCAATGTCGTTTTGTTCCACTTATTTATACATTCCTCAACATATTATTATTACCTACAAACATAATATGTGTTTTGATATTTATGGAATTATTTACTTATTTGACTGCTTTATTTGGTTTACACTCAATGAGGTAATAATGTATGTGCGAATATTTACAACATACGTGATCGTGTCTTTGATTATGAGTAATGATTTGTAATTTTCACTACTATTAAGTAAACAAACAAACAAACAAAAAGTATTTATTTGCGTCTGAGACGCATATAAGACACAAAACGAACGAGATAATAAAAATAAAGGTAAAAAAAAGAAAATTATATTACATTATTAAAGTACATTGCCGTCTATCACTGAAATCTATTAATTCTGATTTCATGTTATATATGACTTTTTTGTAAGATTTGTTAAGCTTACGCTACATCAATACCAATCCTGGTGATCAAAAAACCGTAACCCTTATCAAATAAATGGGCTTATTGATTGTGCTTTAAAAAAAGAGAATATCAGATGTACTATAACAGATTTTATTTATTTTCTAGGCTGTATACGGCCGGTTCGGCATGACGACACAGTACCGTTGCTCGGTCTTACATCATAATGCGAACCCCACTTGGAGTGATGAGGCCAAGATTCGTCTCCCAGCCACCATAACAGCCCAGCATCATTTACTGTTCACCTTCCACCACATATCCTGTGACCTTGCTAAGAAAAATGATGCTAATGTCGAAACATGTATTGGGTACGTATTATAACTGCTTCTTTAAAAAAAACTGATAAATCAAAGCATATTTTTAGTTGTTGTTTTAGTTTCTGTTTCTATTATGTGGTAGAACATGTATTTTACTATACTGTGATAATAAACACATTTGTTTGGTGATTTTCGAACTGAGCAAATAGTTGAAAGATCTTAGAAATTCTTAGATGTATTACCAATTTGATTACAATAAAAATAATAGTTGGCTCTACCTACCTACCTACCAATTCTTAAATCAGTTACCAGAAAAACAAGATAATACAACTTAGTAAACTTAGCTCATAATATTTCAATATTTGTGCTATAACATTTTCACTCGCTATTTAAATTCTAATAATTGCCCCAGACGGAAATCACATGGAAGCAATAATGGATCACAAATAATAATATCTATTCTATTGTTTATAGAAAACAATGCACCATAGTAGTCTTAGCTATATCTATTCAATAATAATATTGATATAACTCAGTGATTCTGTTTAACTATCCTATTCATAAGCATAGGCATTTAAGGTATACTTGGAAGATACAATGGAAAGCATGTAAGGATAATATCCTTACATATTATATATATGTATTTTTTATAGCATTTTAAAGCAGGTTTTTTTATAGCATACGGTGAAAAACGAAAGGCTGGTCACTTCATGGTGAGCGATCGGCGTTTCCGGCGGTTTGGGGATAGGGATTTGAGGATTGGCACAATACATGTTTTACATAGCGTCACTCAACATAATATTTCACGCCGGTTTTCTATGGGGCCGTGGTATCACTCCAACTAAGCCGACCCATTCGTGCTCTCTCACACTTGAAATCTACTTGACATTAACGTTTTTGCTTACTTTCCCTATTAACAATAACTTTTTGGTAGTATTTAAAAATATTTAAACCCGGATATGTCTCTAAAACTGCGATCAATGACCGTATCAGCATCGTCAAAATTTTCGGCAACTCAACTGCATTTATTGTCTAGGTTAAAGGCCAAGCGTGATGATTTGTATGACCTTCAATGCCATCAGTTGAAGGTATTTGGACTCGTAATGATGATGACGATGACGGTGATTCTAAACTATTTTAATCATTACAGATATGCATGGATTCCCTTATTGAAGAACGATAAACTGGTGGATGAGATTGTAAACTTGCCTATTGCGACACACTTGCCGTCTGGATACTTGGCTATTCAGCCACTTGGACTTGGGAAAGGGGTAAGTTTTAATTTGGAACAAATTCATGTTTGGGTTTTGTGAAGAGGGAAAATGAAAGAAAAAGTTATAAAAACAAAATGTGTCAATAAAAATGCTTCCTCACACTATTATTTTCTTGTGTGCCTTTGCAAACATAGAATTTTATATACACTGCAAGTTGTACTTTGTCGGTTTTAAGTAAGTAATTTGAAAATCTTTTTTTGGTGATTAAGAAATTACCAAGTCGAACACAGTTTTGTTTTACGTTAATTTGGTCAACACAAAGTTTAATGAGGTGTTTCTAAAAAAAAATACAAAAACATACACTATGTAAAGACTCAATTACCCAATGTTGTCATTTTTTCATTTAAATACGTTTACAGAACACCGGTCCAGAAGTAGTATGGGTAGAAGGTGAGAAGCAGCTCTTCCGTTGTCAACTAGTGCTGGACTCCACAGTTGCCACCAGGGACCCTCACTTGCATAACCTGTTCAGTCAGGCTGAAAGACTTATTAAGTCCAGTTCACCCCCCACCTCGCCATCCCCACCACCGTGGAATGACGTATGCAACGCCCTCAAAGCTGCGCACGCAATCAAATTGAGTTCTCTAATAGCTTTCTTGCCAACTATTATGAATCAATTGTTTGAATTAATGGTAAGTTTTCTTTTTTGTCAAATACTAACTCCCGCCCGCGGCTTCGCACGCGTATAAAAGTAATGTATCCCGGGATGTTAAAAACAGCAACGTGTTAAGCGATAGCTCGACTGAAATACACAAACCAAGTCAAATCAGTCTATACTGTCTCAGAAACGTTTTAGCTATTAAACAGTAAAAGAATTTTGGAACTCCGACCAGCGGTTTCAAAGATTGCCCCCTACATACAAACTTACAAATTTTACATCTTTATAATATTAGTATAGACAAAATCTATTCTATATTAATTTTTTTGAGGCGGAAGGTCTTGTTTTTTTTCTCATAAATAGTCAATTTTATGATAATATTTTAATACATAGTTTTATGTTGTTACATTAAACGCATAAAAGTTTTTGGTGTATTAATATCAAATTGTTCCTTTTATATTTTCAGACAGTTGAGAAAAGTTACACTCAAGACATGGGTTACCAGATTGTGAAACTGATAGTGCATTTCGTGCATATGATACACGATTATGGTCGGAAGGATTTGTTGGATAGCTACGTTAAGGTAAGTTCAAAATCGTTTGTAGAAAAAAAAGAATACGCAGTTAATATGGTAATTTATCTTTTACACATATGTTGTGTATAAACATCTTATGTAATTTTTGCATACATTAGAAATCAGAGTCCAAATCCAATGATTTATTTCAAATATACCACTATAGGCACTTCTGGACGGGAAACAAAAAATTAAAAAAGTTCAACTTTGTTTGTCGGTTCGTCGGTTTGTCATCTAGGGAAGCTATTTTCTCATTCCAAAGGTTAGATTCGTATGGAGAAGAACGTGCAAGAAACTCCAAGATTTAGTTTCAGTTTTGGGCTGGCTTTAGTCGTGGGGTTGTTTGAGCAAATGTCGATTTTACATTACAATAACTCGTTATTCTTAGAACACCTACTTTTCTAATAGATTTCATTTATTATATAACAACGAAATGTTTTTTTTAACTTCATGTTCTAAAATGGCCTTAATATTCTTATCGTTACAGTACGTTTTCAACTGCGTCGAATTCAAACTGCACACGATGTTGACGGCTCCACTGCACATGTTCGTGGATCCCAACCAACCGGACTTTTTGCTCGGCAACAAATTCATGCAGTACTCCGGTTTCTTCTTCGATATAATCACTAAAAGTATGGCGCAGTACCTTATCAATACAGGAAGGATTAAAGTAAGTACCTATGTTAGTAATTATAAGGAAAACAAAACGTTGTAGAACGGGTATGATAATAACTAAAATGCCTATGAATGCAATAATCCCAATATTGGTAGTGTTATGTAATTTATTTTAATCTTTCAAGTTTGCAAAGGATTTTGATTTACTCTACGTGCCATACGCTTTGGTTGAGCGCCGAGCTACCCTTACTCGCCGTCCGCAGACCCGCGCTTACGGTGGTCGGAGATCGTCGCGCGAAAGGGTTTTAGGTTTTATGTAGATTTAGATTCCCAGGTCTGTATAGTAATAACATGAAGACTAGAAATGTGCCCAGTGCGTGTCAATGGGATGACCATAACCATTAATATATAATTCGTTTTATGTGTTTTGAAAAGTGGGTGTCCTTTGGGGTTTATAGGACATTTTAGTCGGCAAACGAACAGACGTATAACCTGATGATAAGCAATTGGCGCCGCCCAGGTACACCGCAATACCAGAAAAGTTAAAGAAGGCATGGAGAGTAAGTTTAAAGAACTTTATTATCATAAGAACTTAAACATGATATGGATGAGTTATAAGAATATGGATAACATATAATTATTCTATTATTTTTAGATGTCACGCCATGAAAGGTTTCACGCGGATCTACTAGAGAACATTGAAAAACTAGTTGCGACTGTGGAGCCTTCGTACATTTTACAACAACCGATGCAAACTCATATTTTCAACAAAAATCTTGCCACATTTTTAAAAGTAAGTCTTGTTTTGTTTTTGTGTATATTTTTTTTATGCGTTAAATCGGCAATCGAACAATCGGATTACCTGGTGGTAAGCAAAATGCCGCCTATGGCCACCCGCAACCACAGAGGAGCTACGAGTGCGTTGCAGATCCTTTGAGGATCAGTGATTTGGAGATTTAGGGATTGGGAAGGGGAAGGATTGGTCCTCCGGTAACCTGACTCACACGGCGAAACACAACGTTGTTTCACGACGGTTTTCTGTGTGGCCGTGGTATCACTTCGATCGAGCCGATCCATTCGTGCCTAAGCACAAGTCTCCCAGACTTTCAGGGTATTATATAAATATAAAATATGAAAATCTAAATAAAACTTCGATTTTTTGTATTATTCCCTTAAATAAGTAACAGAAGCCTTTACAAAGTTTTATTGGGTGGTCTGCACATGATTGGTCAAGCGGCTACGGTGCAAACAGGCGCTGAATCCTCGCGACAATTGAGTCAAAGAATGAAATAATATACACACACCTTTTTTTTTAAAGAAAATATTAATATGATTACAAAATTAGTTCGTAGTCAATTGCTCAACTATAAACAACCATTTTTCTAAAATGTTGCCTTCGTCTAAAAATAATTTAATAATTTTCTTTTACAGTCTTGCCTATCATTCATGGACAGAGGTTTCGTGTTCCGACAGATAAAGAAATACTTGGATAAGTTCAAAGTCTGCGATCCTAAAGCTTTGTTTGATTTCAAATTCACGTTTCTACAAACAATATGCTCCCATGAACATTTTGTGCCGTTCAATCTGCCGTTACATGCGAATAAACTGCCTAAAGATGGCGACGAAGGTTAGTACTTGTGGAAAAGAATAATTTGTAATGATAATATAAATATTTATTGAAAAAAAATTGATTTCATATTTTCGATGATCAATTTTCGACCTTGTACTTACAGTGATAAGGTTGAAATTAGCTTTAACACAGATGCTTTTTTAAAAACAATGTTGTTCTTTAAAAAGTTACACAAGATTTATATATAAGTTCACCGTGCCAACATAAATACAAGACCTTAACTACCTAATATGTCAGTCATTATCAATATAATTGTTACTTTTACACAGATCCCGCGAAGCTGAGACTCACTGAAGATTTTATTATGAGACACTTTCTTGCCGGAACCCTGCTAAAACAAGTATAGACCCTTGTTTTACACATTGTACATTGCTAGCAATAGAGCATGAGACATGCTTGAAACATTATTACTATTATTACTTTTGAAAATTCTTTATATCCATTTCTTATGTTTATATTTTAGGTTGAACAGTCGTTGAGGGAGGCGCCATTGAAGCGCAGGTCTGCGCTAAGTGTGCTCCGAGCTTTATTGACGAAGCACGAACACGATGATCGGTACAGGAGTCGGCAGTGCAGGGCGAGGCTCGCGTATTTGTACTCGCCGTGGCTGACTATTGTACTTGGTTAGTATTGTTTTTTTTTCATCTTTGAACAGCTATTTTGATCATAGACTATGTGATTTATTATTTCATTACTGTCATAAAAATCTAATTGTACAAATATAAGATTACATATTTATCTTCCCTGTAAGACAGTGTTGGTTAAATAAAATTTAAATTAATTAAATTTTAATATGACAAATATTTATAAAACGAATTTAAGTTTAGGTCGTTACGTATCAGTTCAATATAAATAGTATTGAGTCGTGACATCACACTATGTTGTGTGTGGTTGGTGACAGAAGTCATTTGATGAGCGCTTCATCAAAGTTTTTCAACTGCATTATTTATTAGCGTTTTGAATCTTATCCACGAGCTAATAAGGAAGCATTATTACTAAATTAGATTTTTGTGATTCGCTACAACGTTTCTTTTTAATGGTTTAGCATGATTTATAAAAATATTATTATTTCGGCAAAAAAAAACATTTAAAACATGTATTGTACTCCCAACAGACAACGCACATCGTCTTATAACAAAGAACTTGGCGAGTCCCGTAGAGAATGGTCACGATAGAGTGGATGGCGACGCGACAGTGAACCCCGTACTGAACAGTACGCAGAAAGAGGCCGCCTCAGCTAATAGCACTCCTAGGAGGAACAGACTGACCTTACATTTTGACCATACACCTGTGAGGAACTCCGCGCATTTCAAGGAACCGCCTACAATACCGGGCAATCATATGTATGGGAAAGGTGAGTGGATATCCTCCGAACTAATATTATAAACGCGAAAACTTATAACTTTAGGTGTACATTTTTACTACGCTTCACGTAAAAAGTACCTTATAAGTACTTATGTATTAATCTAGACTCAAGATTAATACATATGGCTCATAAGAGTTTTTAATCTGACTTTTTGACTTAGTACTGCGGGGCGATGTCGCTGTCAGAAACACTCTTATTTTTATCTAAAGAAATTAAACGTTTTCAATGTCGTGTAACTACACTAGTCTTCGAGATCCATCAGTGATTATTATTCAATTTTTTTAAGTTAGAATATTGATTCATGTAAAACAAACAGGTTTATAATAGACTTTTATTTTACTGCATACAAGTTCATTTACGGGATTTGTCATCACTGAAAATGATTGATGAACTTGTTCCTTAGTAAACGAATAATTACAAAGCTTAGTATTAAAAGTTCTAATGTTTTTTTTGTTTTTGCCCTGAGACGTTCACTGCGGGACTTAGTCTTCCTCAAAAAGACTTCTAAACAGGGAGTTTGGAAGAGCCTTGCATCCAGCTACTCCATGCAAACTTTATCAGAACGTCTGACCGCGTTGAGGGTAGACGTCTTTCGCATAATTTTATTTATTCCCACAACTTCAATTTCTTTATCTTTCTTAGATCACGCCAATAATATGTCACAAAGCAGTTTAGAAACAGTTTCAACAATGTCTGGAGGCGACTCGCTGCCAAGAAACATTGGACGACTAGATTTAAGTGAAATTGGTGATCAAGTTAATAGGTAAGTACCAAAGATAAAAAAATTGTCTATTCTCAATGTCATAGTGATCGTTTTTCTGTACATATTTATCATTATAATTTTGAACTCTACTCACAATATCATAGTGACTGTTTTAGTATACGTAATATTTAGGTATAATTCAATATTTGAACTCTATTCAAAATGTCATACTCATCATTATGTACCAAAGATGTGTCAATGTTTAATTATATTATAGACTCTATTCCTAATAGTATAGAAATGGTTTATATGTGTAGATTCGGTGTGATGTCCGCGGAAGAGGTGCGCGATGTCCTTTTGTGCTTCTTGTACGTATTAAAGTATTTGGATGATGAGAGGCTCGTTGATTGGTGGAGGACTCAATCGCAGGCGCAGCAACAATCCTTCTTTAATGTGTTGGAGTAAGTTACATTTGTCTATCTACTTCTGACAGCTTTTTGTATTAATACAACAACCTTTTTACTTGTACTAGCGACCCAACCCGGCTTAGCACGGCTACAAAGTGGATACAAAGTTTCTCTACTATTAAATGAATGCGTATTCGTATAAATCTTCCTCTTCAGTTACCCAGTTTATAAAAATATAAAGATAGCAAGAGAGAGAGAAGCATACTTAAGGATATAGAGAGAGATAAAACTACTTTGTTGTATACTATGAAGTGAAATAATATGAAGTGTTATTTTCTGTAACATGCTCATATGCGGCTGGCTAGAACTAATTAAATGTTGTAAACCCGATCACAACTCGAGCAGTAAATTTGGCTAACAGAGTTGTAAAAATAAAAAATGGAAACAAGCTGATTTATGCAATTATTAGATAAAATAGTAACGTATCTGCTTGGTAATAAGGTCTATTTTGCCGCAATATAATTCTAACACACATAAACCATTTCAGAATATGTGCAGAACAATTCCAATATGTCGGACGTAAGAAGATTCTATCAGAAATGAAAGCGACTACACCGGACTGCAACGGCAAACCGAAGCCTGTAAAAGCCAGAACTTTGCCTGCTAGAATGAGCCCGCCTGATTTCTCCAAGGAACCACCAATAGTTGTGGAGAAAAATAATACCGTTAACAGGGAAAATCTTGTTAATCCATCTGTTACTACAGGTAAGATAAACCTGTAATTGATTTTACCTCAAAAGAACATTCGGTTTTGTATAGTTAGCATCAAATGTAAGTTCTCCAATTTATATGTTTCTAATGAATAATAAATCCCAGTTAGGTCGTTATTCAAATGGTTGCAATTGTGTACCTAGCAAGTCTCGCGTCCGATTCCTATGTCAGACAAAATAACAGTTGACAATCAAAGCCCGTGGTCTAATTGGATAGTTTCCTAGGTCAAAAGTGATTTACTTTTTACATTGCAATGCAAATTTATTATATTTCAAATATTGATTTGACGATATGCTTTATTTTAGTTCTTTTCTAATTCACTTTTTAAAAACAAGTATGCTGTTTGTTTGCATAGAAAGGTATCTTTTGACATTTTAATAAAAGTATTGAATTTGACTATGTGATGTATCTACGACCTATGTGTCCTTATATAGCTTATGATCATAACAAAAATAGGCAAAAGTGCTTATTCCTTCTAGGACCTTAAGACTTGCACTAAAAAATCCCATTTTATTCCTTTGAATAGAGTTGGAAGCAATAGCGGAACACACAGTGCTATCCGCAAGCTGCCTTGCTACGGAAGTCGGGCTTACCATCATAGACCGCGCCTGTCTCTTCATGAAGAACTTGGGAGCAGCTGACGGGGTCGCAGCGAAGCCCTATCTCAAACTATTGCAGTACCCACAGAGCGAGACTTTGTACAAACATCTGTTTTCTGCACTAAGAGCGTATATTAATCAGTTCTCGGAGACTTTGTTTGAAGGTAAGTGACAAAAATCAAAATCATTTATTTCAATTAGACCCTTACATACACTTCAGAACGACAAACAGCTTAAGTATAGTAGGTGTCAGTCTGCCGGTCAGTTCTCTTAGTGAAGCTATTTGCTTGTATCAAAGTGTAGATTTCGTTGGAGGAGCATGATCAAGAAACTTAGTGACATTAAAGTATCTTTGGTACAAAGTATTGTAACACTGATGTGTGTTGCCATACCAGTATATTTAACTATCAAACACCAACCAGCTCATAAAATATAATTATGTTCGGGAAACACCCTACCAACTTTGCCTTTTTCAAAATAAGTGACTACTTTGTGTTTTTTTTTTCAATAAGTCTTTAATAAATAATGTATCACTTAGTTTTGCAAATTGATCTATTCAGTAGAGAGATTATGGAAAACGGACAGACTACTCTTAAGGCAACAGCTCATTAGACTCACCCGGCACCGACTTCTTCAGTACTTAAATCTATGTTTGTTACTGCCACCCAGGGGGTAGTACAGTATGTTCGGGCGTGGTGGCGGCCGTGGTCCGGCTGTGCGAGGCGCGCGCGGCCTGGCTGCGCAGGGAGGCGGCCGCCGCGCTCTACCTGCTCATGCGGGCCAACTTCCAGCACGGTACTGGCGGGGACCTCACTAGGGTGCATCTACAGGTAACCCTTTCGGTGTTTTGGCTTTCTGATCCGTGTCAGGCTCGCCTCTCTACATGTTTCGCGAGCTTTCTTACTTTTTTGGCTTTGTCCCAGTAAACTACGATTTATATGGAGCGACAACTGCGAAATCACGTCGTTTTTACGTGCCGTCCATAAAACTCTAAAACGTTTAAATTGATGTAAAAATGTCACTAAGCATTCTATAATCTCAAAAAACCTGATACATGGTAATCAGCTTCTCCAAAAAGTTGGTATTTAAGAAGTATAACACATCTATCAAAAATGTTTGACTAGTACTGTATATTATATTACTATAGGTTATAAATTTCTTATTGTAATTGTATTGAAATTTTTGCAAAATGCGCCAGGTCATCATGGCTGTATCGAAGCTACTGGATAACTCCACTGCCCTGAACTGCAAGCGTTTTCAAGAGTCGCTCTCTGTCATCAATTGCTTTGCGACTGGTGACAAGGCTATGAAAGGGACTGGTAAGAAAATTTACTTCGTTATTATTAAAAAATCTTAGAGAAATGGTGGTGGTTTTATTCGGCATAAATATAGTACAATACGCAAAGTATTTTTGCTGATGCGGGCGAAGCCGTTGGTTGAAGCGGGCGTAATATATATATTTAAATCTTTAACTGCCGACAAAAGCTGTTAAGGCTAATACTCGCCCAGTGTCGGACACCATTCTCAATCCTCGTTTAATGTGTTAAGTCATTTAAGTGGCTTTGTTCTCGATGCTCATATATTTCTTAAGTTTTTAAATGTGAGAATGTCTTTTAATCATACAAATACAATGTCAGGTTTGTCGAGTGAAGTTGCGGAGCTAATGCGGCGCGTGCGCACTGTTGTCGGAGCGCGGGCGCGCCTCGCGGGAGTTGGGGGCGTTGGTGCTTCAGGTAAGGTTTTTTTTTTGTTTTCAAGTATTTTATACTTCTAAAACAACGGTTTTCAAATGTTATAACCTAATATGGTAGCTACATCGCATCTGGAATGTAAAGATGTAAGATTATTATCTTTTGAAAATGATATCACTAGTAAAGCAAATCTAAACTTAGATTGGCAGGATATTAAAGCTGTTTGTACATATAGGAGCTGGCAGTGTCCACCTAGCGGAGTTACAGCACGCTTTAGCCGCGTCGTGTCGCGCCACGCCACGTCTGCGACACGCCTGGCTCTCCAACCTCGCAGAACATAACGCTAGGCAAGGAGACTACGATGAGGTAATTATTGTTTATCAATTATGTTGATACCTAGATCACAGGTTTGAAGTAAAAACTTTTTTTGTGTGTGTTAACTCTTTGTCAAAGTTCTAAATACCTTCAATCTAAAATTTTGTGATATAAATGGGTTTTTGCCTTACTCAATCTGTTTTCAATTATTCACGTATATATGTAGGTATAGTTATTGTTGTGATAAATAGCCAAGGAATAGATATGAAAACTTGTTTTTTTTCTTAAACAGGCAATGTGTTGCCAACTTCACATCGCGGCCCTAATGGCAGAATACCTCAAACTGAGAGGAACCCAACAATGGGGAGCCGATGAGTTCGCGGAGATCTCACTCAACATACCACGCGATGAAACCGGCCTTAAAATCGACGAGGGTAAGTAAAACACCATTTCAATCACAATATCAATAATATATTTTATAATCATTGTCGTAAAGTCCAATTTTAAATACCACAGCCTATCCGTCGATTTGTCACGCACTATATAACTATGTGTTAGGAACGAGCCTGCAGTCTTTGTTATAATTGTGTGTCACTATGTATTTGGTTAGTTCCTTGAAAGTCTCGAGTGGGCAGAACGCACTGCACCCTGGAACTTCCATGAGGCGAGGTTCGGCTGAATCGTCGTCCCAGTAGTATATCTGAAAAAATAATATTACTTTGCATTTGATGGTTTTATGGGAGACTATAGTTTGTCCTCGTTAAGTTCTTGTGCTAAGAAGAAGATTTCATCGTTTAAAAATATTTCGTTCTTGGCATTTGAATCTGGAAGTTTTAAAAAGACTTTTGTTAAGCTGTAGAAGTCTTCTGGCGGTTATTAAATTGGTAATGAACAATACATTTTTTTGGCTTTATTAAATACAATAAAGTAATCCGATCAAAAGTCAGCGTCTAAAAAAGTTATTTTTCAAAATGATAAAACAAAACGTTATTTTAAATTATTAAAGAATCGTTAACTTTTTTCTTAAAGTCATTTAGTTTCGCACTCATTTTACATTAGCTTTGCGGTCAACAGTAAGAGTTCATGGCCGACTCTCTTGTGTTTTAAGAGAGAACATTAGTAATTTTCTGTCAATAATAAAAAAGCATGTCTACTTAGTATTCTAGTGTCTAGGTCATATTAATTACCTAAAAAGTAAAAAACTGGAATTTAGCAAAAACAGGCAGGTTTGGTTTGTGCCTTTACCTAACATATGGATAGAACTGGTCGTAAAATATAAAAGCTGAATTGTTATGAAACGAAAAAGTGTAATAAAGTCGTACTTTTTAGGTGCTCCTAATACACTTACTCACCAATTTTACACAGTTTAACGATTACTATGTCTAAAACTGATGTTAGCGTAGTGAACTGATATCCAGCCAGGGTTGTGGAGTGGTCGCAATGAGGCACCGCGGCCTCGGCTTAATGCAGGAGAGGGAACGGGGGGTTACTGGTCAGTAAGAATCTGACACACCCTCGAGTCTTGCCCAGAGCGGGAGAAGCCACTGGGTGATTTTCCCTCACAAAAGAAGAAAGCTTAGTGTATAACAGGCTTGCGAGTGCAAGTGCTATATTGTACCGAAGCACTGGCTTAAAGCAGGAGAAGGAAAGGGGTGGTTTTTAGTTAGTAAGAGTCTGTCACACCCTCACGCCTTACCAAAGGCGGGAAAAGTCATTTTCTGATACTACCCTCAAAAAAAAGTAGCTTACAATAAAAGTTTCTATATGATTTGACAATGAACAGATAAAAAATATTTTTGTACTTATGTAACAACTTTACCTTAAATCCAAACCGCTGTCCTTCAGCCAGAGTCTTCTGTTCCTTATTAGACTGTGGGGAAGGTCGTCGTTCGTGTAATTCAAACAGTAGGGCTGCCCCCGGGTCTGGTAGACGTGGCGGTGGAGCCACACAAGCGCCTAACAGGGCTGCCACAGACACAGGGGTGCCTGTGCGCACGACCAGACGTACTTGGGAGTCGCCTGCAGTGATACTGCTGGCTTCCTTTATTATTTGTTGAAGCAATGCTCCTAGAACAGAGAAGTAAATGTTTGTTAAGAAATCAGTTCTACTGGGTTTAAAGATTAGGAATTAAAATCACACACTCAAAAGTATTGACAAGCGCAATAAGGAATCGCGGCCTCCGCCCAGAGCAGGAGAAGGAACGGGGGGGTTCTTAGTCAGTTAGAGTCTGACACTCCGGTAAGGCGGAGCGGACCCACCCCACCCTGGGCGGGAGAAGTGATTTGACGATTTTCCCCACAAAAAAGCACTCAGATGTATTGAGTATTTTGTTTGACCAAATTGACATCGTTTTTGCCTAGATGCTGGACTATTAATCATTTTTCTATATAGTAGTGGCGTAAATACAACTAACCTGCATTCTTAAGTTTATACACTAAATTTGTGATTAGTTTTGAAACTGTTGAAAATACATGAACCAATTGCTTACATAATTAATTTTAACATGACCTTATTTAGTGATCAGTAGACAAATTCTATCTGATCCTAATTAAATCATTACCAGGCACGTTGTTTGATGTTTTATGAACCTAATCTAACAGGCTAGAGTTTGAATGCCAAGGTTGAACGTTAGAAATCGTTGTTTTTTTGTTATATTTCAATTTATAAACACGTGCAGTTTAACGAGACATAAATATACATGAATCCTATCTTCACGTAGATGTACGATGAAATACTGGAAATGGATATTCCAATTCTTACCGCCGCTAAGTTTTCTTAGCAAGTTATTATGGAACATCATCGAGTACTCTAACCGAGCCACATCCATCAGTTTTCTCTTCACATGTTTCGCCCATTTCGGATTCGCTACTTTTATATCGTCCTGCAATAAAAAATAATTTTAGAACTCAATTCACAAAAAAATATATGTAAATTAAAGACAGCCTCTAATTTACGTGGGAAAAAAACGTTGTCCCACGCAATGATTTTCTCCTGTGTCGTGTATCCGTTTATACACGTACATACACATCACAGCCAGACCCGGAACAACAATACATATATGTCTTTAAATAAAAACAGAGTTGTGTTGCGATGCGCGGCAGCCAAAAAACAATTGAAAAAAAAAATCGCTTGAATTTGAATATCGATTGGAAAGTGAAAAATTGTTACTGAAGATTAAATAAATAATGGCCAACAAACCTGTATAAGGAATAAATTATTTAAATAGTAAGCCTCTTGCGGCGTGCTGAAGTTAGTGTTGGTCATCTGCGCGATCTTGTGAAAGAAGTCGCGGTACGGCAGCAACAGCCCTTCTTCTGTGAACGCTTTAAGTATCCTCTCCTTCTCTTGTTTGTAACGAGGACAGTTCTCTTCGTACAGCAGCTAATAAGAAAATAAATACAACATAGTCAAAGACAATATGATTTCTACACATGTCACAGAAAGAGAGAAAAGACGAGAAAGAGACAAATATTTCATGGTCCATATTCATGTTATCTCCTGTGTCGTGGGTGCGTTTACAAAAAATCTAATGTCACATACACATCCAGGCCCGGAAACGACTAGTTGTGTATCACACAAAGAGTTGTTCCGTACGGGAATCCAACAGCTTTATCTATGCAGTCAGATTTGGTCAAATCAAATTCAAATTTTTCTGATTATGGTCTACTTACAAAGTCTTGACGTCGTGGTGGATACGTGTAAGGCACGGGTTGCCATGGCAGCGTGTCATTCCACACCTGTTCCGCCGGCGGCGGCCACAGTCCCGCCGCGATCAGTAGAGCAGTCATCTTACTCAGCTCTGTATCCGAAGATATCACGATACTCTTCTCTGTCCACAAACAAACACACATGTGTTTGATAATAAACTCAAGAAAAAAGCAACTTACATGAATTAAAATTATTACCACTCTCATAGTAAGGCCCCAAAAACTCGTCATATCTCTTCCTAAGTAATGCGCCCATTTCAAATGTCAACATCTTGCCCTCCTGTAATATAAGAAAATGTCAACGTCTTTATTAATGAAGTCCGGTCGCCTCGCAAATGCTTTTCTATTAGAGCCGTATGACGTGCGACAAGCAATAAATCATTATTAGTGTCTGCCGGCTATCTGCGTGAGTGCCGACACTTCGTTCCCGTTTAGAGCACGCCGCGACCTTCGGCTATCGGGACTCCCTCCCGCATTCGGACCAGGAAGCGGACACTTCGTTATAGAATCATTCGTCTTCACTTGTCCTTCTGGTCCGACCCTTTACTGTAGTTCCGGAGATTCATTGTCACGGCCCCGGCAGATGTTACGTTACGTGTCAGATACTTTAACTTGTTTACACATCGAACGATGCACGTATTTATTTGTAAGGTTCGTACTTCGCTGTGGCCACAACTTAAATTCTGTCGATGCATTGTGCATGAATGAGATTAGGTACCTACCAGTTTGTCATACAAAATCGAATCGCAGCGTATATTAGTTACTTTGCAAATGTCGTCAATGGGCCAATATCCCCGAGTGACGGCCTACAAGGACGGGCCAACAAGTGGTCTTTTGTTACATTGAGAGAGGAGCGCCGCCGCATATGAGTAATCTAAATGCAGTATCACCATTGATCAGCGAGAGTCGCGGTTATGGTTTGTACACGTCAGGAGCTATTCGTTACGGCCGGCGAGCACCTAATTCAATGTATCGAGGAACTACGCCAAAAAGGTCCATTGTTCAAATTTTCAACATTACAGAATGATGATAAAATATTTCGGCCAATTCCAACGCTGTAATATAGAGTTCATCACATCAATTTGCCTTATGTGGTAAATTGTATGATGCCAATTTAACGTAACAAGATGAGTAGAAAATTGTATGGTCACTTACATTAGTCATAGCGCCGGCTCCGTAGGGCGAAAACACGTGGTCAGGTGGAGGGGCCCCCAGCATCGCGAGCTCGCCCTCGCTCGGGGTGCGCTCCCCGTGTGACATGAGCTGGAAACGCAATTATGATTATACAACCTCTGCAATATAGGAGTTGCGGGTCAAGCGCAATAATGTTTCGCGCCTCCGGCTTGGTACAGGAGAAGGAACGGGGTGGATTTTAGTCAGTTAGACTCTTAGCACTCTCTCTGCCTCCTCCCAGGCCGTGAAAAGTTATTCGATGATTTTCCCCCTCAAAAAAAAACTACAATATCGACCAGGAAAATGTTTCGATTACACCACAAACTGCACAAACTAATGCCATTTCTGCAGTTTCCTAGAGTCCTGATCTCTCTTAAGAATTGGAAGAAGAAGTAGAAAACAGTAAAGGAAACATTATTAATGGAATTAAAATGAACTAACAAATGGTGGTGTTAAGCATTGCTCTAAAAAAGCTAAAAATAACAAAACGACTATTCGAGCTATAGTTAAATGAAGTTGCTTATTGTAATTCCTTTTTGTATGGTTGAACCCCTCCTTGGAATATTCTCCTGCGTCTTGGGTGATTTACAAACATAGAATATCATATACAACCAGACCCGGAAACATGTTCTCCATGTGAGAGGCCTTTGCTCAGCAGATGGCACTATTAGCCTGATGATGTATGTTATGATGTCAGGAAAAATGGACCACACAAAGAGTTGTTCCGTGCGGGAATCGCCGAAATTGTCTGCCCACTGCATCAACTGAATCACTTTTCTTAAAATTAACTTACCAATTATCAGAATTTAGATAAACAGAATTTTCACAGATAGTAGTTATTTAACATGTCTTGATTCTTACCACGTGTACTTGACGGAGTTCTGTCACTTCAACAGTGGAATCCTTCATCAGTATCACTGCTACGAGGGCTGATGGAAAATAAATAAAATTAATCGTTTCAAATAAATAGCTAAACCTACTACCAAATGATCATAAGTTCAATTATCTGAAATTTTGAAACTATGATACAAAATGTAGATGTTTATAAAAAAAAACAGGTGTTTTTTTCCCCTTTTCAATGTTTTATGTAAATACTTGCTTAGCAAGAGTACGGAGCCATACTTAATGCTGTCCAAGTCTCCCAGTCTAAGATACTTGCTCTCTTATACCTACAAGGTGTATAAGATGTAGCAGTTTTGTTTGTATACATACCGGCGATGAGCGAGATGCCCACCAACACGCCGAGGCAGCAGCAAGTGTGTTCTATGCGCATGCCTTGTGCCGGCGCCGCTTCCGCCGCGTTGGTCGGCTCCTCCTCGCGACCGCCCTCTTTCCTGTGCAAATGCACCACACTCTTGACCACGTTTACTATTGCCAGCAATTGTTCTTTCCTCGTTTTCTGTGCAACTATTTTGATAGATATTTCAATTTTTATTGTTTTATATCTATGAAATAACTAATCAGAAAATAATGCGATTGAATCTACTGTAGAATAAAATTGTGCTGAACTGCGATTGACATAAACATCCGCTTTATTGCACCTAGATTTCAAAATGTCACTCACATTTTCCTTCGCCGGGTCGGCAGCTCTACATTGTAATCCGATCTTAATCGGGCTCTAGTCACTCGGGGAAACTCATAATTAAAAGTTTAGTGACGACACAAGAACCACCAGAACTGTACCATCCACTAGGCACCCGAGCAGTTCGGTCGGCAGCGGTGCGAGGCAAGAAGCGCACGGCGCGCGAGGCGGGGTCCCACTGAGATCCGTACGGGACGCTTTGCGAGATTCACGGTCGCCGCGACCTGTGCCCGCTCAGATGATTGACTTTGTCCAATCGATTGTATCACGGTGCCTATTTACACATGCGTGCCCGTATCGTCCGATGTTGATATTTAGTCGGCTGGCGCCCTTGTTAACCTCGGCTTCAATGGTAGATTCAGATTTAATCACACAATGTGCCAGACTGTGTAGATGTATGGTGTTTATTGAATGGACTGAACACGGCAGGTTGCATAGGAATTAGATATGGATAACATTAATTTCCTGTAGGAAATACATTGTATGTTTGTAATAAAACAAAGCATACATATGAATAGCACAGTAACATATGAAGATTATTTGCATGAGGGTGCTTTGATTCGCCTGATAGTGTGAATTAAAAGATTGCGCGCGCGCTGCCGTGCGAACGTACAATGCCTTCCGCCTGCCCTATCCTGGTGGGGGGCTGGGTACTGAACACTATTTTGATATAACGACCTCGCATTCTTCGCTACCTAGTTGTTGCTAAGATTTCAAATATAGACTTGTAATTTAATAACCACATACTTTTCTCTCTGATAGAATAAAACCATTGAAAACAATATTACTTAGTAACAAGAATATTGTACTGATATAAGAAACATGAAAGTCTATTACTCTTTCTCGTAAAGACTATTGAGCGTATAGTTTATAGTAAGTTGGCATAGATATAGGTTATAATCTGGAATACACTGTACACTTAGGCTACTTTTTACCCTGCTACTGCGGGCGAAGCCGCTGTCAGAAGCTATTTAATCCATTACAAATTCAACATAGACGTAATTTAAAAATAACGCACAAAATAAAGTATCACACACCTATGTAAAGACAAGAAACTTAATAAACAACAAATGTATACGACTTACTTGATACATATTACGCTTGTGAGGTGCACCATCTCGACAACACAGACTTCCAAGTACGTCTAATTAAGATTCCAAATTATCTTTGTATAAATTATTTGTATAATCTACACATCTCGTCTCGCTTGGTGATAAGACATTAATAAGGAGCTGGAGGAAACTCGGTTCACATAATTCTATGGAGGGCATACAGCCAGAGATGATATCTAATCATATTGTAACTATAAAACAACGCGGCACTACTATTATATGTTTTCTTAACATACTATTTGCTCTAGTGTATGCCTTGTGTATAATATTGACATGTACCTAGTGTACACTGCTGTAAATTACTATGTGCTCAAGATCAGTCGAAGACTTGGCTTGGCAACAATCGCGGCTTTAAACTGACATGGAAACAGTAAAACAAAAAGTTCCATGAGTAATTAATACAATTGGTACCCATTTGTTTTGTTAGATACATGGCGACAACGACCTTATGTACTTACTTCTTTAATGAAAAGTACGAAAGGTTTTTGCTATCAACTGCCGGTACAATGTGTTCTCTTCGTCATTAAAAGCTTTATTATTTTAAATTCATTTTCATTCGTTCGAAAATGGAAGCACTACATAGTATAATAATAAGGCGCTTCCTCTGTCTCTATTTCCTTATGTATGCTTAAATCTCTAAAGCTACGCAACAGATTCTGATGCGTTTTTGAAGAGGAAGGTCTATATGTATACGAGTAGGTAATAAAATACATTCAATAGCGGACATAGTTTCAGCATTACACCTATGCAAAGCCGGAGCAGGTCGCTAGTATGTTAAGAAGTAGTGTATGTTTTTTGCTGTATAGGTGTCAGATTATTTTATTTTGTGAGTACTTACCTAAAGAGGTTGACTTCCTTCGTTCGTTGTTCTTTTTTTATGGCTTTCCTTATAGAAAGAGGGACAGGAAAAAATCGTGGAAATGTCTAAGGCCGAAGGTTATAATTATGGTATTGTTCTACAACTTTTTGGTCGTAGCCTAGTCTGATGACGTGATTTACTCCTATTCGCTATCCGACCTTCATACAATGTCGAATTATTACCATCCTTGTCATCAACCTCGCTTCATTGTATTATCATCCCACCAAATCCAAAAACTTTACTATTTAGAGGAACCAATTCCCGTTACAAGCGCCATTAGAGTGGCTTTTGTGAGGAAGGAATCTCAAATGCCCTCGAGAGTATTTTTCTCTTTATTGAAAAGGTAGGGTCCTTCCAAAGGTGTATCTTAGTTATTAAGAGTGAGAGTACCTACCACTCCTAATAAATATTATTCAAGTCTGAAATCGCGTGGAATTTTCAATCATTGCGTGTAGCTAAATAAGAATCAGAGCATATTCTGTGTGTGACATGTTCTGTATTCGGAAATTTTACCTTAAAACATGTAACCAAAACCATAAAACATCAATCGTAATTTCTACAGATTTTTCAGTTTTAAAAATTTTCACTGTTGTATTGAAACCAGGATAGTAACTTTTCATCAAGCCAAGGTTCTGAGCAAATACATCGGCTTGACCGTTGTATCACCAATTATTTGATTAATTACGTAATTCGCCCTTTAAGGTGACCGCATACCCAATACTTTCCATCTCCCCATCCCTTCCTAATGCCTAAATCACCGATACCCTAATATCCAAAAAGATTGACAACTCACTCGCATCTCTTCTGGTTGCGTCAGAAGTCAAAAGTGCGACTCCGTCTCGCCTCACCCAGGGCGGAAAAAGTTTTTGGAATTGTATCGATTCCAAAATGCATCTTTACGACCGCATTGTGATTAGTCAATCATTTGGAACCTAAATAACAATTCATCATGACGAAGCACCCGCATTTTACGAGCTGTGACTACAAATCTTTGAAAAGTCACCAAGGGGGATTCCTATGCTCCCAAAGCTTCAATACTCTTGAAAAACCCCCGAAATACCAACTCGAACGTCCGGTGGTAGTTTAGATCAGTGACACTTAAAAAACATTATTTGTCCAAACTAATATTATAAATCTGAAAGTAACTCTGTCTGTCTGTCTTTTCTTCACGCCTAAACTACTGAACCTATTTGTATGAAATTTGGTATAGACATAGTTTGGAAATCGAGAAAGGACATAAGATAGTTTTATACCAAAAATCTGCAGGAAGTCACTATTCTACGCGAACAAAGATTTTTGGATGTAAAAATTATATTATGTCCTTTGAAGCTAGTTTGAAAATATATGTTTGATTTTATTAAAGGGTGACATGACATATTACGTAGACGATTTATGGTTACGGTCAAATGGCCCGCGAGCCATTCGGTTTGGGACGTTCGGACTAAGTACCTTAATCATATCATTGATCCTTGAAAAATCGCGAAGACTATGGGCCTCTTTAACATACAGAAAGTTTTCTACTTTGTCATCTATATGTAACTATCTAAAGGTTATTACGCCAGGAGTAGTATTTACACATAAGCGAATCCGTGTTATTTGAACTATACATGTCCACACATGCTATTGATTATACCACCTTCATAGCAGTATGAAATACTAATTCCCACGGTTATTTATTCATTAGTTTTGTAGCGTAGCTATATCGATAGATTTAATTGAAACAACAAACATACAAATCACAGCCACTTTATTCGTATCAACTATGTATAAAATTGTACTATAAGTCCGTAACGTTTTTACATTGTTCATCCATCTCTGGTTTTGACCATATAACATCTTGGACGAGGCTTAGGAACTTGTCGAAATCGCAGATTAGTGCGCCACCGCAGCCGTCAATTGGTAGGATCTCCGCCGGACCACCAGCGTTGCGAGCGTACACGGCCTGAAACAAATAAAATTATTCTTTCTAGATATTCGTTAATTAAAATAAATTACATCTACTTTTCGTCTCATAATCATTCAAACTCTTCTTCTATATATAGAAAAGAGTTTTTATTTCTAGTAATATTCTGACTGATAAGTCAATGCCCTGCAATTACTACCGTTATGCTATTACCTACTTGAATGTCGTCAAAGAAAAAATAAATTACGGATCTGTCTCGCTAAAGTGGCAATAAAAACTATAAATTGAAATATAAGAAGCCTAGATTTAATTTTTTAGGTGGCCTAATACCACTTCATCAATACCAAGCGAAGTGGCGTCCGCGCACCTATTCTGTCTCGAATTACCACGGTTGAAACGCTAAATATTTTTTTGCAATGCATGCGTCATGCACGCTCTCTCCCTTTGATACCCTGAATGTCAATTTGCTTATTGTTATCTGACATAACTGATAACTACTAAATCTTTAAACCAATGTTAACTCAACAACACTAATATTAATATAAACATTGTTTTAGATACCACGTCGAACTTTAAATGTTAAGAATAAATCGTAATAAAAAGGGTAGCAACAACTACATACAGATCTTTTTATTATAACTTTCGTAAGACATTCTAAATTAATTATTATATTTTCGGCTTACTCGCGTAATAATTTGACGAGATACTCGACTAGTTTCAAGCCATGTTAGAGGCCCATATTCATGAGCAGCATTCCGCGACACGCGAACGTCTGTCGCGCTGCTACTGGTATTACCAGTATCTCGTCAAATTATTACGTGAGTAAGCCGAAAACATAATAATTAACTATAGATCTATCAATATCCAGTCCTTTTTTAAGGTGAAGTTAACAGCTGACTTTTCTAGCCCTGGCGAGAGGGAGTTTCAGACTCTTACTGACTAAAAACCACCTCATTCTTTCTTTTACTCCGCGCTGGTGTCGCGGTAAATTTATTACTCTGCTCTTGCACACACAACCCCGGTTGATCAATAATGTAGTCTAAAGATGTAACATACTCAAACATTAATTTAGTAAAATATGCAAGGAAATAAATACCGTGAAACAATAAGTTGTAGGTACCTCGTAATTCTATGCATGTAATGTTATATACATATACATAATTAACCAGATCTTATTCTTGCTTTAGTCTTTATTATACATATGTATAGCCAATATGGCTGAACAAAAGATACACACTAATTTTCGTTATATTTTTCCGCCACATTTTCCTTTCAAAACAAATCTGTCTTGAATGATGCAAATCCTATTCATCGTTCATCATTCACGTGTTCAATTTAAAGAACAATAACATTTACATTTCTGTTGTTTTTTTAGATAATAGAGTTGACACAAAAATTACCTTTATTTTCCTCCAAAAGGCCTTGCTATGTAACCTACATAGATAGGTACAAAGTAATTTAATTTGTGCCTGAAGAAAGGGTCTATTGCGGGAAAAATTGTTTATCTTAAATAACCTTCGTCCCGTACAAGCGGCTTCACTTGGTTTTCTTGGGTGGCAGCCATTTTCTGGCCTATGTTATTTCAACCTCTGCACTAAATTTCGTTTAGATACGTCCTGTAGTTTTAGCGTCAAAAACTAACAAACATGTAACACACATCCTTACAAACCGTCACTTCTATAATAGTATTAAATTGTTTTAAATTTGTTCCTAATTTACTTACCGTCATACCAAATTGTCCAGTCTTAATATTATTTCTAAGTTCCAAAGAAAATGTAGAACCGTAGTTAGGCTGATGTGCTTCAAAGACTCTGGCCGCTGCCATCAAGCCAGCAACATTGTTCTCATGTGCTGAATACAAATACAGCTTGTTTGCCTCAAAATCGGGGTCGTTTATTATTGAGTTTGATATATTTACTATAGACTGCATTAATACACCTGGAAAAAAATTACGTGTAGTTTTAACACTATAATACTTTTGAGGCAATAAGGAAATGGTATCTGATTGTGCATGATTTATGACTTTTACCTGATGCTAATCTGACTAGTTCTGCATTATAAAATTCTAGAGCATATTCAATTTTAGTTACGTCTTTAATTTTCGGCATTTCTTGTTGGGCCCATTCGGGCGGATTCACTCCCACATTTTTCTGAAATACAAGTGTCATTTAGCATTTCTATTGCACATTATATTTGTTACTATTATCCATTTTTCATACTTTGAAAATACGAACCAATGTCTGGAATAAATTGTCTAAGAAGAAAACATCTTCTGGTTTAGTAATGTTTGTCTTTGTGTGACTACTTAAGTAAGAGAAGAGAGATTGGTAGGGTTCGATCCATTTTTTTATCTCTGGCAGTTCAGCGGTTTTGTCCCTCAACCAGAGGTATCGTGGGCAGTTATACCAGTACAGAAGCTGAAACAAACAAAATAATCTTAGTAGTAGAGTCAAAAATGTGGCAGAGCCGTGCTACTGCACGAAAAGGCTGGCACGATCGTAATGATTGCAGAAAATGACGTGAAAAAACTTGTAACGGCCGTTCTTTCACTGTTACCCTACCCCCAAAATCTTCAAGTCCCAATAACCACAAAAAAGTCCCAACAGGAGCAACGCATTTGTAACTCAGGGTCTGGTGTTGCTGGTATCATCAGGTGAAAATTCTGCTCGTTTGGCGCCTTATACAATAAAAAAGTAAATAAACCTGTTGTATCTTATTTTTTTAGATACGTTTTGATATTTCCATTCCCATAATGTTTAGCCAAACTCAAGTCGAGAAAGGACAACTTCAATTGATTTAAATGTACAGAAAAAATATGGGCAAAAAAGAACAAATTCACGTAGAAAAATTAATGTTTAAATGATGTAGAAATCTAAACTATGTTATTGTGTGTGTATTTATTTTTATTACATTTATTTAATAACGTAGTGACTTGCGAATTTTTGCCTTACCAGCCTAAAAAACACTCGGAGATATGTTCATACATTAAGGCAACCGGTTGTCTGATCATGCTATCACTGCCTGAATACCTAATACCATATTGATTACATGCATATATCTTGAATATTTTATTTGATATTTAATTAGCATATCAACCTATTCTTAGATTAGATCCTAAAGAAAATCAAGGAAAGAGGTTGCTAATGTTATTAACTTTAGTAAAAATTTTAGTTGATATTTTTTCTGCCTTTGCCCCTACACTTAGATTGTTTCCGATGTCGTGAATGTATTTTATTGGCTAATACGTGTTTCTCATCTACATCCCTCAAAAATATACAGGATCAGGTAAAAAGTTGAGTGATGTTAGTCTGTGCGGAAACCGAGCCCGCAACACATTGTGCGATAGTCAATCGGTCAGCTACAGCGCCTATATACCTGTATATATATTTATCAACATGCGCTTACCCCCAGCTTTGCGCGCATGAATTTCCTATGACAGGTAACCTATGTATGTCCTTTTCCATAAGCCACACTGTATTTATTTGAAATTTAACAGATATTGGCTGAGATGATAAAGACAACCACAGCGTTGTATTTCGCCGAGTGAGTGTGGTTACCAGAGGCCCAATCCAGCAGCATTCACCTTCCCCAATTCCTCCCTAATCCATAAAGCTCCAAATCACTAATCCCCAAAAGGTCGGCAAATTGTAACTACCCTGTTGTTGCGGATGTCCATGGGCGGCGCTGGTAGGTGATAGCGTACCATCATTATATAAAAAAGCGTCAAAATGTAACAAAAAGACAAACTTATTTATGATTAGGGTTAATTTAAATTTGTTCATACTCACATCATCATCTTCATAAGGTGGTGTGTTGTATGGAATGGGTTGCCAGTCCAGGTCGGGGTTCCATCTCTGGGCTGGTGGTGGCGGGTATAGGGCAGCGAGGGCAGTCAAAGCCGTCATCTTGGTCCTTGCGTAGTCAGTTGTACGGATGGTGATTTCATCAGGCAAATACAACTTCGATATGAGACCATCGTATCTCTGCCTCAGATACTTGCCCACGAAGAAGCTCCGTTGTTTACCTTTCTGTTTAGAAATTTTAATGTTATTATATTTTATATATTTACTGCCAGTTTCCGCGTGGTATTTTGATAAAAAGTAGCCTATGTCCTATTCCGGAGTGTATATGCCTGTGCCAAGTTTCATCCAGGTCCGTCTAGCCGTTTTGGCGTGATTGAGTAACGATGTCCAAACATTGTAACGTTTGCATTTATAATATTAAGTAAGAAGTAAGATAGGTACATTGAATATTAGATTTAGGTTCCAGAATATAATCGGATTTGAAACAGTCCAGCTCAACAAGGGAGCCTATCAAAATTCTACTATTAGTTTCTTAAGAAAAGAAAATACTATTTTTATTCCATGTTTAATTTTGATATGCTGCAGTTTTTTAATCTCGTTAACCGCATATTTATTAAATAAATCATTAAACTAATAGAGGTAACAATTTGTTGATATCAAAGAAATGCCTACAGATATATCATAATTATGGACACGTGGCAAAATGCGGCCCTATAATTGATACGGTAACTGTCGTTAAAAAATAATTAAATTTATCTCAATATCGTGAATATACAATAACTTCGTGAATACAATATGTACCTACTAAAGAATTTGTTTCGTGTTTATTTCATGCACATTAAAGTTTAAGTATTTTTTGTTGTGCACATTTTGCTTTTGGATTTATCTTCGTTTAAAAACAAAAAAGACAAGTCAATAGTCTTTCGGTGACTTTGTTTAGTGATTGATTTATGTATGTATATGTATGTATGTACGTGGTACGTTATTGAAATACTTTAAAAATAATAATGTAAAACAACATTGTGTAGTTCGTAATATGTCGTCCGTAATTCCAATGTTTGCTAAATCCAAGACCGTAGCTAATAGATTACCCGTGTTAGTAATGTTAATATCACACCGATAACATTATTATGTGTATATTGTTTAATACTATATTTTGGTTTTTGTTATTCTTTTTCAAAGCCGGACTAATACGGTTGTTTCCAACTAGTCAAATTCAATACTTTTATTCAAATGTCAAAGACGATACTTTTCTATGAAACATTGAATTATGACGTCATAGCATTTTGGCGTCAAATAGCTTAATTAGTTTTTAAAAATTAGCTAAAAAATATCTAAAACTTATTGTATCGATTGATCGATGAATAAAAGTATAGTTATTTTTTAATATTTTATCGTATTAAAACGTCGAATTAATTTACCCAATTGGTCTAGATCTCTTAGTAACGATTTGAATAGCAAAGAGGTTAATCGTCCATTTTATTAATACAGCCTTATTACAAAACAAGGCTTTTCTTTAGTTTAGATCTAAACCATTTAGCTAGTTTTTGTATTTCGAATTGAAGGTACATGAAAATAAGATTCAAAATTCAAAACTTGATTCAATGGTTTATAAATCTTCTTTTGTAATAAGGGGGTAATGTTTACCTATTTGTATAGTAATGAACACACCAAAATCTTATCTAGGTGCTCCATGAAACATTTTTTTGTCATTATAACTAAATCCTAATTTGAATCTTCTTCCGTTCTATTAACTTTTATATTTGATTGACATGGAGTTTCAAATAAAGCAGATATGTAAAATTGGCAATACTTTAGGTACACAACTTGCTAGATGCTAGGACCCGAACCAGATTTTCCTTTACATTAACATCGAACTTAAGTTACCATGCCAACTATTATCGAATTGTAATGTAAAATAGTATTTCATAACCTATTGTCAGTTTTTGATAAATGCTCTCGTTTGTAGGTGGAACTCTGTGCGAATTTGGTATGTAAAATGGGTGGTGCATTTGAATGTTATTTATTGCTTTTGAAACTAAAGGCTAATATTGTTTGTTTGTTTGGATAAATACTTATACGGACTCGATTGCACATTTTAACCTGATTTTTTGGTTCACTTGATTACTTTAAAGTTTTTTTATTTTCTAACCTGAAAATTTAAGTATACACTTACATTCGTCAGTGCTTTCTTCCCGTACGGGAAGAAAATGTTGTCTGATAGAGCGTTATCAGCCGGATACAACGCTAGCTCCTCGTGGTCGGGGGTGCGGTCACCATGACGAAAGATCTGTTGACAATTTATTTACAATCCTAAACTATTTCATTTAGTGCAACTATTGCTTAGTTGTACTAAATAAAGTGTACACCTTAGAAATAATAAACATGTTAAGTACCTAATTTATGTAAGTCACAAGTAAATGTACTGAAAAAACAGTGTTTATTTACATATTATCGGTTTCGTCACGCTCAACTATTAAAAATACTTGGAGAAATTGTCGGCATCATGTCAATATAAGTGGTGGACTACCGGCACTCGTTTGATAACATGATTGTCGACAGTTCGTCATTAAATGAATGATCTGCGATTCATGTAGGAAGTTGGCACGCTGGCCTGTCGTGACCGACTCAATAGCGAATCATCAGACGTACCACAAATGCTGCGACAGTTTTAGTGTCAGACAGTTGTTTGTCTACTCCGACACCTTGAGGTTCGTTCCCGCACACTGCTGCCACTAGCGCGACCACCAACATCAACACCAACTCCATATTTAAATGCCAATTTCCCGCCGAACCGACAGAGCTGTGTCTTATCAGGCGGTACGTACGCGCGTTCGCGAACCGTTTTCGACTGCAACACTCAGAGCCTCTGCTCCATTTATATAGAGATACATAGAATTGTATTCCAAGAGGGTCGCCGGACAGCATCGCTTCAATAGCTCTGCGAATCTCCTAACAACGTAATCTGTTTAACAACGAAAATTACACGTAATTTGTGTGCAGGCTTATTGTGCGTTTTTACAATTTTGATATGAATTCAATATGCACGTGGCTGTAATAGGTGATATTAGAAATAAGGACGCGGATGCATGATAACTATAATATGCGGTACCGGCACCTGTAGGGCGAGTCAAGGTTATGTTTCCCATTCATCAAATGTTTTCATAGGTATACATAGTTTTTAATGTTAGTTGGTATGCCATGATCTTGAATCTCCGCTATCACGCTGAATAAATATGATAGTAGTGGATTGATATAACTATACATAAGTAAATATTATTCTTCTAGTAAAAATTTACAAATTCCTAGAAACTTGACACTTCAAAGGTCACACCTACCAATTCCCTTTTTACTGTTATCTCCTGTATATAAACTGATATACTACTACTACAGTCGGAAGTATTCAAAATGTACTACTAATCCTTAACCTTGTATTCTTCTTTATGTTTCCTTGGGTCTCGTGATGATACCTGTTTTAATAATAGTGTTTCTACATCTAAGACTAAAGTTAGGTATTTCAAACTAATCACAAAAACTGGTTATGGTACTCTGAAATTAAATTGACATAATGGTACAGGAATAATATTAAAATTAACACCGCAGTCTATTTATAAACGAGATTTTAGAGAATGAAAGAAAAAGGTCATTGACTCGTCAATAAAAACTACTCGTAAATCTATTTTAAAATTTAATTAGTTCGACCCAGCGATCATACGATTGCCTGGCCTAATTCACGATTTGATTCCCGGGATCGAGCAAAATATTTTTGGTTGTTTTCGCTGTTTTTTGTTTATTTAGTAAAGACTCTGATTTTGAAATGCTTAATATTAAAATGCACACAAGTCTAGTTTGATTAAATACAATGATGAAAGATTAAAATATTAATATTATTTTTATATATGATTTATATTATTAACTACAGAAGTTAATCTGTGGTTGTGTTGAGCTTGATTCTCCCTCTTCTATAAATGTGTCATTGTGTTTTGGAAGATTAACAGGAATGACTCAAGTTTAATGCTTAGTAAATTAAAGATACTTCTTTTCATAATCCAAAAATATCAAATGGCTCTAAAATTGAACCTAGCCGGGGCAGCGGGGCAAGCGCAAGACGGTACCAAGACCTCGGCCTTAGAGAGGGTTTTTTGTCAGTGAGGGTCCGACACTCCTTCTTGCTATACCCTAGGCGAAAGAAGTCATTTGATCCAGTTAGATCCAATCAGTTAGTTGTTAGTAAAGGTGGTCCCTGGAATTCACCGTAGTCGTTATTTCAAAGGGTTTATAATTGATCACCATTGCAAATTCTGAATTACAAGCACTTGTAATATAGGTACTTGTAAGCTAGGCTTCCAACACGTTTAAAGATTTCCTTTTTCATTAAACATCTTCTCCTAACAATATAAATAAGGAATCAGAGAGATCAGTCCAGTCGTCCACGTATGATGCTGTAAGGTATGGAAGTTGGAATCCATTTTAAGGTTTTTAATAAGTCTAATAATTTTTTGAAAAAGTTCATAATTAGCTTTTCTACTTCTGTATGTAACGTTTGAATATCAAGTGCCATTAAAATCTATTCAATAGTTTTAATGATTTTTCACTTAGAAGTTTGTATGAACACACGCCTCGAAAATGATCTTGTTTTGCGGGATATAATCAAACAAAACCTTCGATTGAATAGTTTAGGCGTGAAAGTAGACTAACAGATATAAATAGGATAACAAGGATAGTAAAAAAAATACCAACAAATTTCAAATTATCCTCCCCTATTACAATCCCAATCAATTTTTCGACTGCACGGTTGGTGCGGTGGCTGGGCAACTGGCTGCCGTGCAACGTGTCGCGGGTTCAATTCCCGCACGGAACAACACTTTGTGTCCAACTTTGTGATCCTCAAATTGTTGTTTCGGGTCTGGGTGTCATGTGTATGTGACATTGTATGTTTGTAAACGCACCCACAACACAGTAGAAAATCCTAAAGTGGGGCAACGTTCTTTTAAAAAACTAAAAAAAAAAAACTAATTTTAAGTGTGGGAGAGCCATGCTTTACCATGAGTGGTTTGACTCGACCGGAGTGATACTACGGTCTCACAGAAAACCGGCAACAACCACAGCGTTGTGTTTCACCGTGTGAGTGAGGTTCCTAATCCCTCCCCAATCCCAAAATCTCCAAATCTAAAAGGTCGGCGACGCACTTGTAAAAAAATATTTTCACGATAAAAAGTTCAGTTATTTAGGGAAGCGCAACAGACACACAGAATAGCAGTTACTTCCGTACTTAGAATATGTGTAAGTAGTAGGCGTTTCTTTCCATTTGTTATATCCAATTCCCATTGAGACCGTGACAAATTTAATCTTAATAAAACATTCTTGTTATTTAGTTTCGCTTCGAAAATGTTTTTCTTATTCTGTTTTGACCTTAAATTGTTATGTCGTGCTTTTGAGGAGAACGTTGCTATGTCACAAGGCGCGAATCTGCCAGTCTTTGATTATCTTGGGCCCTGGTGTTACTTGAAAGTAGTCGAGTAAAATCATCGAACAGTTACGTGATTAACACTCTATTACATTTTATACGAGAGCCCCGTATGCTTAATCCACCGCTATTCTCGATTTAATTTGTACCTAATATTAAAATATGTTTTATTAAAGTATCGTATTATCTATAATAACAATAAAATAGAATATAGTCAGCACTAAGAGATTTAATGAATGTGAAGTATTGTGTTTACGTGTGTGTGCATGTATTATGAAAACCATGAAATATGACAGTCAGTTATTTTCAAATTAAGTTCAAGATCACTATTCGCATTTAAGACTTTTTTGGCTAATAAAGACAGATGGTAAATAATACCAATCAATTTGAGGTACTGGTAAAGAAAAAATCGTATTCTAGAATATACGTGTTAATATAACTCTCATTCTTTGTTTTTGATGGGGAAAATCACCAAAGACTCGACTCGCACTCGCGATTATTTTCCGATTTATGTAGAAATATATTTGACGTCTCTTGTTGCTCTTTATTGCATACAACTAACTTTCTTCTTTCTTCTGCAGGTATGACAGACGTGCATTACAACGAGCAAGCCTTCCTCGACCAGCTCATGGTCTGCACGGAAGCCGTCGACAAGGCTGAGAGATATGAACTCTTAGGTCCACTCTACAGACTTATAATCCCCATCTATGAACGAAGAAAGGACTACCAAGCATTACTAGCTTGCTACCAACACCTAACCAAAGCATACGCCAAAGTAATTGAAGTCACAAACTCCGGAAAGCGTCTACTAGGTAGATTCTACAGAGTCGCATTCTTCGGTAAAGCGCATTTCGGCGAAGATGAAGAAGGCATCGAATTCATCTATAAAGAACCTAAACTCACATCTCTAAGTGAAATATCGGAAAAATTACAACAGTTTTACGAACAAAAGTATGGAGCTGGAAACGTCAAAATGATCATGGATTCTGCACCGGTTAGTAATCACGATTTTTATTGAGGCCCCTTTCACATTTACTTAGAAATACTTTTTTGATAAACTAATACAAAAGTAATTACTTTATTGTCTGGAGTATACTGATTGAATCAATAATCATTATTCAAACGTGAGTACAATTTAGACTCTAAACTACCGATTAATGCACATTTTTAAAGATGCGTACCGTAAGGGTTGCGTTATGGATTTTCGTACCCTAATAGTACCATATTTCTAAGACTTAGTTGTCCGTCCGTCCGTCCGTCTTTCTCTCCTAGTGTCTGCCGCCAGGCTGTATCTCAAGAACAGCGATAGGTAGATACTAAGTTAATTTTCATAAATTCTGTATTGTTGTATAAAAAACTGCATTCAATTACTTGGTAATACTTTTTCGGTATATTCTTTTTTTTTGATAATATATAGTAGTATTAAGAACAGCGAAAGAGTAAATTTTCACAAATGATGTATTTCTGTTTAAACAACTGCATCCTATGACTTTGCAATACTTTTTCAATATATTTTTTTTAATAATACAAAACAACTTTTATTGTATATATTCTTCAATATGTAATACCAAAGATTATCCTAGAAAATTTGTTCATTTCTTAATATTCAGTTGTGTATTAATTTAAAACACGAATTAAATTGACTTGTAGTTTACAAATAAACTAATTTGACTACTGATAAATTTAGAATTGACCTATAGAAAAACTTGTGATGGTAGATTTACGGATCGTATTATCCTTACCGTTGTCATTATAAACATTTGCGTTTTAATGACTTTGCGTTAATTTATCTTAGAAGCTAAATTAAACCATGCCAAGTTAATTGCTTACTTTGTTTGATAAAAGTAATGATAGTTTGAAGAAGAAGAATTCGTCATTTTTGCAATCGTGTGTTGTGTATTTAAACCACGCTAAATAGGTAACTAGGTCAACTATATACCTTATTATCAAGTCGCAATTAAATAGGCAATACTTCTCAATTCAAATCACCAACCTTCAGGAATTAGTGGCAACTCAAGAACAAAAAGAGTACTTAAAAGTTATGGGTTATCTCCGGGGTCCTAGGTTCTTACGTTCTAAAAGTGCGGTCCATAGGTGGTATCAGTGTCCTCTTGCAGTTTTTGTGACGCAACCGATTGCTCACTACAACTAACAAGTCAAGATTATGCCATATTTGTTCAACAGAATAGCACATATTTCTTTTTTTTTGGGAAATGGCGGTTTTTTTGTCAGGGGAAAATCATCAAATGACTTCTCCCGCACAGGATTAGGCGAGAGAGAATGTAGGACTCTTACTGACTAAAACCCCCCGTTCCTTCTCCTGCTCTGGGCCGAGGCCGCGGTGTCTCATTGCGCTTAACGCCCAACCCCGGCTGAACATCAGCCCTATAGGGCCCGCCTGTGGTGGTCCGTTGGCTCTTTGTGGCGCGCGCGGAACGCTACGCGCTGTATGCTCGGGTCTGGTTCTGCTCGGACTGCGAGCTACCCTTACTCGTCGTCCGCAGACCCGCGCTTACGGTGGCCGGAGATCATCTCATCATCGATGGGATATGGCGGCTAACGATTAAACCTCTTAGTAAGCAATCAGCGACGCCCATGGACGCCCGCAACACCAGAAGAGTTGTAACAGTCTTGCCAACCTTTTGGGAGTTAGGGATTTGAGAATTAAGGGGTTTTTGGTTGGGAATTTCGGAGATGGATTCCAGTTGACGTATTTCCACTATTTTCTATAAACATCAACATGTATGTATGATCATAGCGTCTCATTTTTCCAATAAACAATATTTTTATCAGGTGAACCGTGATGAGCTGGACAGCAAGTTGGCGTACATCCAAGTGACCTGGGTACGAGCTGCACCAGAAGGAGTAGTTGTTTCTGGTGGAGGAGAAGGTTCCTTCGAAAGAGCACATAATGTACGACGCTTTGTCTTCGAAACTCCTTTCACGAGAGACGGAGCTGCCAGGGGTCCTGTACATCATCAGAGGATAAGACTCACGCATTTAACTAGTAAGTTGACTTTGGAAAGTGAGCCTTATTGTCACAGTAAGATGGGCGACTTTTGTCTGACTGACTTGACTCAGTTGCATCATACAGTCTTCTACATAAGTTGATTTTATAGCCTGGATTTTATTTATGTTATAGGTCGGCAAACGAGCAAATGGATTACCTGATGGTAAGCAATCACCGCCGCCCATGGACACCCGCAACAACAGAGTAGTTACGAGTGCGTTGCCGACCTTTTGGGGATTTAGAGATTTAGGGATTTGGGAGGGATTGGGTGAGGGAAAGGATTGGGCCTCCGGTAACTTCACAAAAAGGCCAAACACAACGCTGTGGTTTTTTCATGCCGGTTTTCTGTGAGGCCGTGGTATTACCCGATCCATTCGTTCGGTCGAGCCGATCCATTCGTGCCGAAACATGGCTTTCTCACTTTTAACACACTCAAAAACTACTCCAACTGCGATTGGATCCATGTAATGTAGGTTTATTAAAATTCTACCTACTACATATTAAAGCGAATTACAATCTCACCATACAATGCAGACGCGTACAATACGTCAATTTTCACCGGTTGTCTGTTTGTTATACGAATAGAAACATATGTACATAGCATTCGAGTAATATTTCATAACGAATCATTTATTTCTTTTTCCAATTCAACTATAATTTCTTCTGTTTTAAGATAGTATCACGTTATGTTATCGCCGTAATGTTATGATTACCTTCATTGTAATAACAAATTTATTCATGTAATAGTCTTATTATGTAACTTTGAGTCTTTGATATTTCTCCATCTATCTACGCCTTTCATTCAAATACTATATATGTACTTATATATATTTGAATGAAAGGTCCAGATAGATATATGATAGTATGTAGCTTATTATCTCTATTTTACATATTTTTATATTATGTGAAAGGAGAAATTAATATTAATAATAATTTATTATGTAGGAATGCAGACAGATATGAAACACCCTTCTTTTCAATGGTATAACAACAACATAAGTCCCAAGTAAAACGAACTTTTTTTTTAAATACAGTACAAAAACTGTTGCACAATATCATATGAAACAACTTACTTTTAAGTCAGCAAGATCCTGACGCTTCCTCAGCCTTGCCGACGGTAAAAGGAGACATTGGATGATTTCTCCCCTCTCAAACATAAAAAAAAGAAAACTAACAACATCATTATTATAATTGCAGCGGATTCATGGTTCCCATACGTAAAACGTCGCGTGCCCGTCATCGACACGCAAATTGAAGAAAAGAGCCCGATAGAGGTCGCTGTATCCGAAATGGAAGGACAAGTCACTGAGTTGCAAGAGATCGTCAACGCGAAAGCGCCTGATATTAAGAAATTACAATTACGGTAAGCCTTAACCTAATCTACTCGTATTTGAACAAACAAAGTTTTTTTATACAAAGTTTTTTTTGTCAAACTAAGAAGAATTATACCCATATCCAATTTTACAAAAATAAAATAAAATTACTAGATAAGTCATATAAATGTCATCAATTTGAAAATTAACCTGACGACGCACGAGTCAGGGGTAGTTTCCTCTGTCATAAAAAGTATTTCAAGTTTTCTATAGAACGAGATAGTCTACTTTCATTAATTGATTTCTACTAAGACATTAGCTGCCGCATCATCATCACTCAAATCTAAATATTTTGGTTATTTTCATTAGACATGAGATAACCCAAACCAATTTTTTCGTGTTCGTTATATGTACCACTCAAATGATCACCATAAGCTAAGTCCACTAGTCCTTAAAATTTGGATTTCTTTTTTTGAGATAGGTTATATTTAAACACCTTCTAATCAACTGAAGGTAAGCAATCAGCATCGCCCCTGCTGGATATCCACACACATGAATTAAACTCTTCTGAGCGCATTGTCATGTGAGGGTTTTGTTATGAATTTGAATATTGGGATTGTCACACAAATGGCGAAATTACAACGTGAAACAAAGCATTCATTCCTGCTTACCAATTTCTTATTACAAAACATTGTTGCCACAGATTACAAGGCAGCGTGTGCGTACAAGTGAACGCGGGTCCACTGGCGTATGCTAACGCCTTCTTGGACCCTACCCTGGCCCCTATGTACCCTGACGATATGGTCGAGAAGCTCAAATCTATATTCAAGTGAGTACTCATAGTATTTATTTATTGCTAGCTTCTGCCCGCTTCACCGTGGTATATTGACAAAAAGCAGCCTATGTGTTAATCCAGGGTATCACCAAATTTAAACCAAATCGCTCCAGCTCCAGTTTTTCGATGACGGCTTTTAAATTATTACGGCATCGCGCAAACCGCGGGAACGGTCTAGATAAAAAATCATTGTGTCCTCGAAATTGTAAATATTAATTATTTTAAATTTAAATATTTTTCATATTTAAATAATACGAAAATCTGTTTTTCGAATATCTCTGTTTATTCAGTTGTAATAAGAATAAAATACCAGATACGTGTATGTGCATATTTAATTGTTAATTTTATGCTAATTATTGTCCTCGGCTATTAAATATATTCTCTATGTAATTTTTGTGTGTTTGTAGTCGCTCTGTAGCATTCATTTCTCGGTTATAAAATGTGCAGTTCAATAAAAATTAACCTATCTTTACATCTTTATAATAAAAACCCTTTAACTATTTCCTTCTTTTCATTACAGAGAGTTCCTAACTGTATGCCATGCAGCGTTACAGCTCAACGCGAAACTGATCAGCTCAGACCAGGTTTCATACCACGAGGCTTTAGAGACGAATTACTACAAGCTAAGCCACTCCCTCTCAGGCATGCTGGGCCAGCCTTTACAAGATATTTTAGTCAACGGTAACTTAAGCACTACTGTTCCGGGCGTAGAACTAGAATCCAGTAACGCTTGAATCAACAGCATCGATCGGATTGGTCCGTCATCACGACGTGTTTGCGTCCACTAATTGAATGCTAGATCGATATTACGGCAACCAATCAACTTTGAGTATTTATGCTGTCGTGCTACGCCATTGGTTTATAGTGCGCGAATGTTGTACGCACGATATCTAATTATGGGGTGTTAAATTTTGAGCAATATTTTCTTAAAGCGTATTTTTAATGCTTTTCGTTCTATATCCTGATAGTGTATAAAATATGTTTAGCAGTTGAAAAACTGCTTTTTCCCAAAATGAAATTCAGTTTGCTAGAGAATCATTAACGAAATGGTTTTGTTTTCTCAGGTGTCATACTAAATTGATCTCTCTATTTATTTACGAAATTTATTCATAATGACGCTTTACGGCTTTGCGAAAATATTCGATTTATCGATAATGAATTTCTTATTAATTTTTCGTGCTAGTAGGTACTCATATTTAATTGGAGGCTAACGTAATGCGCCCGCTCCTTATTTATAGAGGGCGCTAGTATACTTCGAAAATACTTTCTTTTTGAAAGTACACTTAACTAAATATCGCGCCAAAATTTTATCTTACTAACTTTGAACTCAAATAATATTAATAAATGACAACTAGGTCTCAATCAAAAAGACTGCATGGTCTTTCATTTAGTCCAATTTAAATATCTCCAAAGTTAAGACTATAAGTCAAATTGGCATATTCTACCTTCAAATTCAGCAAATTTTTAGATCTGAAAAATTGCTCTCTGAAGAAAAACCTTTTAGTTAAAATAGTTGTAAAGTATTTTGTACATTTAAAGTACATTTAGTTCTCCCCTGATATAAAAATTAGAGTTCCAAAATAGATGAGGACCCTAAAGACCTTATTATGTAAAAAAAAAGACAATGAAACACACTTTTAAGCTAAAATAGATAATACGACGTGTAGAATAGAGTCTAAACTTGAACAAGACATTTGAAATGTACCCAAATGCAGAACACCAAATAAATGTAGAACAATAATTTTGAATATAAAAAGAAATTATCTGAAATATAAAAAAAAAATCACGAAAAGGTCAATTACAAGTTCCATCCTACGATATAAATAACAATTTCAATAATAAAATGATCTGAACTAAGTGCCATGACTGATCGCTCCCTCTCTTTCTCTCATTATAAGTAAGAGTTTCAAATCTTTGTAGGGAACATTCTAGACTTTGTTAAAGCTCTGTTCATTTCACGGTGATATTATATTCAAATAAAAAGAAAGTTTATCATGAGGCATAACTTGAAATTTCGGGAGTAACATGAAAATGGATGGGAAACATAACCTAGCCTCGGGTCTTAAAAGACCTGGTGTTAGGCAAAGTTAGTTTACCATTTCTCTTACATTATAGTTTATGACAAAATGTTGCAATGAAATTATGTGAAGCAACGGATAATGAAATGTAGAATGTCGATTTTTTTGGTCATTTACTAAAATGTATATTACTATGTGGAATAGTAAGTGTGGAGGCTAAAATTACGCCCGGTATTCGGGGATAGGCCCCCTTCCTATTACAACAGGGCCTATATTATCACCCGCGTGTGTTTTAAGTAAAATAAAACACTTTGATGTTCTGATACCGTCTTGACATGTCAAGAATGTTATAGCTACCATAATAATATGGTAAAATTATGTATGAACATTTTAAAGATCTAGATTTTTCTCTTCAAGTACGCTTTCTTGAACGAAACATGCTAAGTCATGTTAAAAAAAAAACGGAATACTAATTTTCGTGATTGCCATTTCAGTCGTCCTAAAATGAACAGAGTATAGTATATAATGAGCACAAAAATATCGATTTAAATATTTAACTAGGATTTATACCCTCAGTAGTAGGACCTAAGAGTAACAAGTCATAGTGAACGACTGTTTGCTACTATTGCCATGCTTAGAACTAGTTTATAAGCATTTTTATCCCGGTTTGATGTCCTGACGACCAATTTCTTAAACTTCCCTTTCCAAAAGAAAACGCATCGATCGGTGCGTTCGTCGATTTTAAAAGTTTACTTTATCGATCGCTAGTAATAGTTGCATTATTTATCTATTAAAATTTATAAAAGAAATCGGTCGTAAAGTAGTTTCTTGTAACGTTTTGTAATTTAAATGTCTTTGTAAATCTAAATATTCTAGGAACGGACAGCATTCGCATCTTCGAATTTTGCATAGCTGTAGCTATCCATGACAACTTTTACAAGCTAAATAAAATTTCACAAGAATACTCAATCACACGATACAACTACAAAAGTGGTCGTGTATAGACATAAAAATTAAGGCTATGAACTGACATTGCCTTAATTTTTATGTCTATACACGGAGACGCACTGGCGTCTCCTAACCTGGGATTCTAGAAGTTTCTAAATAAGCTAATATGGTATGGTAACCAGGCCAGCCCTTTCTATCCAAACTTCATTATTCGAAATTTTCAACTTTACATTGTTGATTATAAAGTCGATATCCAATGAAAAATTGTCAGGATATCCTGCTGGCCATTGTAACTACTGATCCATTATCATATGCGAATGCTGAAACAAACGTTCCTAATTACTCAAATACCCTAAACCTATGTATTTTGTACATTGTAAGGTTTTGTACGTAGAACAAAATATTTGTATAAACCTTTATATTAATGAACTGTATTGTCTCGCTCACTGTACCACCAATTTGTTATTTCTTTTGTATGATCGGTACCTGAACTTTGTTTTTGGTATTTTAAAGAGTCTCAGTAAATCCATAGTTTGTGATTTTAACTGGAAAAAATATGCCGGGGTGGCGGGGTAAGCGCAATGAGGCACCGCGACCTCGGCCGAGAGCAGGAGAAGGAACAGGGAGGTTTTTAGTCAGTAAGAGTCTGACACTCCCTCCTGCCTGGCCCTGGGCGGGAGAAGTCATTTTATGACTATCCCGTCACAAAAAAAAACTTGAAGCAATATCAAGCAGTTATTTGGAAGTATGGCTACCAAGAAAAATTAAAATTTGCAATGATAATGATTTCACAGAGACCCTTTAAATAATAGATTTTTTATTTTTCTTTGAATATTTTTTTGTGAATTCCAAACTCAACCAGGCGATAGATTTAAGAGGATTATGATTACATTTTTTTATTTTTATATCAGAATTTTAATGTTCAGTTAGGTACTGTTTTATTAATTTGTGTAAACAAAGTTTATTACGCAAGTTATTTAGGTCTGTTTAATTTATTTTGTTGTTTGTCGTATTAAGGCTTCCTTTTAGCTGTAGATGGCGCTGCGAAGTTTGCGCTTTGTACCGACTACCACGGTTACTTGTCATTTAAATATATTTAGCTCAGTATTATAAGTATTCAAATCTATCTAGCATGTTACACATCAATTTAACTTCAAATATTTCAATGTGAATCTATAATTTTATATGAGTACTTAATCATCATGATGTAGACAAAGTATCGTAAAATAAAAACCTCCTTTCGTGCACTATGGCTTGCCTGCATTGTCTAAAAAAAACACAGCTTTGAAATCATAGTTTTTTTTACTATAATTTGTCTATATCATGGTAGAACTACCGTGGTAGTGTTAATTCTAAATACTATATATACTACAATTTATTCTTACTATAAACCACTTGGGTTGTAATTACTGAAATACCAACACTTCAGGCTTTATATGACTTTTCTGAAAGAATTTTTTTTTTTTTAATTTATTTAAAATGCTGTTGGTAATAAAAATTTTCTCACCAAGCAACACTACTGTTAAGTCCATAAAAAGTTCTTAAGAATACTCCATTCCATTGCTTATTTATTTAAATAAAAAAAGCTTTATATTCTGGTAGAAGGGAATCCTTCATACTTATTATATGTGAATAGTAAAATCTTATACTCAACTTGCTTTATTCGTCTTGTTTAGTAATATAAATTATTTATTAAAACAGCCATAAAATTATGCCTTGTTCAAACTTATTTATTGTCAAGGGTACTCAATACAGTATCACACATTTCTAAATTATAATATAAGTAGTTAAATTATTCATTATCATGTAGACAAAATTTACTTCCTGATCTTTAAAATTATTATGTGCCGGCCAGCATATCAAATTTTAAGCTTAAATGTTTCAAAATCAAATAATCCAATATTACTAAATAAATGTTGGATCAGAGTAGTTTGATGTGCTGGCTGCTACAGTAATATAAACTTATGCTCGAAAATGTTTATAAATTAATGGATTATTTAAACTAGTAACACCAAATTATGTGTGATTAATGTTCGTTAACTATTTATTCCTAAAGTAACTGTCGACAATAGCAAAAATTATTTGTATTCAATTTGTTGTTTGCCTGGCTGTGTCGTTGTGTGTAGATTCTTCTGGTTCCCATGGTAAAATACACTGTGTATACCTTTCGTATGAGTTTAACGCAAATTATTAATTATCATGACATGTAATCTAAATTTCATGTTTTAATACATTTTATAAAATAAGACGAATTTATTTTTGCCCTTTCCTTTAAATCTATCCTTATAATGCATAATGCATTCGAACAACAAGGTATTTACATAAAAGTTTACTTTTCTACATTAACACATTCAGTGCCCCCGACGCGTATGTGCGTTTCCTCGCACGCACATACGCGTCGGGGGCACTGAATGTGTTAATGTAGAAAAGTAAACTTTACACTAATTGATATTGTGTAAACAAACTTAACACTAATTGATATTGCTTCCCTTTAGCCGCAATATTATCGACTGGGGTGTCTGTGGCCCTTACACCGGCACTGATGTCATTATAATGACAAACAATGATCCAAACACGATAGATAGATTACTGTAAGTAAATGAGGAGTTTATCAGGTTTCTGTTTGATATTGCAGGATTGCGTTAACGTCCGTAAGTATTAATATTTTAAAATTTTCGCTATGCTACGCTGTTTTTGTTGAATTTAATGATGTCAAGTTGGTTTGGCCTTGACTTACGAAATAAAACAAAAAAAAGACATCCGGCTCCTTATATAAACAGCCAACTCAGACATCAATTATATTGGGTGGGTTATATTATTTTGTGAGGTGTCTTTTTTCCTTTTAGTTAATTCCACAAAAAAAGATAAATCTCTATGGATTTCGACGTCAATGAGATGGAAACACGAATATTGCTAACCCATTTTAGACTTTAAGCTAATGGAATAGAATCCAATTATGTCTTTAGTGTTGTATTGGTAAAGACTGAAGTACAATGACAGTTATACCGAAATGTCATGTCAAATTCTATAATCTATAACAGTTTGCTTTTATGTACATATAAATTTTAGGTATACACACAAAAAGAATTAAAATCTGAAGGCACTTTAAGTGCTACTAATAAAAACTTTTTTATTGTGTTTTATATTATCATTGAAAATACTGCAAGGACATGGAAGACGAATTAGAAGATAGAGTTTTATACCAAACATATCTTTCGTTCATGAAAATCTTGTCACGTTTCACTAGCAGTGTTCCGCTTGATACTCCCGTGAGCTATTTATGGAAGATGGTGCGCCTTTATTTACTACGATCCGAAGTTGTAGTGTTCACGCTAGCCATTATATTATTTTTTATGTACTTACAATCTATTGAGCTATGGAGTCGTACTATGCTAAGCAGATTGTCGCAAGCCATGAGCCCTATAAGTGCAGTTCAACGGATGAAGATTTTAGAAGGCTCCGATGCCGATAAACAAAGTTGGGAGCAAAAAGGAACACTCAGCGCTGCTTACGCAATCAAAGGCAGGCGAATGCATATGGAAGACCGATTTATTATTAACGAAAACATAAACAATACTGGAATTTCACTGTTCGCAATATTCGATGGACATGGAGGAGAATTTGCCGCCAACTACGCAAAAGACCACCTCATCCAAAACCTATACAACAAAATAGTGGAGCTACATGCCTTTAAAGATGGCAAAATATTAAGTCCTCCTATGGTGGAGGTGACAGAGGAGCCAAAACAAAAGGAAGAGAACAGTATTACTATCGATAGAAAATCTAGCTTTAAAAAGTCTGTGAGTACAGCTGATGATACATCAAAGAAAGAAATAACAGATCCGGAACTCCTGGCTCAGTTGTCAAAAGCGAGGCCCATTACTAGGGAGGTCAGGCCAGCCACTAAACCAGTGAAAAATATTGTTAAGCCATTGACCAGTTATATGGATAAAGGGAAGATTAACTATGGGAAATTGTTAACTGATGAGGTGCTGGCTGCAGACCGTCTGCTTGTAGAAGCAGCAAAGAGGTCCATGAATGTTGCAGGCACCACAGCTCTCCTTGCAGTAATGGAGGGTAACCATCTCATTGTGGCCAATGTGGGCGATTCAAGAGGAGTGATGTGTGATTCACGTGGCAATGCTATACCTGTGTCATTTGACCATAAACCACAACAGGTAATCAGAATAGTTTTTACTATTATCATTATAATATACTAGTTTCTACCTGTGCCTTTGTACTCATATAAAAGTAATGTATCCTGGGATTTTCGGAAACATGAAAAAACAACTATATAGCACTGAGGAACTTTGTAGCTAACGGCCAGTGAGAGAAATCCAATAGAATCCATTTTGGAAACATTCAAATTTTAACTCTTTATAATAATTTTAGTTTAGACTTATGCTGAAAGGGAAAATTTACTGGATGATGTAACTTTGATTGGTCTTAAATTTAGCTAAAAATGTTTTTTTTTCAACATCGTAACAAACAAAATTTAATTGAAATTGTTACAAATGCTTCCAAGATGCTCTAAATAGAACTGCATTTTTTTAAAGTATTGGATAAAAAGTGAAATGAAAAACGTATATATTTAGGTTTGAATTGCTTATCTGCTTCAAACCAAACACACTTTTCTGTGTTTATCTAATTATGTGTCTACACAAACATTATTGTTATATATTTTTTATTTAACTTTATCTTCTTTAATTTTAGGTTCGTGAACAGAAAAGAATTGAGGCAGCTGGTGGCTACATAGCATTTAATGGAGTGTGGCGAGTAGCAGGCATACTGGCGACATCACGCGCCATGGGAGACTATCCTTTGAAAGATAAGAAATTTGTAATAGCTGACCCTGACATCTTAACTTTCAATCTTGATGACCACAAACCTATGTTCTTAGTACTTGCTTCTGATGGATTATGGGATACCTTCTCTAATGAAGAAGCTGTTAAATTTATTAAAGAGAGACTTGACGAGCCCGACTATGGTGCAAAAAGTTTAACACTACAAGCATATTACAGAGGTTCTGTAGATAACATCACTGTTTTAGTCATCAATTTCTTAACCAACAAAGTTTTTGCAGCTGTTTCACAGTAAAGCAGTGTATGTACTATGTACTATGAACTATAACAGTAGATTGTTAAATTCTAAAATCTTATATCTTATGAAAGATTTACATGAAATTGTTCCCTAAAGTTGTAAGTATTTTTTACTAACTGACAAACGAAAAACAATGTCTGAAAATTGTGTTGACAATTTTCATAGCATTTTCCTATGGTGGTACCTATAAGTAACAAAATAATGTAACTAACTGTTGTTGTCTTTGCATAATAATACATTTTTAGTGAATAAAATTTAATTATAAACGAGCTTTTATGAAATGCATAATAATTGTATAAGTTTACTTGCATATTTTTTTTATGTTTTAATAGCATTGTTCCAAACAACAAACAGATTCTTGAGATGTGGTATGGTGGAGGGTCTATACATATAATAAATAATACTAAATTGCATTTTAAACTACTTACTTTATACATATGTATTTGCATAATAATCTGATTGTTCTAGTATAGTAAATGTTGTCAAGTTCTACATATATTATGTATTCCACGTTTTCATCCCCCATATACCTACATAGATTTCATATAAAATTGATTCTACCACTCAATATTGATGTTATATTGTTAAGATTATATAAATTTTGTATATAGTTACGTCCAGTAGATGATATATTACTTAGACAAGAGTCATTTATATTTTTGAATGTAAAGTGTATAGGGCCATATTTTTAAAAATCTAAAGTTTTGAATTTATGAATGGTTGTGATGTGGACAGTTCTAAAACTGAATGCTCTATAAGTGTAACGTTTTGTTGTTTACCAGACATAATATTGTCCTGTTGACGTCTTTTTATTATAATTAAATGTAGTGATATTGATCCCCATTAAAATACAGAAAACATCATATATCATTCATCTCCATAATATGGCGTGGAGAGTTGTTTTAATACATACTTTATTGTATTGTACGTGATAAATGTTACCAGAGAATGTAATGTCTCTGTTTTATTGTTATTTTGACATAGGTACAATGTTTTATCTCCAAAACTTTTAAAACTAGACGAACCTCTTAATTCTTTGTTTATTTCTTACTGCATTTGATGTGGCCTGAATGCCAGTTCTTTGAAATATACTATTATTGTTGGTTCATATTTGCCAGTGGTGCTAGTCATAATATATTCTTAGTTTTATGTAATTGTTCTTCTCCAAAACCATGTTACATACTTACATTATATCAGTGCTATTCATTATTAACTGTAGTAGAAATAATTTTTTAAAGTCTTTATTATAATATTCACCAGATTTGTGTATTGAAAATATTTTTGTAATTCTATCTATACAGAAAACAATAAGGTTCGATTTTAAGTACAAAGAAACTTTACAAAATGTATCTATCGGCCTATGGCGTATTACTATCTTTTAACTACACGTTTTGGGGCCAAAGAATCTATCAATCTGTCTGTGCGACCTAGGTGAAGCCTATTTATTGAGCAGGTAATGAAAAACATTGTATTTTAATAGGTGCGGTGCCAAAATTATTTGGAATTTATAATAGTATGTTATGATCTGGTTTTCCCGACGACATATAACGCGGTTGTTTACTAAATTTCTATTAAATGGAAGGATTAAGCCCTTTTCTGTTACCCAATCAATATTTTGTAGTGATTTTAACATATTTGTAGGTAGTATTTTTGTACATAATCAGTGTTATATGTGTCAATCTACTAAACCTTAAAGGTTATTGTACGGTGTCCAATTATCTCATTGCTTGCCTCCGATGTACCTACCAGTGTAACAATATTGTACGTAATACTTAATAAATGGTATCGTAAATATATTTTGTTTTACTTTTTTTTAATTCTCTGCACACATCACGACTGAGATTCTAAGAAAAGCGTGAAGTCATTGAAATTAGTATTCATTTTGAATCTACGTCACTAATTGAAGCTGTGCCAACCATTGACTGGTGTACTCGTAGCAGGTTCGAATCATGAAATGTAAATTAACAGTGCATAATTATTTACGTATCATTGGTTCATCATCACACGTCAGCATACAGAAGTTTGTTTCTGAGCATGGGCTTCTAATAAAATTATTACCGACATTACCTACTTACACGTAGGAATAGTTAGGTATAGGTAAAAGGTATGCTTTAATTAAAAAGTGGATTTTGTTTTATTTACATTTCCACGTTTTCACTACGATAGATTTTTACGAAGCATAGCTTATCAGTAGGTACCTACCTACCTACTGATTCGATATAGTATGTTCAACAAATAATTGCCTTTACGAAAATGTTTGAATATTGAACATTATCAACGTTCACTATGAAATAGGTATATATACCTATATTGTAATTGATCGCATACGGAATACTGTGATAGGTTTCAGAACAGGAGTCGCTGATGTAAGCCAAATGGTGGTAAAATTAAAATTGGACTGGGGCGGACACGTCAGCCGAATGCATCCGGAGAGATATAGGCCAAATTGACGGTGGACATCCCGATGGACGCCGCAGGCGGGGTAGGCCCCGAAAAAGATGGCGTAACCAGTGGTGGACACGGTCGAAAGTTAGGAAGGTGTGGAAGCGAGATGGGGAGGCCTTTGCCTAGCTGTGAGACATGACAGGCAATATAGGCCAGTAAAAAAAAATATATTATAAATATTCTGATTTTGCTATAATACACTAAGGCTAACTAACTACTACATACCTACTACTGATTCATAGAGGAGTTCAGTATCCACCTCCAATGCAGCGAGTGGGGAAGGAAAAAGAGAAAGAAAGGGAGTGGGTCCCAGGCGCTTGCAAAACAGACATAGGTACATATTAAGATATTAATACCCGAAAGTTAAACGGTGAATGGTAAATAAATAGAAATGGATGCCTCATGTTATTATATGTACTACGTGTAGGTATATATAATATATCCCGTTTTTATAATACTACTACTATCACGTTATTATTAATACGTGTTGTTAAGTTTAAAGATCACAAATTTATCTTTTTGTCTACACCGTTACCGTTGTCAAAGCTATCGCAATTTTAGGCCATAAGAAAACAAAGATTTTTTTCTTAGAACGACCTTTCTGTCTTGCGAGTGGAAATTAGTAGATTGTTGTAGGTAAGTAGATACTCATCATCCTCCTGCCCTTGTCCCGTTTTATTTGGGGTCGGCGCAATATGTTTTTTTCTTCCATTCTGTCCTGTCACCCGTCACGCTATCGCTAACTCCTCTGTCTTCCATATCACTTCTTATACAATCCATCCATATTCTCAATCTCCCTCTCCATCCATCCACATTTATCCTCATGGCTTTTTTTGTAACATGTCCCTCCTTTTCACATGGCCATACCAAGACAAACGGTTCTCTTTCAACTTTTCAGTCACTGGCGCCACTTTCAAACTTCCTCTAATATACTCATTTCTCACTTTATCCATTCTCGTCACACCACACATCCATCTCAGCATTCTCATCTCATGCAATCACATGCAATCGCTTTTCATGTTGTAGGTAGGTACTCAATTAATTAAAATAAAAACGCATATATTTTAACACGTTTATTTATATAAAATATTTGGGTAGGCTGCACAGCTTAGCCAACTTTGTAACAAAACTTTATCCTAAAACACATAACACAAATTATTTTAACACATAAGTATTTCTTGATACAAAAATCTTACGAAACACAATATTTAAATACATTATCATGATAAGTATTATATACTAAGATCTAGAGCTTAGTTAATTAATGCTAATGGCATATAATTGGCTCTGTGTTAACTAAAACTATACTATTCAGTATATAGGTATTATGCAATTAATGTAAGAATTATTTGGACCTTGTATGCTTGAAGATTTTAACTCAACTCATTTCCTTAAGTTTGTTAACAATACATAATGTTTATTTTGTTGTATATAGCTTTTATATTTCGATTCTCTAAATTATGACTAGATGAACCTGACCCCTACGAGTTGCCTATAAGATGCACTGATTATCACAATTTTAACAGGAATGTCAATTAAATCAGCGTACTTTACTTTCGTGGCGTTATTTACATAAATTGCACAATAAATTGTAAAGGCACTGCAAAGAATAACGTAGATATCGGCTTACACTATCCAGTCGTAGGCACTATTACTAATGCATGAACGAGTCTAAAATGTAGGTAACTTAAACAAATTACGATAGTTACCAGTACATAAGTACGAGTATCGTCGCAATATAATAATATTACATTAAAGTAAGTATATCTACATAAAGATGTTTGTGTGATACATTGTATTTTTATTCAGTTCTACGAAACTTTCACAGTATCTCGAATTCGTCGTCGGAGTCGTCAAACTGCCTGTCTACGTCTTCGAATTCTGGAATAAAGATAATAATAATAATAAGTTTTTGATACAAAAATAGAATATTGCTTTAAATACAGTTGTAGGTGTATGTACAATAAATGAATATCATAGTGTGATTAAAAAGGCCACATAATTCATGTTAGCCAATGTCGCGGCACAACACGTAACCATGTTTCGGCCTTGTAAGTGGTGAACACAAATATGCAATATGAACTAAGTAGGTGGGCTTTTATCATATAAAAAAGAAGTTTTTAATGCCGCAAGAAAAGAATTTAATAATCTCCTCATAGTCAAGGTGTTTGGGTTAATATGATCATTTTACTCACTAGCGCCATCTAATCAGTGCTAAAATCATAACTTGTTGCAAAATTACCTGTAAATAATGTAGTATTCTGGAGATCTATGTCGGAAGTCATGGGGCCCCAGTGCGCCGGTCTCTTGTCGCATATTTCGAATAATGGTTGAGTTTCACACATCAGCTTCGTTTCAATGGTGGCGCATAATTCTTCAAAATCATTTTTCGTTCTGCACAGGAAGCACTGAAACATCGAAGTAAAAATGTTTGCATGAACTGAAGAACAGTTTATTTGACATTGTTAGTTCTTATTGTGTGGCTGGCTGATTTAACGGAATAATTCCATACGAGATAATTAGACTTCCACATTCGCCGCGTCGCATGTGTTGCGCACTACTAAACGAATATGAGCTCTAGGGTGGATTGAAACTAGTCCATTTCCATGAATAAGCGTTATATAAATAACTAGCTACTGTCACGCGGTTTCACCCGCTGCTCAGCTCCATTTACTCGCAGCGTGATGTTTTATAGCCTATAGCACTCAAGAACATTGTAACTATCTATCAGTGAAAGAATTTTGGAAATAAGACCAGCGGTTTCAAAGTTTCCCCCCACATACAAAATTACAAACATACAAAACCTTACAAATTTAATCTCTTTATAATATTAGTATACATACATATCACGAAAGTAACACAAAATTGCTTAACATGTTAATCAACACTCATTTTTATAAAAAATAAAAATGAAAATTAGATAAAGCTCCCTCTTCATGATACAACTGTTTAAAAAGCAACGCAACCGTAACTTTTCTGGTGGTTTAACATCAAAATAATTTTTAAATACTGAGCTTTACTATAACTTACCACAGCAACAGACGGGTCCATCGCCAACATTGGTATTCGAGAAGCATATTTACAATGATATGAGCAGTCCATTTCTTTTTGTTCATCAGTCGTTTTAGTCTGTAAGAAAAAAAAACATTTACGGCCACTTGCATATTTATAAACTAACAGCTTTCTTCCACGGGAACAGGCATAATAATCATCATCATCAGCCGGAAGACGTCCACTGCTGGAGAAAGGACCCCCTTAATTCTCCACGCCGAACGACAAGTCGCCACTGGCATCCATTGGCACCCCGCGACTCTGTCAAGGTCGTCGTTCTATCTCGGAGGAGTTTGTCCCACGCTAAGTCTTCTAGTCCGTAGTCGCCACTCGAGCTCTTTTCTGATCCATCGGCCGTCAGCCCCTCGAGCAATGTGGCCAGTCCATTGCCACTTAAGCTTGCAGATTTCAAGAGGTATGTCGGTGCCTCTAGTTCTTTGGCCAATTTCCATATTGCGGATTTTGTCGCACAAATAAACAGGCATTAATTAATGAATAATGAGCGTACTCTACAACATCATCATAACCAGCCTATAAGCGTTAACTACAAAGCAAAGGCCTTTTCTTTCGAAAAGGTCATACCTTTTCCAGGTGTATTCTTGACTACCACACTCGCTCTAGATGAATTGGCGATTATAAACTTATAAATTTCCTTATGTTTTCCTTTCCCTACGACATTTCTTGAATATTTCTCTACCTTATACCGCATTCATGCTTAGGAACAAATATAATTTTACCTCAACTAGTCCAGATCTCTGTGTGGTGTGGGGATCCAAATAGATAACCTCGTCTTCCACACAACCAACGAGGTACAGAGCTTGGTTGGGCTTGCCACCAATCACTCCGATCGATTGAGGACATTGAAAACATATCTGAAAGAAAATTTTACTCTTTATAAATGTAATCACAGAAGGGATAGATTTTTTTATATTTAATTTTAGGGGTTTTTATTCTAGAAAATGTCAGCCTCATTAGGACATATTTACTTACATCTACATAAACTATGTCCAAAGTCTCACTGATGCATGAATATCCTAAACAAGATACAGATAGATAGCTGCAGAATTGAAATTTGCTAGAACAGTTGCTTGGATTGTAATTGAACTGTTATTTTGTCAATACTTCGCCTATTTTGAGAGAAAGAAGGTATATCTAATAAAAATGACTAGCCGTGTGAGTATCACCGTGATAAGTCGACGAGACCCCGTTCTTCCAACATTCGCAAGCGTCCTCTGGTGATGTGGTTGCCTATAAGCGACGGTGATTGCAGTTCTTTAAAAACGTTGCCCCACATCTGGATTTTCACCTGTGTCGTGGGTTCGTTTAAAAAACAACAGTGGATCAAACAAAAAAAAATCCGGCCGTGAATCGAACCTGCGGCACGTTGCATGGCAGCCAGATGCCCAGCTACCGCGCCAACCGTGAATTCACTACAGCTTGTCAACCATACCAAAATAAATAAACAAAATTAGAAAACAAATTATTTATTTTAATTTTACCTTCAATCCATCTATATAAATAGGGTTAATTTCGCTAAGTCCGAGTCTGAGCGGCACTATCAACAGTAGAGGCATCCAGTCGGTGACCACACTGTCGGGGGACGCTGAGCAATCTCCTCTGTCGTTATTCACAACGCATTGCTGTACTGGAAATAGAAAAGGCAATTATTAAAATGTTTTCAGGCAAAGTAAAAGGCAAATAGGAGCTTTATAACAAATATTGTTAAGTATAAATTAAAATGTTTCGTTGTTAACTGCCCTATAATAAATTTAAAAAAGCCAAAACGATTTCTGCTTTTTGTTTCTTATAAAAAAGATCTCTCACTAAGATTTTCTCCTGTGTCGTGGGTGCTGTTACAAAGATACAATTTCACATACACATAACGCCCAGGCCTGGAACAACATTTTGTGGATAACACAGAGTTGAGTCGAAGCCATTTGACTGCACGGTAAGTGCGGTGGCTGAGCAACTGGCAGCCGCACAACGTGTCGCAGGTTCGATTGCCACATGTAATAAACTCTTTGTATGATCCACAAATTGTTATTCCGGGTCTGGGTGTTATGTGTGCATGAAATTGTATGTATGTAAACACCTACGACAGTTATTAAAAAAGTGAGCAAATCTTTTCTAAAAAAAAATATTTATACTTACGTATATCCTCTTTAACAACAGTATTATCTAAAGCCACATGAATCACAAGGGAACTCCACTTGTCATAAACTGTCAGCTTCCTGTAATAAAAGAAAACAAGTACTGTTAATAGTTGTTGTAACTGGGGCATACTAATTGCAGGATAGGATAGTACAAGAAAGGGCTAGAAAACATGATTGATGTATTATAATCATGTTTATTTAGAACTGTGTGTGGATCAGAACTGTTTTTTTATCATCATTAGCAATCAGCATCATACATATAAGCCACAAGTCGTTCCTTGCTGGACAAAGCGTTCTCCCTGTACTTTTTAGAGCTGATTAGTTAATTAGTACAGTTATTTAAGGAATAAATTCAAATGAATACTCATATTTAATACTCAAAATTAAGATATCTTAGTACATAATTATGACTGCCTACACATTGAGGTTTTGTGTATTTAAGAATGTTCAAACTCACTCTTGATCTTGCTAACTATAAAAAATTACAGAGAAACAAATGACCTGTATCCTATATATGAAAAATGAATTGCTGTTCGTTAGTCTCGTTAAAACTAGAGAAAGGCTGGACAGATATACAGGAAAAGTTTAAAAGTCAGAAAAAAAACTAATTAAAAAAAAAACTTATATTTAAGGCGTGAGGCGAAACGAAGTTTGCCGGATCAGCTAGACTTATACAAAACTAGAGATCGACTAGTCCGTTATGAATAACTCTTGTATTAAAATATTTGTCCAGGGAAGGTTTAAAAGGTTAGAATATATATGTAGTTATATTCAAAGTGCTACGGAGTTCGCCAGATCAGTTAGTGACTAATAAAAATATCATAAATTCTTTGTTCTTTTATATCAGCATATGACTCCAGATATGGTATCAAGGCATACCTTAAGACTGGCTGGATTCCAAAAAAACATATAAGGAGTGAGTGAAACATTGCTGAGTCATGAGGAAACAAATATTACAACAGATTATAAATGTATATTTACTCTGTGCTTGTATGTATTTGTACAATTGTTTTCACTAACATGGACATTTGTAGATGACATTCAGTTCAGTAAGTAAACAGAATGTTTTTCAAAGATGTTCTTTGTGAACAAAGTATTGTGGTAGTCAGTCGTTTATAGTTCATATGTTTATGTTCTATATAAGAAATACAGAGGTGAGATGTATGCCTATATATAGAGTTAAGTATTTGCCAATTCAATCTAGAGGTATTGAGAAAATGGTTAAAGAAAACGGAAAAAGGTTTTTTTTAAATGGTAACTGAAAGAATGTTATTTTGAGACTTGCTTTTTTTATTTCTTTACTTTGAGTACAATGTGTCAAATATTTAATAAAGTAGAATAATCTATTATAATTAATAATAAGTAAATGACACATTAGTTCAGGAGCTGAACCTTGTTAAAACCTTGCTAAGAAAATCAAGTTTTACCTTGGTGACTAAGTAAATAATACTTACTTCAAAACTTGTGCAACAGTATTGGGCCCAAACCATTGGCCGACCTCCTTGCCCTCTGAAGCTCCCATCAGAGCCACCTGGTGGATGGAGTAGGGAGCTTGCTTCCTCTCTTCAAACCTTTGAATAATTTTCAAGTAGGTAGGATCTCTGAAAAGGAAATATTTTTTTTTAAGAAGTTATACTGAATTAATGTCTGACCTTTTTGATATAAATAGCCTGCTTGCAGAGTTCAGGGTAATTCAATAGTATGCCAGTGTTCTTGATTTTCATTGGATTGGATTTAATCATTCAGAAAAATATTCCTAATTGGAAAACCAGAAAATGGTATGTGATGCACAAATACATTGTTCTGCATGCATAATGACACAACATTGATACAATAATGAATTTCCAAAATTATGAAGTACTAATAAATAATGTTGTAAAATAGTGGTACAATTTAATGTGGGTTTCCCTCATACTTCAGTACTCTTGTGACTTTTCAGGACAAATCCTTGCAATGGTCTCTAATCTAAGGGCCCCAGCCAGGACAATATTCCTTGTGGGTTTCAAAGCAAGTCAACTTGATGTGTTATTGTTTTTTCTGATGAATATAACAAGGAATATTATATGAAACTATAGGCAAGGTAAACTTTTTTGCCATGCACAATAATTTGAAATTGAGAACAAATGTTTCAATAAGTCACCATGAAAATAAAGAATTACAGTGTACAGATTAATGCCACAGCAGATTAGCTCTGTTCTACTTCTTATATTGATAAGGCTACAATGGTTGGCATATACATGACTTAGTTAATATGCATTGCATTCCATATACAAGGCATTGTGTAATACAATTGCATAGGAAATTGTGCATAAATATCTGTGCAATAAATCTGATTACAACTACCCATTAAGGAAACATGACTTATGTGGTAACAGGAAAATAACAATTTTCTATTGTAAAGAGTAGTCAACTTAATTTTTTATAGCTCTTAATATGAATTTACCTAGTCTCTGGTGTCCAAACCCAGTCAGCTGATAAGTGTACTCTTACGAGAGCCACTCCAAGAACCATTTGGCCACAACGAAGCATACAACCCCATCCTTTGTCTGATGTAAGACCTTCGTCGCCGATAGGAATAAAACCTTTTCGATAGGTACACCAAATTATAGAAGTGATGTCCCGTCGGATACGATCCAAATCTGCAAAATAAATACGTCGACATCATTGTTTTGCACAGATGATTATGACAGAACTACAGCAGTCACCAAAAATAATAAACATTGGTCGCAAATCTTTCTGTTTTTCAAATAATTACATTTATTGAGTAAATCATTGGTTGTGAATAAGTGGTTCTGACTTACGTACCCTGGATAGCGCTGTATTTTTTCCCCAAGATCCACACACTCTCCTTTGTCTGAGGAATATCATCAGGCTCGACGTTATTCCCGTCTGATGATAAATAACAAATATCAAATACGGCATCCATTATCGATCATAATTTGATGATAATGACTAAGAAATATATTAATAAAGCGTTCAATTAAAAAACCTATGAGAAAAATAAACACGAATACGCCTTCCGACAAATAAACACAAGAAGTGAATGAATGGATTGATGGATTCATTTCATTCGTTCATTTTTAGTGTTACAAGATTAATATAAGTTTGTCGTCATAGATAACTAAGAAAAAGAGCAATATTATTTGGTTTCACCGTTATCGTTATCACAATATGCCAAAAAATATTAGTATATACCTAGATAGTGCAAATATGGTAATTTATTATTGTCGTGGGAGACTATCTAAAATGTTGCTTGCATCCTTGCATCTAAGTCATAGATAATACATATATGATGGGTCTAAGTTATTGTCAATGCTGAATGTCAATGTCATGTACGGGAAAATAATTTAAATAACTTGAATTCTGAAGGCTGCGAACGGGTATAGTCGATTTGATTTAAACAAAATAAAATAAGAAAAACACAAATTTAACTATTTTTAGTCCACAATATGGAATCGTCTCCACTTGATTTTGTTGCACAATCTTGTATGGATTTAACGGAGGCAATTAAGGAGGTTCAAAGTGAAACTGAGCGCGATACTCTTATTACAAACCACATCAAGAAAGTTTGGTCTACAGTTACTCCGATTGAAGACTTTAAGAAAAGTAAGTTTTGAAAAAATAAGTCATTGATCGTCTACTTAAGGATTCACTTAGCAGGTTTTCTAAGCACTACAACAGTGTTTCATATAATAACTGTAGTCTCTTGCTTATCAGGGCACAACAATATTGTACTGTATGAATAATATATACATTAATTAAACAAGTTGAGGAAAATACACTTACACGTTATACTGTTTTTTCAGATTTAGAATGGGTGAATGTATCCGAAGCAATATCATTATCACAGCATTGCTCCGACAAAGTAGTGATATTGGATTTCTGGACTTATTGTTGTATCAACTGCTATCATGTGCTGCCAGACCTAGCTCATATTGAGAAACTGCATTCTGTTGAAAGTGGTTTAGTTGTGGTATGTTTGTAAATTCATTTTTAAACATTGTTTTATTTACATATTTGTATTTTTAGGGTTGACAGGTGTCCATATAAAGCTGAAAAATAGCTACGTTTTCTGTTGTAGGACTTGATGTAGTTTCACAGAAAACAAGATATTGCATATTAACACACGGGTACTGTTTTAGATAATTACACAATAAAATATATATTATTTGCCCTCATTCATATTCCAGATAGGAGTGCACTGTGCCAAGTTTTCGAATGAGAAGGAATCTACTAATGTTTTAGCAGCTGTACATAGGTACAATATACATCATCCTGTAGTGAATGATGCTGACAGCTGCATGTGGGATGCACTGGGAATAAAGTGTTGGCCCACATTACTTATATTAGGTATGAGATTATTACTAACTTTTCAGTATTATAATAAGCTTTATCACACAGAAAATGCAATAAATAAATTTATCATTAATAATATTTAAAAACACAAACATTCATCACTGTTAGGCTTGTAAAATAAGCAATATTAAAACTATGTAGGTTATTTGCTTAGTAATGGTTGATTGCTAAATGCTTGACTAGTGAAAAAGAAGTACAAAAAATATGGTATGGTAATTATCTTGTAAGTATTTAAAAATTGCTTATGTTGACATAGAAATGACAGCAATTTATTGTTATTATAATTGAGAAATCACATTGTATACTATGTTAATAGCTTAGCAAACCACAACTTAGTATAATTCTATTTAATGTTGCTCTTTATTTAAAGTATGCTATACAAACTCCTTTAATTTTTAAAGGAATGAGAAAAAGTATCTTATTAAGTGTCCACATGCCCAGCAAATTAAGTCAAATTGCACAAGCAAAGCAAATTAACTCATTAGCATTTAAATGAGATTGTAATTTTTATATTTACTTATGAGAAGACAAAGTATAAACAAAAAAAATGCATTATCATAGATATTATATGTATAGATAGCTTATATTTATTTCATATTAACATTCAAATTTCAAAAAAATTGCAGTTGTAGTTTCATACCAATATTGAATTTAATTTTTAAGTAATTTAATGGAATCAAGAGAAATCAACCTTTTAAATTTTCGTCATCAAAAATGCATATGCATGCATATTATGTTGAGTTTATTTATTTACAGGTCCTGGCAATAAGCCCCTTTTTATATTAACTGGGGAAGGTCATAAAGATGAATTGGTTTGGTATGTGGGCAATGCGCTGGCGCATTTTGGAAATCGCATATCTAGTACTCCATTACCCATGGCCCAGGCGAAGCATTTGAAAAGTAAGGAAGAATCGGTGTTGTATTTTCCTAGCAAGGTTTGTATGATTATTAATTTAAAGTTGATAATTTATACACTTCTAAAGTGTGGGAGGAGCCAAGCTTTGGGACAAATGGGTCGGCTCGACCGGAGTGATACCATGGCCTCACAAAAAACCGGCGTGAAACAACAACAACGCTGTGTTATGTTTAACCGTGTGAGTCAGGTAACCGGAGGCCCAATCTCCCCCCCCCCCCCCCAGCCCTCCTAAATCTTCAAATCCCGTATCTTAAAACCCTAATAACCCACACGAAGCCGGTAGCGCACTTGTAGTTACTCCTTTCATATTACGAGTGTCCATGAATGCCCCTGATTGCTTACCATCAGGTAATCCCTCTCGTTTGCCGACCTATAACATAACAAAAAAACTTCAAAAGCTATTTTAAAAACTACTATTTTATATTTTTATTATAACTTTCGTGAGTCATTCTAAATTATTTATTATGTTTTCGGCTTACTCACGTAATAATTTGACGAGATACTCGTACAATAGCAGCGCGACAGTCGCCGAGTCGCGTGTCGCGGAATGCTGCTCATGAATATGGGCCTCTAGCATGGCTTGAAACTAGTCGAGTATCTCGTCAAATTATTACGTGAGTAAGCCGAAAATATAATAATTTACTATTTCATATTTCACACAGATATCCCTAAATCCCTTCTACCGAGGCCGTGCAGACGAGCCGTTCTTGGCCATTGCAGACACAGGTCACAACCGTGTACTACTAACTGACTGTTCTGGCGTCGTGGTGAGGATTGTTGGCGGCAAGGAAGCTGGCTTCAAGGATGGAAGTAAGTGTTATTAGATTACATTTTCCTTTTATACTTATGATGTCATTTGAAGATATATAATAAGAATACTTACTAGATCTTGTATACGAAAATACATTGATTATGGCTAGTAAGAAGTCTTAAATTAACTGGTTTTTGAAGCGACTGCTGTTTGTAGACTTTGTTTGCTTAAACTATGGTCATTTGACAGTACCGGCGTATGGGCGAAAATATTATAGCGCCCACTTGAGGGAAGCAATATCATAGTACTTATTAGTATCGTATTAGTTTTCTGCAGGTCGTATTGATATCGTTAGAGTCACTCTTTGACCACAAACCCTCAAAAAATCCATCTAAAAATAATCTCAATAAAAAATATGCATATGCACAGAGCGTAGAGCACGGTTCTGAGGGTTTTTTTACGCCCCACCCTAACGCCGGCACTGTTTAGCTCAATCAGTTCAAGGCTCTACCATTGCACAATTGGGGTCCACAGCAAATATAAAAATAACACTTACATGAGTTTTTTTTTAAGATTTGAACTTTTGTTACATTTATAATAGTAATGTCTTAATTATCCTTACCTATTTAGACCATATGCTCTTTATCACATGTTTACATTATCTGTTTTACCCAGAGCTTACCGAGGCCCAGTTCAATGCTCCACAAGGTCTATGCTGGTTGTCCAGCAATGTTTTGGCTGTATGTGACACGAATAACCACTCAGTGCGCGCCATACACCTTGACGAGGGCTCTGTGGAAGTTCTTGCGGGGACTGGAGAACAATCCGCTTTTGGTGACTTAGGTAAGTAGACTGTTGAGATTTTTTATTTTGTTGTAAAATTTTCGATTAAATTATAATAAAGTCAAATAATATATTTAAGGGCAACCCTAATAAATTAAATACATCGAGTTCCCCAAATTCTTCCTCTAGAATCACACTATCTATTGGTGAAAACTGTACAAAAACCAGTGTAGTAGTTTTTGAGATAGTCGCATTTATAAACACTGACTTTAATGCTTATTATTTTACAAAACAGGTGGCAAATGCCTCGGTGTCCAACCCCTCGCGTCTCCATGGGACGTGCTATTATATTCGACTCCAGACATGGACATGTCAGTGCGACCACTTCTACCACCCCCACCACCTCCACCTAACAGCCAAACTGCGCCTGACAAAGAAAAAGAAGCAGCCAAAGATGAAAATAAAGGTAATGCAATCACTTATTTTCACAAAAAATTCGTCGTCCGAATTAATTAATTAATTTGTTTTCAAACAGTCATATTATATTAAGAATATTAGGATTATTTTAGCTGTTTTGAAAATAGGCAAGTATAGTTAGGAAGTCCAACTTTTACAAAAAACAAAAATTTGACAATTTATGTGTGTATTGGAGGGTGAGTTTGTTTCAGCATTTTTTCTCAGAGTAGTCCAGATCAATGGGTTAAACAATGACAGCAACTATAAAGAGATATTACGGGTCTAAAAGTAGAAGATTCCAATAACAGCTGGACTAACTAGTGCTGGATGACCTGCTGCTGCGAAATGAGTCGCTGATTATATGGTAATTAATTGTTACAGAGAAAGAAAAGAAAGACGAAAAACGTCGAGTGTTGTTGATTGCTTGCGCTGGCTCTCATCAGATTTGGGCTCTATTCCTCGACACTACCATTTGGTGGAAGTACAAAACGTTTACTGAAGGTATGTTGAAACATTTTCTGCTTCTACAGAACATATCTTTCGAAATTCATAACACATTTAACTTAATATCATTGACTGGTATCCAATGGCGTTATTGGCACCAGTTTTAAAAATATATTTACTTAGACATTTGTTTATATACATTAGACATTTGTATGTCTTTATAAAAATTTGTAAAGTGAATAAATAAACGGAATTGTGGACTGTAAATAAATACTATTCTGTGTCTCAATGCCATTATTATTTTAGAGGGCATCTCAGTCAGGAACAGTATTTTACTGGCAAAAATCAATACCTTTATTTACTCTGCGTACCAGTATTCTAAAACCGAAATCGAGAGTAAAAACTGCGCGGTGGAATTCACAGGTTTACTTATTTTAAACTGCTTGTAAATACTGTAATATAGAATGTGTTACAATAAAATGCATGTTTTAGGTACATGCGTGTGTATCGCGGGTACTGGAGCTGAGGCAGCCAGGAACAGCGCTTACCCCAACACAGCTGCGTTTGCGCAGCCTTCTGGACTTACACTTAGAATGGGTAAGATACTGTGAAAAACAAGTATATATTATGACATCATTTTTATATCACATTTTTATGACATTCTGTGCTTTTAAAGATTGTATTGTACTGAGTACCACTCAAACTGATTTCAATATATAAATTGAAGAGCTTTGAGGATGAAATTTAAAAAAAACGTGAATTATTTCCTTGTCTAAACTCCTTTAGTATATAAATTATTTAAAAATAACGACTTATTCTCGTGAATCAATTGAGAGGAAAACTCAAGTTTCAAGTCACAAAGGTTGCTCTTGAATAAGGGTCCAGAGGAATAAAATTGTTGCTGTCACTGTCTTATACAAACATTCTGACGCGACAGCATTATAATTATCCCGCAGATAGCTTTTATCTTACCATTGAAAAATCAGCCCTAAGTGTTAAATTTTTATAGGTACAAGTCCGGAAATCTTCATAGCAGACTCGGAAAGTTCGTCGATCCGTCGTCTGGCGCTGACGACGGGACAGGTTTCCACGCTGTGCGGCGGTGACCGTAACCCTTTGGTATGCATTCATAACTATCAACACGTATACATTACACAAATACTTTAATACTGTTTTATGGCGTTAATTATAATTGCTAATGCACATAATTATGATTATTTTACAATTTATCCCCGTTTCAAAAGCGTTTAGGTACACGGCAAGGGTTTTCATACAAATTTTGAAGTCAAAATTCATGGAATTACTGTACCGATTTTGATTTGGTACGATACTGACTCTGCGACGAACTGAGCAGTTATTCACAATTGTATGTATGAATACATATTTAAACTATTTTTCGTTTTTTTTTAATTAACTCTAGCTCATGTTGTGCCACGTATGAGTGGCAAGTTTTATGAACATAAGTTCCGTAATTTCATAATAACCTATTGACTTGAAAGTTTGTATGATCGCCCTTGCGGCGTAAACACTCTTATTATCATTAATAATAATAATTAAAAGGTGCTGTTTGCCACCTGATTATGTCTTGTTATTGGTTGAGTTATGTACCGCATTCCGTCTCGATGCATAAACACGCGTTTATGAACTTATGATTGAAATTAAAACTGTCTTTTTTTTCTGTGCAGAATCTCTTCGCATTCGGAGATGTGGACGACACGGGTATCGAAGCGAAATTCCAACACCCTCTAGGCGTGGCTTACTGCGAATCATCCAAGACCCTCTATGTAGCAGACACATACAACCATAAAATAAAAAAGGTTGAGGTTGGACCGCAAAAGGTTACCACTCTAAACCCAACCATGATTGAGACGACAGACCCCGCGCTCTTCAACGAACCTTCAGGCCTATCCATCACAGCTGACGGCAAATACTTATACATCGCAGACACCAACAACCACGGCATCAAAATTCTAAACCTAACCAAAAATGTGTGCCAAGACTTCAAAGTGCGGTTGCTAGAGCCAAAGTTCACAGAACCAGATAATTTAATTTTATACAAAAATGATCTGTTTGTCAATAGGAAGTGTGGTAATCTCATTATCTATTTTAATGTCAGTTTGGATGCTGACACTAAAAACGTCAAATTCACTCCAGGAGCTCCTCAAAACTGGTTAGTGTGCATACGAGACGAGAATAACAAGGATGTGACTCAAGAAGATTTTGAGTTCATAAGTTCTTCTCACAAAGGTACCAAGCTCCCTGGCCGGGTAGAAATGAAACTCAAACAACGAACAGATAAGTTCCTTTATCGTTTGTACCTCAGTTTTCACACAGCGTTGTGTGACGCATCCGTATGTTTCTCTCATTCTTTTACGATCCGATCAACTATTTTGGTTCGGGATTCGGTCAAAATGGTGGAGTCATATAAAATCACTTGTAAAGTGAATCCCGTTAATAGACCGGATTCTAAACAAAGTAAGGATGATCAGAAGTAAGGAAAGATGAAACTTTTTCTTTGACAATGCAAGCACAACTCAGTTTAGCAGCATGAAGACAAATTATATTTAAGTTAACCTGATTACTTTTAAGTGTATTGTTACTAATTAATAACAGAGATTGTTATTTATATTTTCATTTGACTATCATTTTAGTTTTGTTACTTAATTGAGATAAATATTTTTTACTAAATGTTGCTCTTTTATTTTGGCATCTTTACAAATGTGAACCTAAATGAGTTTTTAGGCGTCTTACATCCTTGCCTTGGTTGACTTAGGGCTGATTTTTCAATAGTCAGGTAAATGTGGTGTGAGGAATAAAATTGTTGCCGTCACTGTCTTATACAAACATTTTGACGCGACAGCATCATAATTATTCCCCAGATAACTTTTATCTGCCCATTGAAAAATCAGCCCTAATACAATAAATGACTGGTTCTTTGTAGAGTCTCCAATTTTTGATTCTCTACGTAAGGAATTAGGAAGAGATTAGGTTCAGCCTCAGTCGCAAAATCAATATAATCGATTCTTTTGTGTGGAATAAAAATAACGATTATAATTTGTCATTACTCTAAAAAACACGGCCCTTTGATACATCACTACCTACTTGCTTTAAAAAACTTATTCTATAGCTTAGATATAATTTTCCTAGAATAACTAAAATCCGTAATATCAAAAAGTCAAGTTCAAGCCCCCCGGATGTGTTACAAGAAAGTGACAATGACATTTATTATCCATCAGAAGGCACAAGGAAATACCGTCCCAAAGTATTTCAATTTGAATTTGATACAGAATTCATGACGATACTGACCTTATATAAAAGCAATTTATAATGCCGCGAGCCACGACACTTAAAGGTAACTGATATGAAAATTAGAACTGATAACTAATTTTTGTAAACATATTTTTTATAGTAGAAACTACACAGCCGACTCGGCAAACGATGTTTTGCCATATAAATAAAATTATTTCGAAAAAAGAGGAATTATTTTGAGTAAAGAAAGGCCCCCCTGTAGCCTCACTCACTATGCGAAACAAAACGTAGAAGTTGTTATTTCACGCCTGTTTTCTGAATTATTCTGTGAGGCCGTGGCATCACTCCAGTCGAGCCGGCCCATCCGCGCCGAAGCAAGGCGCCACACTTAATAATTATTTAAATTCAATGACAAAAAAACAAAAGATAAAAAGTTGTCGTCGTTGTACATACTAATATACATACCTATAAACCTAAACATTGTGGCCAGTAGGTATCTATGAATTTTCGTGAAGTGATGGAAGTCCTTTTTATTTTAATTCCTACAGGAAGATACGACGATCAAAGCTCCGATCGAATTAAAAAATATTTGTTTGCACCTACTTTACGCTTACAAAACACAACAGGATCGTTGCAGTTAAATTTACCTACGGTACGTATTTTCCCAAAACATTACACTTTAGCGTATTCTTTTTTGTTCTGCAATTTAATCAAAATGTTGTATATTAAGGAAGATATTGAATGGTGACGCTTAAACCCCGAAGGTCGACTCGGAAAGGTACAGAACGATGGCCAATCTCGATTCTATGATGCACGTGAGAATATTAATATTATTCGATGTATTCCATTGAGACTCATCTCATTTACATTAGTAAGTGCTACAAATTAGAACAGTGGCCTTACTATCTAATCATAGTGATTAGGCTACGAAGTTATGTACCCGCTAGGTATATTAATTGCGCGCATCCATAGTAATAACTTGCATTGCCTGTAAGTAAAGTACGATTAAACACAAAAGTGTTTACGTAGGTTAATTAATTAATTATTAAAACCTTTTATTGATTGAGGAAAATCGTCAAAGGACGTCTCTCGTCCAGGGTAGGGAGAGGGAGAGTCAGACTCTTGCTGACTAAACCAACCCTTTTGTTTTCCTGTTCTTCTATACTAATATTATAAAGAGGTAAAATTTCTAAGTTTGTATGTAGGGGGTAATCTTTGGAACCGCTAGTCGGATTGCCAACATTTTTTCACTGATAGATAGCTGCAATGTTCCTGAGTGCTATAGGCTTAGGTAAACATCACGCTACGATCATATGGAGCCGAGCAGCGGGTGAAACTGCGCGAGAGTAGCTAGTGTTAAATAAATACAAAAAATATTTAGATTGAAAGTTGATGCATAGTCGTTGTATTCAAACGTTCATTCAATATAAGTATAGATATGTCGCACTAAGATATACCTACGAGTATATAGTCATCTGTGCGCCATTATGTATATACCATAGATAGGTACCTACCTACCTACGGTAATAGGATATTTTTAAATTATCGTAAGGGAAGTAAGTTTGTAGGAAAACCAGCTACTTACTTAAGCAATCAGGCATTGCAAGTTGCCCAAATTCCGTATTTTATTAACTCTCAAAATGGCTTTCAATTGTAATTTCCAAAAACTAACCATGCGAGACTAGAGCTCTTATCATCAGATTCTCAGACATAGCGCTTCTACATTTATTTCTCACTAGCTTTTGCCTGCGACTTTGTTCACGCGGAATAGTGACTTCCTGCAGATTTTTGGTTTAAAAACTATCTTATGCCCTTTCTCCAGTTCCAAACTATGTCTGCACCAAATTTCACCCAAATAAGTAGGTTCAGTAGTTTAGGCGTGAAGAAAAGACAGACAGACAGAGTTACCTTCGCATTTATAATATAACTTAGTTTGGATTTATATTGAGAAAACAGTGAAATGATATATACCTACTCATTTCAGAAAATCAAGAAACCTAAAATTACATGCTATCATCGTTCACTGTACCTACTTGACCTCAGTTGAATGACTGCGCTAATTAAAATTTAGATAAGTTGCACTGTAGTTTATTGAGAGCTTAGATTAGTTATATTATACAACTATATAAAAATGTAGTGTGTGTGTCATGTGTGTGTGAGTGAATAAGCGACAATATGATGCGATATGCATCTATATTTTCGGACCTAGGAAGCCTTAGGACCTTTTAACCCCTTTGTTTTTGTGAATTCCAATCACTATGTTACTCTAATCCCTAAAAGGTCGGCGATGCACACGCAACTCCTCTTGTTTTTCGTGTGTCCATGGGCGGTGCCGTTTGCTTACCATCGGGTAGGTAATGCGTAAGCATGTTTGCCGCCTGCTATATTAAAAAAACAGTAATTTTTCTACTTTATCCCCAGGAAGGAGAAATTTTTCAACATGCGTTTTTGTTGCAATCAGCAGGGCCGGATAAAGGCAACTATTGTGGGCCCAAGTTGTCGTCAGAGGACTACATAATAATATCTATTTTATCTATAAGTATAATATATTTTATACTTAATATTTTTTTTAATTATTAACTTTTAAAATACTATAAAATGGCAATAGCCTTCTTTCAATTGGATAAAAACTATCTTCCATTATCAATGTCTCAAAACCATTCGCAATTTCTATGCAGGAGCACTAAAAATTCTTTTCCTCGGTAGGTATTCCTGACTGAATTAATTCTGACTTGTGAGCTCTGAAAAAAAATGTAGGAATACGAAAGTTGAGTTGTTGTTAACATATGCGCCTGTTTCTGTATTATCAAAAAGTCTTAAAGTCTAGCATAGGTACTTTCTCTAGGTCTTTATCTACGCATATTTGGTTGTGATTGTAAGTGCAATGATGTACCGCAGCCTAGGTCGAAGCAGGACATTAAATGGGGTAGGGTTTTTTTAGTCAGCAAGAGTCTGACTAATTCTCGTCCAACCTAAGAACTCATTGTACCTATGTTTTTACGTCTTCAGAAAAGGAATAATACTTAAGTATATTTGTGTCTATAGAGTCTATGCACATAGTAGATGTTTTTACCTATCTTAAAAATAATGCTTGACCTCTTCTAAAGCCACGGACAACGTGCAACCATTTAACGTTTAAATGCAGACGACTAACAAAATAATAATGCACTCAAATTCAGGTGACTGCTGCAAAGGGGCTAAGGTCGTCCGCATCATTACAGCATCAGGCCGCGTCCCATAACAATTGCGTCGTGGATACACAATTAGTCCCTTCAAGATTTGAGATCTGAGCTTTTAAGACTGTTCGGAATTTCAATTCAAATAGAGAGTTTTTTAGCACTATGTTTTTGGTCAGTGGCCCATTTTCTTCACAAGCATTATATGTAGGTAGGTTTTGCAAATCAATATAATTATGAGTACACACATGATCTAAGGTCCAAAGCCTTCTAAAGTAGGTGGTAGAACAAGAAATTTAGGTTAATTTAGCTAGGTTAGTAGCTAGCCAAATTTACGAACCGATCAGCTGCCATTAATAAGCAAACACATGCCTGTAACACCTTTTTTGTAACATGTCTCCATGTGTATAAAAAACTATTAAACGGGAGAAATAACAGGAAAATTAATAAGATATCAAGTTCTTCGTTTGTAACGGTTTTTATTGAATTTAAATATATACAAAAATGTCCTAACGGGGTTGACATTTGTGTTAGAACAAAAGCCCCTAAAACTATTGATAAAAAAATATATATAGGTATATACAAAAGTAAACTGTTGATAAAATTGATATAATACAATTTATAATAGGTAGGTACCGTTTCTAAACGAAGTATTGATAAATTAATATTAAACCGGATTCAATTTACATAGGTAATAGTTAATGATTTTATTTTATTCTTAAATTAGAAGTTTACGCCATTTTTTGTCGGAGTTCGATTTATTTTTTTGGTGATTTATATTTGTATTTTTATGTCGTAATTAGTTATATTAAGTAATAATTATAATTTGTCTATCCAAAATAATGACAGTTATTATTTGAAAACATTTTTATTCAGTGGTTCCTAATTTTCTTTATCTAGGTGTACAAGGTCTAGAAATTTATCCAGGTAAGTACATATAGAGGATTTTTCGGACTTTTTTTTTACTTTTTTACCTGTTGGTGAGCGATTAGTGCCGTCATGGATACCCGTAACACCAGGCCAAAAGGGCAATGCCGGCAATTTAAAAAGGAGTGGGTACGTTCCTTTTTAAAGGTTTGAAGATTGTAATAGTTCAGAAATATCATCGTCGACAATTCGTTCCAAACTTTTGCTGTGCAAGGCAGAAAGTTTTGGGGATGAAAGTGCTGTCGACTGGGTGGATGGTGAAAAGATAGGGATGTAACCAAACAGACCCCGGAGCACTCCCCATAGTTCTGTTCACCACG